TTGTCAAATGACTTTTGGGAGTCCAGGTGCACATGTCATGTGGTTTCCACAGTTAATTAGATGTCACCTCCTTATAAAAGAACGTGAGGCTGGTCAGACAAGATCCAGCCCTTTCTGAACCCCTGTTGTCTGTTATTATTTTTATGCCAGTAATCTTCCATTTTCGATCTGATGATTGACTCAATTAGTTTTCCAGGTATTGAGGAAGGTCAAGTTAATAGGGTGGTGTTTGACAGATACAATTCTCTCACTGTTCTTGAAGATGAGAAAACATTCTGCTTGCTTCCAGTTAGTTAGAACCTCATCCTGATGGTGAATGACTCCCTCATAGTGTTTGTAGTGCCAGACAAATCTCCACCCTTGTCTCACTAAGTGTCCTGGAGGGCAGTTCATCTGGTCTGAGGGATTAATTAGTTTTCAATCCCTCAAGTTTATCTGGAGCTTCAACCTCACTGAAGTCCAGGACTTGTTTGCTGGATGTGAGTGGCAGGGTTTTAGTTTTCTTCCTACCTGTTAAAAACCTCCAGGAAGTAGTTGTTTAATATGTTCACCTCTCTTTTCAACGCCCTCATGTCATTATAATATCGGCATCACGTTTCACTATGTCCCTTTCCAGGTCCCTTTTGGCTCCTCCAATTTTTTTATTTTATATTTGAACCATTTTGGGAACATTTTTGTTGAAATTGCCCCCAGTGCCATTGTTAGTTTTGTGAAGTTTAAAATGATAACTATGTCGGCCTGACATTGTAAGGAGAAAGTTGAGATTCAGCAGTTCATCTTGTTCAGATGATCATTGGAGGTTTAATAACCACAACAGCACACAACTCAATCAATAAACATTTTAAGTACTTCTGGCTTCAACTCGACCCTGCCAGTTCAAACCATCTGTGCAGATGGGTTTATTGTCCTCTGGTGCCACTAAGTGGGTGTCCATGAAATAATAATCTTTGCATTTGATATAGCGCTTTATCACATGGTGGAGACATCTCAAAGCGCTTCACACAATATACTGTAAAGTGAATTGACCGTGTATTTTATGGGCAAAACGCGGCAGCGAAATTGCGCACAGCAGTCGTGGACTGAGTAAACAAATTATTATTTGTTTTTGAAGGGATCATTGCTCCCAGAAAGCAATTCGCCAATCGACTAACTAGGTTCCTTCTTACCGAGTAAGGAAACTTGCCTAAGGTTTCGCCCAGCCCGGGAACCAAACCCGGGTACGTTTGCTTGCGAGTCTGGAGCTCTAATGATGGGAAGGCAGGCAAAGGAATTTTGTGGGGGGGGGGGGAAAAAACATTCTGCAAGGGAATAAAAATACAATTCCAATTGTATCTATTTGCAATCCTCCTTTGTAAATCTTTTAATTCCCAACAATTTACCCCAAATCAACCCGATTTGGTTTCCATCCAGAAACAGAGTCAAGAATCAATGAGAATGTTAACACCTCCTGCTTGCAAAGTTCTCCTTTTTAATGAAGTTTATACAGGAAGGATGATTTGAATCAACCAGATGGGGAGCTAAGATGTCAACTCCAAGTAATAATTGGGATTTATACAGACCTGGTTTAGCAGGGGAAACGATTGAACCATTGGTAAACAAATCCACTAATGGTTATGGCTGGCCAACGTACAATACAAAGACAACGTAAGGTTCAAATCGGGCCAATGGGACTGTAAGCTTAAAAAGCTTTTTATACTAATGCCAGATTCGGAGATGGCCCCATTAGGGAGGCTTTGAGCTATGCGCATTCGGCAAATGTGCTTGAAATGTAAGGGGGCAGAGGGTGACTGCTTCGCCAGTTTCGTCTACAAGGATGGAATACGGTCACGAATTTCATGGGGATGAGGGTTTTGACAGTGGAAGCGAGACAGCCAGAGGTCAAGGCTGGGCCCACAGAGGAAGAACTCAACAGCACTAGTTGTGATTCAAGATGAGAACCTTTTTCAGCAAAGGAAAGAGAGGAAATTCACTCAAAAGGAAACTGTTGCCCCAAATTAGATTCCACATTGTTGTGCAATACATATTTTGACCAACAGGGGACACTATTGTTACTATCCGCTACGCAATTGCGACGTAACAGTGCCATCTAATGGTAGAGAAGTGGAAGATTCACGCAATCTTAGTTAAGAGGAAGAATTTGCATTTATTTATACTCTGTATAGATGTAATCACCTAAAGCTGCAATTTGCCCAACATTTCACCCTGCTGGGAATCGAGGCCAGGTCCTCTCGCTTGCGAGGAGAGTGCTCCAAGCACTGAGCCGCAGGACTCCACAAATCCGAGCCTGGCCTCCCGATGACTTCCCCATGACCCACGCCAGCAGATTGACCATGCTGTCCTGCTGCCATAGACCTGAGCTGCTTCTCCCCAAAAAATGCTCCCAACCGTCCCCGACCCTCCACTACTCCCGCTCATCCCTTCTCTCCCACCACCCTCCCCGCCACCTATCCCTGCTCGACTCTTCCTCAAGCTCCAGCTGCTCCAACCTGCGAATCCTCTGTCGTAACCACCGTGGCAGATGCCGTTGGCTGTCCAACACAGCCACCCTGACTGCCCCATCCCCCACCTCCAGCACAAAGCCCATCGGTGCCTGACCCCGGGGGCCAAAGTCTCCTGTTATCCACATCCCCATCCTCCCTATCAATCCTCCCTCTCACCCACCCCCCACTTGTCCCGCCCATTCCTCCACCACCAGCTGTCCCCTCCGTATCGACGTACAAAATGTCCGCTCCCTCTCCAGCAAAACGCTCACCATCCAAGGCCTCATTGTCAACGAAAAGATTGTCATTGTCGTGACCAAAGATGACACCTTTCCCCACCACCTGCTATACCTTCCACCATACCCCACCAGACCTAACTACCGTGCCCTCATCTCCCGGTCCGCACTCGGCCTATCCCCTTACGGAACCTTCCCCTCATTTGAGCACCTTCTCCTCTACCATCCCTCCAATCTTTCCCTCAAAATCCTCCTCGACTATCATCCCCAGCCCTCCCCCACCTTCCTCTCGGATATCTCCACTCTCCTATCTTCCCTCTTTCTCGGCTCCAAATTGCCTCCTCATCCTAGGCGACTTCAACGTGCACTTCATACCCTCCTGTTCTAACTCCGCTGACTTCTTCCTCTCACAACCGACCCCCTGCTCCCTCGATCCCATCGTTACCCCTCTCCTTGCACCCCCCCCCTACTGACAGACATCATAAACCTCTCCCTGTTCACTGGCATCGTTCCCACCTCTCTAAGAACCGAGAGTCCTTCATTGTCAGTGGTGCGTACTTCGGAGATGTTAAACTAAAATCCTCTCTACCTGCTCAGATGGCACTATTTAAATCCAGGAAGTCAGTGGTTAGAGTAATCGCCTCGCAAGCGAGAGACCTGGGTTTGATTCCTGGCAGGGTGAAACCATGCGCAAGTTTCTTTACTCCCCACACCTGATAATAATTCAAGAAAAAAACATTAAAATTGGTCACTTCAATCCACGACTGTTTGTGGGGCATTGCTGTGCGCAATTGGCTGCCTCGTTTCGCCCACAAATATACAGTCAATTCACTTTACAGTATATTCTGTGAAGCCCTTAGAGACGTCTAGAAGACGTGAAAAGCACTCTACCAAATGCAAGGATCATTGACTTTTTTTCCAGCGCCTTGTGACGTATCTTCCCGACATGAAAGACTCTATACAAATGTAATTTTGCTGTTGTTGAAAAGAGAACAAAGTTTCTCCTGGTGTCCTGGCAAACAATCCACCAGATAAAATTGGTCATTCACATCATGGCTGTTTGTGGACCTTGCTCTGCTACAAATTAGCTGCCACATTCTCCTACAGATAGTCATTACTCTCCTGTGAGATGCTACAAGACACTTTGATAATGTGATGAGGTACTACATCAAATCCAAGGACTGTTACATAGTCCTCCCATCATTTTAAACATACTAGTTATGTTTTTGAAATATCATGTTACCCACTTGATTGTAACACTTCAGTGTGATGGAGACACGAAGTTAGAAAAAGAGAGATTGTCAGAAAGATAGACAGAAAGACTGTTTGAGACTGAAAGAATTGTTAATGGGACAAGGAATCACACAGCAAGTTTACCTCAGCCCAAACCAGCGCAAAGCAGTTCCCACCTTGCTTCTGGTCAGACGCCCTCTATTGAGTACGTGTAAGGGTGGAAGTACCCCAGACTACACCAATATCCCGATAAACGCAGGGGTCTTTACAATTTGCTGAATGAAAATCTCAAACCCAAACTGCAGGAATCCTAATCAGTTCTGCTTGTCGTCTGTGGGACACTGCTGCAAGCAAATCGGCTTCTGCCATTGCAGATTTTAAAACAATATGGAAAACTTGGTGGAGTAAGGCGTTTATCTCTCTCTCTGCCTCACTGTCTGTTTCTGTGGATTTCAGAGGCAGTGATGTTGAGTCAACCATTGGAATAATTTTTCAGTCTCCTCTTATCCCACTTCTGGCACTACTTCAGTTGAAGGTCACTGTGCAGTGTAACTTATCTTACTTGCTGGATGGGATCTATGCTACTGGTTTTCGCTCCGTTCAAAATTACATTCCTGGACCCTGCACAGTAGTGCACAACCCAAATTGTTCGTGACTTTCGAATACAGCTGCACAGTTCTGAATATGGCTGGTCTGCAGCTTGTGCAGAGAGAAGCTGGGGATTTCAGCAAGCAGGGCGTTGTTGTAATCAAGTTCCAAGACGCTGCCGCACGTGAAGGGTGTTATATATTGTAAAAATGTAAGTTGTTGTTGTTGGAGACTTTACTGGGCACATGCATTGTTTTTCTGGTCATATATTGATGTGGGAATCAGTATAATTTTAAATTGAATTGTACAGGTTGATTGCAGTGATGTGCCATGAAATCTTTGCCCCAGCTCCACAAGATCAGTTCTAAATGTTACCACAAAACAAATAAAGATTTGCTCTCATTTTGTTTCTGACAAAGAACCAGACAATGGAAGGGGTATTCAATTACTCAATAAAAGTGATGAGGGTATACATAGCCGTTCAGGGCTGGACTTTATTATGTCAAATGAAATCCTCATTTGCTTCTCAAATTCTGCCGTTAAACAAGTAACAAACCTTGCCCGGCTTCTTAAAAAAATAAACGATAAAAAAGGACAAAAGATTATCAGGACCTATCCCAATTGTTTTTTAAAGTATTGTCTATAAAAGCTGATCGGTCTCCCATTCAGAAAATATTGTAACTGAAAATGTTACTGCAAGTTGCAGTTCAGTCCTTAAAGTTTAGCTTGTGGTTTAAACAACTCTCAGAGGGGGAGCCACAAGTACCACACCGTCACCTCGAACAAACAGCATTGGGATATTTCTCTTGGTGGACTGTGGAGAAAAGGAAATGAAGAATATTGAAAAAAATTAACTTGATATTTTCTTAAGATAATCATTTGCAAACAGGTGCCAGCTGCTGGTCACATATCTCATTTCCAGCACATGTTAATCTAAATTCCAATAGGATCAGGAGACTGACCGGTCACATATCATCAAAGCCAAAGAAGAGTCAGAGGGCATGTTTACAAATGTTATATCAAAATTGCTGCACTGCGTGTTCTGCCAATTGATTCTCCGCTATTGCAAACAAGTTGGGCAACATTTGTTTGAAGTTTTCCCAGGTATTAAGTGGTTTACTTTTAAAAGTCAAATAAATCATAATCCGCTTATTAAAACAAGCACCTGCCTTTCTTAAATAAGAGTCACATTGAGTTGAAAGAGTTGCCGAGCCTAATTTAATTTGTAATCAATCTTTTAAACCATCATTATGTAAAAGGCAAATTACCTGAGAAAAATTTCCTAATTACATTAGGTTAGCTCCTTGCAGCGTTGGATACTGGAGGAAGGTGTAATCAATACACAACATTTAAATATACAGTAAACGCCCGATAACTCGATCTTGGCTTAACTTGCCACTACCGAAGTCATCATGCTGTTAATATCCCAGCTGTATTTATACATATGTCTGACTCGCCACTCCAGATAACTCATCACTGAGCCATTTATCCTTGGAGTGACAAGTTATCAGTTTACTGTATACAAGAAATATGAACTCCCAATCTTGTTTCACTTTTCATCAAACACCATAAGCCAAACTGCAGAGTGCAAAAGCAAGTGCAAAATAAATAACACATTTATCACATTTGATAACAATATTAAACAAAACTGAGAATAGAAAGAAAAACATTTTTCATTGAATGTGTAAGAGAGAAAAAACGAGACACACAGAAACTTACTTTATATATCTCTTCATAAGTTTCTTCATCAATTTCTACTGTAGTTACTGTTTCTTCTACATCTCCCAAAATCATGTTCAAATGCTGATCATAAGCCTGTTTTACATGAACAAATTTGCAGTTTTAAAATTTATAACTCTAATAATCCTAAAATTTTGTATTTTGGTATCAAAGGCAATGATTTTAACATTAACAGTTTTAAAAACTATTAAGAGCTGAATAAATAAATTGCACTTATAAAAATGTATCTTTCCATGAAGTAGAATTTTGCAACAAGAACTCTATGATTATACTGCATAATATAACTATACACACATATTATATATATTCATATACCAAGTCCATTGAAAGAACTTGATGAAAAAAGGGGTTTTCACATTCAGCTCTCAGTAACCCTGCAAGCCAAAGATTTAATAGGTTGGATGGACCTGGTTGGACAAGCAGCGGGAAGCTTGCCGGTACTTGGTGCAGTAATAGCACCGAGTCAGAAGGTTGTAGGTTCAAGCCCCACATCGGGACTTGGAATCAGTCTCAGCTGACATTCCAACGCAGTGTGTGGGGGGGGTTGCATTATCGGAGGTGCCGTCCTACAGATGAGATCCCATACCACCTTTCAGAAAGAAAAGGGAATTTCACTCTCCCGGTGTCCTTGTCAACAATCACCAAAATAAAATTTGATCACTCACTCCATGGCTGTTTGTGGGTTGTGCACAATTGGCTGTCACATTTCTCTAACAAAATGCAGTCAATCACTTTACAGTATATCCCGTGAAGCACTTTGAGACTTCACCAGTGTGATATGATCAAACGCAGACGATGAGGTTTCAGCTGGTTAAACTCCATCAGTACCTTCAAGGAACACTCTGGGGTCTGGAAACTTTGGTTCTTGCCAAAACATGCCCACTACTCTTTTGAAATAGACAAGCAGGCCGTCCCTTCAGGGAGTGTGTGCATTTTATCCCAAACACAAAAAAAATTGCATTTGTAGGTGGTTAAATCATGCACCTCGTCATAAATGGGGTAATGTATATAGCATCAAATTGCGGTATAGCAGTCTATTCATCAACAGAATACATTTGCACATTAATTTTAAAATAATGTAAGCTTTTCATTGGTTTCAAAATTGCACTCACCCGATTGTGCAAATCATAAATATACTAAAATAATTTCACAAATTACCCACATGTAGTCTCCCTCGAAGCTCTCGATCATTTCTCATTTTCACATAAATCCGTTCATCGAGACTAAGCCTGATCAGATCAAGAGGTTCTTCTACAGTGTTAGTAGTTTGGGGCTAATAAGACAGGGAAGAGTAAAAAGAAGCAAAATCTTAAAAATGTGCTCAACAAAAACTGGTATTAAGATTTTTACATAGAATATACAGCACAAAACGGGCTAGTGTTTATGCTCCACTGAATCTCCTCCTGTCCTTCCTCAACTAAGCCCATCAGCATAACCTTCTATTTCTTTCATCCCTATGTACTTATATAACTTCCCCTCAAATGCATCTATGCTATTCGCCTCAACTCCAAGTTCCACATTCCCACCACTCTGGGTAAAGAAGTTTCTTCTGACTTCCCTATTTGGTTTATTGGAGACTATTTTATATTTATGGTCCCTGGTTTTGATCTCCGCCACAAGTGGAAATATCTTCTCTAAGTCTACCCTATCAAACCCTTCCATCATTTTAAAGACCTCTATTAGGTCACCCCCCCCACCCTTCTCTTTTCAAAAGAGTCCAAGCTTGTTCAGTTTCCTGATAGGCATAACCTTGCATTTCCGTATTACAGCTGTAATAAAGGTCTTGTAGTCAAGGCTTCAAATATATTGCATACAACAGCATTACCATAAGATGCAAAAATATATATGAAAATATCACAACTGAAATCAAAATGCACACCAAGTTACAAAAATCATAGTACAATCACTTGCATTAATGTAATTCACATATTAAAAGTATTTTTATTTTTCAATCCCTCATCACCCAGTAGAAAACTCTAAGTGAAAGTTCTCTTCAATGAATAATCACCTTCCTTGGCTCAGCATACAAGTTAACTTAAGGACCAAATACAAAATTCAAGATCCCTGTTCTTACATCTAAATCTACAGCCTTGCCTCACCCTTTCGCCGCATCCTCCTTCAACTATTCTGCCCCGTTCTTTGGAACTCGGTCCCTCAGCCTAACCCCTCCCTCTTCACATTTAAAATTGCTAAGTCCTTTCTTTCGACTGCACTTTAGGTCACCTTCACCGGCCCCCACCCTCCCCAAACTCCATGCCCAGCTCAGACACCAAGTTGACTCTCTGAAGAGTTTTGACCATCTTCCTGACATGAAAAGTGATATATAATTGTAAAATTGGGGATCAAATGTAGCAGATCTCTACCACGATACAAGAAAAAAGCAAATTCAACAACATGCATTTATATAGCGCCTTTCACCTCGGGAGGACGTCCCAAAGTGCAGGACAGTCAAGGGTTTGCACCGGGTAGCTGGGGGTTGGATTCAAAAGGGGTGGGGGGCCAAGTGTAGAAAGACAACCAAAGGCACCATCAAAGAGGAAGGTCCTGAGATGGACTTTGAAAGAAGCGAAGAATGGGGCAAGATTCAACAACACAACTTTGGGGCCTAGAAGAGTTTGGGGGAGATTGGGGCTTGTCTGCGGTGTCAATCCTCATTCGCTGAGTGGAATGTTTCGGTCTAATTCAGTTAATGGGGGTGAGCAGACCTAACCTCACCCCAAATAAAAAAATACTTAGTTGTACTTCATTCTTACATTGTTAACACAAACAACACAAGTGTGATTTAAGGAGGTTACTAGTTTTGTTTTCAATACCCCTTGTGTACACTACTATTAATACGTACAACCGACTGCTTGCATTCGTATAGCACCACTTTATGTGGGATAACGACTTTGGAGCACTTTTACAAAGACGAGGGCTCGTTGCCGAACAGGGGAAGAGCGTGAAGTCCATCGTATGCAACGTAGAAGCTGTAGGTTTTTAAGGAGGGATTTAAAAACAGATATGAGAGAGGGAGGTGAGAGGATGGGGGGAGGGGGGGGAAGAATAGGGAGGAGTTGAGGTCTTTCCATCTATTACTTCGGTTTAAGGGGTACCTTCCGGTGTCCTGGTCTAACAAACCAGATAAAACACACAGTCACTCCACTTGACGCCGTATCTCGTGAAGTGCTTTTGAGGCGTCTACGAAAAGACCTGACAAGCCGCTTTATCGAATGCAAGAATCATTATTAATTCATTCATTCATTAACTGATAATTAATACCAATAACAATAATAAAAGTGGAGTCCTGTAGCTCAGTGGTTAGAGCACTCGCTTTGCAAGTGAGAGACCTGAGTTCAATTCCAGGCAGAGGGCGAAACCTTGGGCAAGTTTCCTTACTCCACACAGAGCCTAATAATAATCCCTCCAAAACCAAAAACAATAATAAATTGGTCATTTTCAATCCACGACTGTTTGTGGGACATTACTGTGCGCAATTGGCTGCCACATTCGCCCACAAATATACAGTCAATTCACTTTACAGTGTGTTCTGTGAAGCGCTTCGGGACGTCCTCCCGACGTGAAAAGCGCTGTATCAGATGCGAGGATTGTTATTATTATTAAACCTTGGGTGGTTGACCTCAGGACTGGTCTGCGGGGAGTCTGTGGGGAAGCTGCCGCGTTTGCCCAACAACAACGACGACAACGACGCACACAGTCACTGAACTGTACAGTGAAGCCCGGGGCCCGGGGCGCTGACCTGTAGGCCCAGGGCGGCTCACGCACACTCGAGACGACAACCGCCAGCAGCAACTGCTGCTGCTGCTACCGCCGCCCGCCCGGGCCGCCCCGAGTCCCCCGGGCCTCTCAAACGGCTCACCTGGTCCCCTTCGTCCGCCATGTTGATGCCGACCGAACCCGTTCGCGCGCCACACAGCGGACGGTTGGCCGCGCCTGCGCACTCACTCCCTCCCTCCCTCCGACCAGCGCGCGTGCGCGACGTCAGCCCCGCCCACCAACTTAACGGTTGCCCACGAACCGACTGACCACGCTCACTAACTAAACTAACTAACTAACTAACTAACGAGGAGGAGGAGGAGAAGAGGGGGAGGGGTTGGCGGACAGAGAGCGTCCCCTCGCGCCGGTGAACGCCGCTCTTTTGAATGGGGTTTTTTTTTCTCTCCGTCTGTCTCTCTCCCTCTCCCCCTCTCTCTCTCTCTCTCTCTCGGCGGGAGCTCTCGCAATTCGCCCGGGACTTCGGTCCTCCGAGGCCCCGCGGCGCCCTCTGCCGCCCTGGAGGACCGACTCGGAGGACCGACCACCCGGCCGGTCGGCCGTTTTACTGCGCACGCGCGGGTCGGTGACACCTATTTATATGGCGGCGCGTTATGCAACGCCAACGGTCTCTCCTGCGCGCGATTTAAGCGTCTCCCTCCCTCCCTCCTCGCGTCTTCGAGACGTCTCAAAGGTCTTCACGGGATATACTGTAAAGGGAACTGTCTGTGTGTGTGGGGGGAAGGGGGTGCGCGTGCGGAGAGGGCGCGAGACGCGGCTCGAGGAGTCGTCCGGCGCCGCGGCCCCTTCGCCCCGCGCCATGGTCAAGAGGAAAGGGTCAAGCGAGGCTCCGGCCCCGGCCCCGAGGCAGGCTGGCGAGTCGAAGGGGGGCCCCGCCAAAGCCAAGCGGGCGAGAAGCTCCCGGGGAGACGGGGCGACCTCCGCCAAGCGACGGGCCTCAGGTAGACGGGGCCGACGCGACCCGCTCTCTTTTTTTTTTTTTGCCTTTCGTTTTTAAGAGGTTCGGAGCTGAGAGCGACGCTCGGCTCGGCTCGGCTCGTCCCGAGGGCCTTAACCGAAGCTGCCGGGGTGGGGTGGGGGGGGGGGTGGAGTTTGCTGAAATAAATGTTGCTCGTTTAAAACAGCGACAACAACAACAAGATTGCATTGATCGAGCGCCTTTCACGCCGGGAGGACGTCCCAAGGCGCTGGGCAGTTGGGTCGGGACCCGAGCGTTGGGGGGGAAATGGTCAGGGTGAGGGGAGGGGAGGGAGGGAGGAAGCGAGGAGGGGGTAGAGAGTCGAGGGGGGAGCTGAAGGCACAGTCGAAGAGAAAGGTTTTGAGACCGGCCTTGAAGGAGGAAAGGGAGGAAGCGGCGAAGGCACTGGGGGGGTGGAGTTCCAGAGCCGGGTGGGGTGGGGTGCGGGGGGTGGGGTGGGAGGGGGAAGCTGGACCTTAAGCTGAATTTTAAGGATTGCAATTTTCCTCAGTTTACATCCTCCAAATGATGTTTAGGAGATGCAGCAGGAATCGTGGCTACAAATAACACAGAGGAAGCCAAGAAAGGTTAAGTAGAAAGAAAAGCTGTGCACAACGCAAGAGAATCAGAAGGCAGTGAATTACAGCCAGTGATGTTTTTTCCATTGTCGTATCTCTCCGTATTGCTTCAAATATACGACTGGAGAAACCCATTTACTAATGATAATTGTTATGAATGAGAAGCAAAGGAGACGCTGGTGCGTAATGTTACATGACTGTTAGCGCTCATGATTTGCATACAGTGCAGCAAAGGGTTTGTTTATGTGTGTCGAGAGCAGATGTTTGGCCCATTTTAAAAACTACCTCTGTGGATTTTGTACACACATTTTCTGTTGAAACACCTGCACCAGACTTTACTTGGTTATCAATAACATGAGTTACAGCCATTATATGAGATTGTACTGGTGGTTTGAAGCTGTTATTCTGACTCCAGGGAAAGTTCTGGACTACATATTTTACACCACATATAATAATAATCGTTGCATTTGATGTCGTGTCTGATCATGTTGTTGAGATGTCTCAAAGCATTTCACAGGATTATACTGTAAAGTGGAATGACTGTTTTGTTAGTGAATCGCAGCAGCCGGTTACGCACAGCAATATCCCGCAAACAGCCATGGAGTGAATGACCAATTTTATTTGGGAATTGTTGACCTGGACAAAAATATTGCACATTACATTATCTCTCAAAATCCTCATACAGTTCCATTAGAGAAGGAGAGGGGAGAGAGGCAGGTTGAAATTACCAGAATACTCATGTGTCTTTTTAAAAAAAATAAAAAATGAATGGGTGCCAAAGCAATGGTGTTTTTCTCTAAAGTGATGTGATGTTCTTGTGCTTTTTTTCTGCAATTAGCAGATGTTGATAGCGATGACTTTGAACCTGAAAAGCCACTGTTGAGGAAGAAACGGTCCAAGGTCCATAAAAGAGCAGTGCAGCAGGACTGTAGTCAAATTCCTCAGGTCAATAATACACAAAGAAAGAAACAGCCAGCGCCGAAAGGAAAAGGAAGAAAAGTTACAATCAAGGAAGAAGATGAAAATAACGATAGTAAATTCAGACTGGCTATTCACACAAGGTATCTTGTTGATAATGTGCTCCCCACATAATTCCTACAGTTTCACCTGTGATAAGACTGTTTTATCTCTCTCTCTCCCCCTCTCTCTGACTGCACTACAACAAAAATAATAATCTTTGCATTTGATTATCACTCTTCGAGATATCTCAAAGCGCTTCATAGAATATACGGTAAAGTGAATTGACTGCATATTTTGTGGGCGAAACACGGCAGCCGATTGCACACAGCAATGTCCCACAAGCAGTCGGATTGAGTGACCAATTTATTATTTTTTTTTGAAGGAATTATTACCCCTGGAAAAGAGATCCACCAATCGACTAACAACCGGGTTCCTACTTACTGCTCATGGAGTAAAAAAACTTGCCCAACATTTCGCCTTGCTCCGGGAATCAAACCCAGGTCCTCACGAGAGCTTGTGAGGCGAGTGCTGTAACCATTGAGCTACAGGACTCCACGTGTACAATACGTGCATTTATGTAATGCCCTTCACATAGGATAGTATCTCGGAGCGCTGCACAGTGGCGAGGTGGCCAGAGCAAGGGAGAAGCAGAGGTGACCATAGGCATGGTTAGAGGTGGTTAGTCTTAATGTGTGATTTAAAGGTAGATAAATAGAGGGAGAGGCAGATGCATTGAGACGGGGAGTTGCAGAGGCTCACGGCGTAGTGCCTGAAGGATCATCCAACGGTGGTGCCACGGAAGTGTCAGTGATTGCGTGGGCCAGCTGAACGAAGAGGATGAAATTCAGATGGGTATACAACCAAGAATAACATAAGTTTTCCCCCATCTCATCCATGAAGGTAGTCTGTATCTCTGCACGTCTGTCGTCTGTTTCCTTTATAAAAACAATCTGCAATATTCCAGCATCTCACTCAGCTCTGCTGTCCTCAGTTATTAGTGTGAAATCTGTGTGCAAGACCTTATTGATTCAGTCACTCTATGTTCTTGAAAATGTTCTCTTTCCATCAGATCATCAAAGAGATTGAAAAAGAAAGAAGAAAAAGGCTTAGATGAACCCAAAGTGAAACAGGAGGAAGATGACACAACTGAAGACAGTGAAGTTGAATGGGAGGATGTGGAAGGTACATTATTAACTAAAATCAATTCTAGCTGGTCTGGATCCAAGATATAAAATAGTCTTAATATGACACTAATTGAAAATCTCACTCCATAAAGCTGGTGTGGGAAATAGAAATGTGACAACAACAACAAAATTAAATTTGTATAGATAGCATTGGCGTAATTGGGGTGCATTCTTAGATTGGAATAGAACACTTATTAGGAAAGATTTTGTTCTGTATTTATCTTATGTTGTCCTGACTTGGGAATGTTTAAGTAAGAATGTAGATTTATTTTGCATTTAACTGTGCTGTCCCTGAGTTGAGAGTGCCTGACTCTGACACAGTTTCCAAGTTCTGATTGCTGAACATTGACCTCTGCAAAAAAGAAAATGCTTGGGGGAATCAGGATAAGTGTCAACTTGATTCTTGTATAGTGCCTTGGGACGTCCTCCCAACGTGAAAGGCCCTCTACAAATATAATTTTGTTGTTGTTGAGTCAGACAGTTACCAAACAGAGATAAACTTTGTTTACCAATTAGCAGCTTGTTAACAGACAGTCAACACTCACTGCCTTTATTTTAACAAGCCCAGGCAGGGTTTCATTCCCCTCTCCCTCGACACCCGCACCTCCTTGGTCTCTTAGTCTCACTTTCGCCAAGCTCAACAGCTGTGCCTTGTGCAGTCACAAGGAAAGAGCTCAGGGACTCTGCAGCCCTAGCCTGACCACGTGGCTAAACCGCTAACTTCCTTTGGTTAAAAAAATAAGATGAAAGGGTCGGGGTACAGGTTTTATACTGCAAAGTCTGTTTCGCTAAGATCATCTTCAGCTGCAATGTTATCCATGGTTGAAACGCATTGCCAAAGCTAATATGTTAGCAGTAACCATTTGGGTGAGATTCAGGACAACTCCATTATAACATGCGTTGCTATAAAGTGAGTTGGCTCATAACACAGTTGGGTTGTGGATTCTGAAAAATCTTACCAAAAAAAATCTTACCTAAAATCAAAATTGCACCATCTGAATCCCATCATCGCGATAAAATAGCTGACATTCTGGTTGTCAGGTTACCGCTAATATTATTTCTTACGTGCCACACATGTGCACTTGTACAGGCAATGCAACTGATATCAATTTCTTTGCAAAGAGCTGCGAGTGGCATTTGTGTGTAGCGTGCAAGCCCAGCATGGTGGAAGCAACGATAGCGTAACACGCAAAAAAATGGGCATCAGTGGTGATCTGTCTGCCTGAGGTTCAGCCATTTTATCATGCCTCTTTATGCCTTGGGGCCTGAAGCTGTGCAATAAAGGGGTTATCTTGTATTTTATATCAGTTAATACCCATAGTACCATAATAATCCTTGCATTTGATTTGGTGCCTTATCACGTCTTCGAGACGTCTCAAAGTGCTTCACAGAATATACTGTAAAGTGAATTGAATGTATATTTTGTTGGCGAAACAAAACCATAATTCAATATGGGGCAATGCCTTCAGAAAAGAGGATGAAAGATATATCAAAAGAATAATTTGAAGTGTAAAATCAGGAGCTTTATACCAAAACAACACCTTTTGCATCAGAGTAAAAGTGTTCCTGAACTGTGCAGCCTGAGTTATGAAACACGCCACAGTGCAACACCTTCTTTATATTTCTTACAGAACTTCATAATCGTATTTCAGAAGACGCATCAGCCTTGACCTTCCCAGAGCCATCCCTTCCTACAAAATCTGTGGAGATTGAAATCGAAATTCCAGGGCAGGCTAAGAAAAGACGGAGAAGGTAGGCTGTTTTTGTGTTCTTTATTCATATGATTTTTCAATGCACAAGTATAAAATCAGCAATCTAAATTGCCAGGATACAGAGATTTTTCTGTAGAGTTCTACAATAATAAATAATAATTTTCCTTGCATTTGATATAGCGCCTTATCAAGTCTTCAAGACGTTTCAAAGCTCTTCACAGAAAATACTGAAAAGTGAATTTACTTTATATTTTGTGGGCGATACACGGCAGCCAATTGCGCACAGCAGGGTCCCACAAACAGCCGTGGATTGAAGTGACCAACTTATTATTATTTTTTCTGAAATTCTTTGTTATCAATGTATCATGCTATCAAATGCCTTGCGAATGAACACTTTTGTTTTTCAGCGAGAATAGAAAAGCTGAATTTGAGATGTATCTTCGGAGGATGATAAAGCGCTTCAACACACAAGTGCGCACAGACACTCACAAGGTGTGTACAAAGCACCCGGTGACTGACTCTTTGAAAGAGTAGATTCATACAAAGATACATACATACAGTCAGCATTCACTAGGCATGACATTCTTGTAAAAGAACTCGAGAGATTGCTCTGAAGAGTAACATCACACAGTTGAGGAAACCAATATGGTTAAATAGTTCTTAATTTAGTCTGTTTTCTCAAATTGGATCTTGCCCAGAAAATATATATGTGAAACATGCCATATAAAATCAAAGTCTGATTTTGTATCGTTCTTATATAGGTGCACCTTCTTTGCCTGTTAGCGAACGGTATCTTTAGGAATCAAATCTGCAACAAGTCTGAGCTTCATGCCCTCGGGATGTCCCTTGTACCTGCTGACTTTGCCAATGTTACTGCTCACTATTTGGACATTCCGTGTGTTTCAAACCTGCTGAAGTGGTAAGAAGATAATTCATTAGCTTAATCGCAGATACATTTGCCAGCATAGATTGACAGGGAAATCTTCCTACTAACCCGAATAAAGATTCAGGGGCGAATGTTCATAAATAGGATTCAAAAGTCGTGCTTCTTCATCTTTCAGATCAGCCACTTATTCTCAGCTTTCTGGCCCACTACAGGAAGATGTCTTTTAATATTTACCAAAAATATTGAGTATGAATTGCTCCTTTCTATACAGTGCTACCTGCAAACTTGATGGGTGTGACTTATCTGGCAGTACAATTTGCCAGCCACCTGCTTTAACGATCATAACTTTGACTAAAATCTGTACCGCTCAGTTCATCATTACCACCATATCTTTCCATTTACAGGTTTCTATCTTCCTTTATGATTGATCCTTCTCCTAAAGACAATGAGAGTAATCTCTCTTCAGCACTGGAGAAGAGGATGGCTAGTGGTTCTGCGAGGAATAAAGAAGAATTGGTTTATGTATGTATTTCATCTTTCTTCGTTACAGAATTTGACAATGAACCAAAATGATCAATCTCACTAGCTGTAGGAGATGGAATATATCAGAATGATAGTGAAAACTGATGGTATCATATGTCTAACTAAATGTGTATTTTAGTTATTTACATATTGTTACATAATGAATTCTATTATATTGATGCATTCTGAAATAATCTCTGTTTATTCATAACAGCTCTTCTTAATCATTCTACGATCTTTGAAATTAGTTTGTCGTTTGGTTCTCTCTCTTCAACCCATTCCTTACAAAGAAAGTTTGGAAAAGGTAAGGAAGTCAACCTTAAAGAATTGTAATTTCTGCGCAAATTTCTTCACTCCCATTCTTTCCTAAAGGTGTTTGATTTATGCTATATTATGAGCAGGAGCCTTAGTTTATCAGCAAGGTTTGCAATTTATAAATAACAAATCGCAAATAAATTCTCAATTCATATTAGTTCAGTACGGACTAAGTGAGACAAGATGACTTTTTGTCCATTTTTTCCCCTTAATGGAAGATATATTTAGTAAAATTCTATACTTATTTGTCATGCCATTAATCATGAAATTGCTCAAATGTTTGAAAGCACAAAATCCACCAATACTGACTTGACTCGCCAATGCATTACTTCTGAATTACACTCCTGAAATTCTGCTGAGTACTGCTGCCAGGTTCAAACTTTCCATTTCATCATCATCAGAGCAAGAAGCCTTCAAGGAGAAGGGAATCCAAAAAGAGTATATCCACCAACAGATCCAAGTCCAGAGCGGGGACAGGAACAACAAAATCACAAGTCAGACAGGAGAAGACCCAACCATGTGACAATGAGGGAAAGTCGCAAGAGATATTGCGGAGGGAAAAGACACAAGGCTTTGAACATGGAGACAATGAAATATCTCGAAGACCAAAGAATGCTCGCCGGCGTTCGGTGGCTTCAAAGGTATTCTACAAGGAAGATACAGAAGAAGAAACCAACAGTGACTCTGATTTTGAAGCTGAAAGTTCTGATGATTGCAGCAACTACTCAGACGAAAGTAGCAGCGGGAATTTCAGAGGCAAGAGGAACTCTTCGAAAGCGAAGAGCAGCAAGGAGAAAAAGCAAATACTTTGGGAAACGAGTGCAGCAGGTGGAGTAACGAAAGGCAAGAAAGTGCTCGAGAACTCTGAGACTATGCAAGAAAGAAGAAATTCAGGAACTAAAACCTCGTCAAAATTCAGCAAATTGTTAACAGACTGTGACGGTGAAAGTGCAACAGTAGAGGATAAAATATCTTCTTTGCCAAAGGGATCAGACCAGTGGATTGAGGTGTACGTAGAAAAAGAAAAGAAATGGGTTTCAGTTGACTGTGTGCACAACTTTGTAAATCGTCCTGAGCTCTTTGTGAAGTATGTTACAAAACCCCTGTGGTACATTGTCGCCTTTGACAATGACTGCTGTGTGAAGGATGTCACCCAGAGGTATGACCCAGCTTGGATGACTTACACAAGGAAACAACGGGTTGATCCTGGCTGGTGGGATGAAACTTTGGAACTGTACAAGAGTGACTGTATAGAGCGAGAGAAAGAAGAAGACTTGGAGGTACGTTCCAGTTAAGAACATATGATTGATAGCTCCCTTTATGGGTAAATGCATCACGTATGAATGATATAGTCCAGGAGTTCACAAGTTTGATCACTGGTCTGAGCTGAGTTAGCTACTCTCACCTGTTAAGGGGAGAAACAGTTAGTCACAGTGTGCCAAAAATACAGAGGGAAAAGTCAGCTGGGGTTTACTTTCCTGATTATCAGATGATTTTAGTGGGAAAGTGTGTGTGTGCAGGATGTCATAGGAACGTAAGAAAATAGGAACAGGAGGAGGCCATTCAGTCACCAAGCCTATTCCATCAGTTTATTAGATCTTGACAGATCCTTTAATCTCGTTGCCCCACCCTTTTGCCATGCCTCTTAATTGCTCGGCTACCCAAGTATAGTACCTGTCTATCTTTCTTTTAAACAACCCTGTTGATTCCACTTCGAGAACTGAGGCTATAGGGCATCCTCCCGAGGTGAAAGGTGCGATACAAATGTAATTTTGTACTGTAAAGAAGAGCCTCTTTTCCCTTGAGCATTAGAGCAGTATTTAAGCGTTTCCCATTGATTGCAAGGAAAAGAAGCATGTTGTACAGTCACATTGATATTGGCAAGTTCAGAACTTAGGATAGCTAGATTGAACTTGTTTTTCTTTTCCAGCTTAAAAGTAAGCTGCTCGATCAACCCTTGCCCACGTCTGTTGCGGAGTACAAGAATCATCCCCTTTACGTTCTAAAAAGACATCTGTTAAAGTACGAGATCATCCATCCATCCACAGCAGCGATATTGGGTTATTGGAGAAGCGAGGCGGTATATTCAAGGTGAGGACCGAACAATATGAGCAAAGGAAGGTTGTGACACTCTTAAAGCCTATGAGGAAATCCTGATTAAATGGATTTTATCTTACCTCAATACTGCACGTGCTTTCAATGTAAGAGGTTTTGGGATAGCAGTTTGCAGCTCTCTATAGGTGCTGTTGCAGAGTTGTATGACACCGGTCATACAAGTGATGCTGGGTGATGCTGAGTGCAGAGTATAATAGCATCTTTAATTTGTAGAATAATTTCAACTTCCTGTCCTATACGTGGTGTACAGTGGCTGCAAGAATGCTGGTAATAATGCAGAACTGCAAGCATGTATTGTTTTCCTGCACGTTTGTGTTTTGGAGGTGTTTGATCCTTCTGTAGGTTTATGCATTTTCAGGGTCAATTGCTCAAGAACACAGAGGTTGCAGGGTCGATGACTATGCAGAGCTGGTTGAGGACACTTGCACATCATTCCTGATCTCAGCCTTGCTGCACTTCGAAGAAAGGAGGGTTGGATCATAGACGTCGTAGGGTTTGGTTATAAAGGGGCATTGGCAATCTTGGCATGAATCGGAGAGTTGAGAGGTTATTAGAGGGAGATTATAAATGAGAAAGTAAAGTTTTCTCTCGTAGCTCAGTTGGTAATGACAACACTGAATCTCATTTCCACTGAACATGTGTGAGTGGTTTGTCTCCTTTGCCTACTTAATATTAATCTTACCCTTTCAGGGACTGCGTGCATACACTCCATTCCAAAAATACTTGGCTGAAGGAAGCCCGTGCTGTGACAAATGGAGAGGTGCCATGCAAGGTACTTACTGCCTGTTGTTTAATTTCTGTCACTACTGGGAGAAGCAAATACGCACCAGCTGTAGATCCGTGCCCACTACCTACAATTAGTTTAGAAAGGCTCTTGTAGTGGAGAAAATGATCAAGATTCTGGGATTGATTTCCAATCTGTTCTGAGTTATCTCACTCGTAAGATCAGCAGTGCCCTGGAATACTATGCACCCACCTGGGAAAGGGGAGGGAGGTGGGAGACGGAGAGGGCGGGAGACAGAGACGGAGACAAAATATATTAAAGGAGTCCTCCCACAGGAGTCCTCCCAGCTGAGTATAGATAAGACAAAATAACTGTCTGTGTGTCAATCTACATTCCATATTGGTTGCAAGTGAAGCTGCAGTGGCTGCAGCCAGTGTTTTATAGCCATTGCTATAGCTCAAGCTCAGGCAAGTAAGAGTTCACTTCCTTTTTGTAGATGGTGAAAAGCCTCTCAAACTTTGCAAGGCGAGTACGATTGGCTAGTGCTGAGAATAAAGATAAAGATGACCTGGGACTGTTTGGATATTGGCAGACGGAGGAATACCAGCCACCCATCGCCATTGACGGAAAGGTATGGTCGTTGTTCAAAGAAGGGCTGGGATTTCAATGCGATACCAACTGGGGGTTATAGGTTTCAATCTCTCGATTTCTCCCACACTAGAGATCCTGTTTAGTGTTGCTGAGAGGGAGAGGACATTGGGTCACTCTGGGCCACTTATTGGAAATTAAACTACAATTAATTTCAGAACCGCCCTGTGGGAAGTTTGGAAGTGGGTCACTGTCCTGGTGTTTGTTGGATGGTGAGAGGGTGGGGAGAAAACAATAGTGTATTTAATCCTCTAAGAATAGTGCAGAGCAACATAAGAGAGAACAGGGCTGGATCTACAAATATTCCTATGGGCATATCAGTCCAAGTGGCCATGGGGATGCCTTCTGTTAAATAATAATTATTGCACTGGATTGTCAGCCTAAACTATGCATTCAAAGTTCCAATGTGGGGCTTGAACCCATAACCCTCCAACACAGAGGTGAAATTAGCACCAACGGAGCCAGGCTAATGTTAGAGTGTAAATCCAGTAATGAATCCATTCTCTTGAGGGGAGGTTCTGTAGTTTCAATTCTCCACAGACTATACCCAGAATAGTAGTGTCTGGTATGTACGGACGACTAAATCCTTTATACTTATTATTGTATTTTCTTCCTTTATAAGGTGCCCCGGAATGAGTTTGGGAATGTGAACCTCTTCAAGCCGTGCATGCTTCCAATTGGATGTAGCCACTTGCGAGTGCCCAATCTCAGCCGAGTCGCAAGGAAACTGAACATCGACTGTGTACCGGCAGTGACGGGATTTGATACGCACAGTGGCTGTTCACACGCTGTGTATGTGTGCCCATAATTCTTCACCACATTCGGTTCTCGATGGCAGAAAAGCCCACTCACTTAATCCTGCTCTTTGCTCCCGACAGAGTCGATGGGTATGTTGTGTGCGAAGAATACAAAGAGGTTCTGTTGGATGCTTGGCACTCAGAGCAAATCGAAATTGAGAAAAAAGCTCGAGAGGTGAGCAATTGCAGTACTGGGAAAAATCGGCCATCGCATTGTTAGAATGCCCACGATTTCATCTTTTTTTTAAAAAAAACTTAATACTTTTGGTGTTTATTTTATTATTTAGAAACGTGAAAAGCGAGTCATTACAAACTGGAAGTTGCTGGTGAAAGGACTGCTCATAAGGGAAAGATTGAAGCAGCGGTACAGTACGGAGGTAATAGTTGCAAACAATCTGCCCCCCAACTCTTTATTCCAGATATAACTATTTAGCTGGTATGTTTCTTTGTGGTTCTGGGGTAGGATTGTGACCGGTTTTCCGACAGTGATTTTCCTTGATTCAGCCATCTTGTGTAGGTGAGACACTGAGTGGTGGATAAGCAACTTCCCAGTGTTGATGAAGAGGCCAAAAAGAAGACACCAGATTCACCATTTCAGTTTATTTTATTTTTCAGAACAACACTTCCTCGAGTTTGAGTCAAGAGACCGGAAGAGGCTTTTCCTCCGATGAAGAAGGTCCTGCTTCCCAAACACCCGTCACTGATGCCAGCCATTCGTGGCCTTTGAACCGACAGAATGCTAAGGAACAACCAGAGAAGATGAACAGAAAGACCAAACGGCAGAAAAAGGGGGAGGAAAAACACCTATTCCCGTTTGAGAAGTGATGACTTTCAGGGCATTTTATTGCCAAGTTTGGCCCTTCTTTTGCGATTTAGTGAAGTTCAGTGAACTAGAATTTGCAGATTGCAGAACTGCTTGTGTTTCAAGTGTAAAGACTACAGTATCTTTGTAGTTGTTCAACACAAAATTGGTTAAATTCCTGTGGCTGGTGTCTCTTGTTTGCTGGTGGTCCCTTCGTTCTGATGGTGGAGCAATGAACTGCCAACTCACAGACCTCAGCTTTCAATTTGTTTCTCCATTATTCAATCTGCAAATCATTGAGTAGATTAGCCATGGGTTCAGCTTCTCTTCCTGGGTGAGTTTTATCACTTGTCCATAGTGCAAGGAAAGAGCTACGTTGACAGTGGAGGAAGAAATTAAACCTATCAGGACTCGTTAGACCTATCTATGCAGAAATTCTTTCACTGTCACTCAGGGAATATCAATGAGAGCGGATTAGCCAAGAGTTCAGCTTCGTTCACAGCTGAAGAATGATGCTTGATCCTGAAAGCCCTAGAAATAGAGGGAGGAGGAAAATATATAGGAGAGATAGAACATCCTAAATACATTTTAAAATGACCCGATTGAAATGATTGAAAATTCCAATGTGTGTTTTTCCGAATTTTCAGGAATACCATAATGTTCAACCCATCAAACCACTGTGTTTACCATTTCCCACCAGCATTACAGATAAGCATCAGATAAACATTATTTTCTAGTGGAATTTAAATGAAATAAGTGATAATAGCAGAAGCTGTTATGAATAACAGGCAGAAATAAATTTTTAAGATTGTACAACTGAATTCAGTTAAAAGAATTGGTGATATTCCTGTTTGTTGTAATATTTTTGTTGACTATGATGAAAATCAAAGCATATTTTGCATTGGATAAGACCACAATAACTAGAATATATCACTGATCAATAGAAAACAATTAGTCTAGATCTGCTTAAACTCTTCCTGTGCACTCTGGGACCCTCTCCTGTTATAGGGTACACATATATAAATACATATACAAGTTGTTGTTGATCACAATTTTTCAATAGCTTTCCTTCCAATACAGCTGCTTGAAAGCATCTCGGGGTTTGCTTAAATCTACACACTGGATATAGGTATGTACCTGTAAGTCTTTTACTGAACTAGTGCTTTGTAAAACTTTGCCAAATCATGGGTTCTTTGCTTGTCCATGTGAAATTAGTAATAAACATTGGAGGAAGCAGCAGCAAAATCCTGAATAAACAACGATGTAATCCAGTGTGTAGAGTTAGTTTGTTGTTGAGGACCTTAACACTCGCCATGGTGTCTTGTGTATAAAACATACAAGCTGGGAGGAGCAGTCTTTTAACATTGTAATTGTTATTGTCATTGTATCGATAAGTATGTAAATGTCTTGTCAAGAGAAGTCTACAGAAACCGGTGGTTGGTTAAGTTACGTGAAAGAATGAACAATAACACAAAAGCGGTGTAATAGGGTGGACACAATGCAGGTATATTGCATATTGTATTAGGATTTTTCCATTCACAGGCAATGGCTTGTACTGACCTAAAGCAGTGAAACATCCAATTTCTGCCCCTTGATCACAGTGGACTCCATGCTGTGTTGAGGTATTTGTTTGCAGTAAGATTTAAAATTCTGTTATGCTGCATTTTGATTTTTGTACTTTTATTAATAAATACTTTATTATAAATATTTCAGATTTGTACAATTTTCTCCCACATGAATATTTGGTCATTTTCAGATGCTATATTGGAATTCTGCCGGTCTCAGTCCTAATAATAATCCGTGACATTAGCATCCTTCTTTGAACAATCAGTTAACCTTTGGGTTTTGTGGATTGGTTCCCTCGGTCAGATGTTTGTGCTTAGGTTCAACTTTGGATTCACTCCATTGGCGTTTCATTTTTTTAAAAAAACTTACAAAAATGCTTTTTATTTCTCAGCAATGTGAGCAGTCAATGATTTGCACATACAGTACGTTGATAGTGTTACCATCTTACATGAGGAAAAATAACACCATTACATGTTGAAGCAAAAACCATAGATGCAGTATGTTACAATCATCTTTATGTTGCAGAGACCTTCCTTCATTACTTTCTTTACAGTTATTAATTGTTTTAGTCTTGAGTACATTTGCCTTCCATTTGATACTGTGAGTCACTTATGAAGCCCTCCCTATGACAGAATCGAGTAGGTCTCCACCTTCTGGTCCCACTGACATAGATTCAGAAGTAATAGTGTGAACACCAGATATTAATAACTTCGATCTCACGGCTTTAGCAACAGTGGAGTGTGGTCAATCAACTCCTAGTTTACATTCGGCGTGTGAAGTGTCTGAACGAAACGTGACCAATAGAGCAGATTTACTGGGATAGTATTTGATTGCCACAAGCTGGAAAATGTCAGCATCCACTTAGAGCATCTTGGGTCGATCCTGGGATTTAGCAAGAAAGATGGGTAAAGCAGCCAAGGCGGCTATCAGCACGGCCATGAACGGCCGATAGAAAAGCCAACCTGCAGCAATGGTCAGAAGGGTCAGTGTCGTGGCAACGCATACGGCAAAAACAGTCAGGCCAAGATCAACCAAGTCTCGGACAATTGGAAACCAGTCAACTGTAAAGAAGGAAATGTTGGGTTATTGAAAAATGCAAAGGATCGATTTAAACACCGAACGTAATTTCCATTACCACCGCTTCACACTCTAGCCTCGATTGCTATTGCAGATCTCCGTTACAACAAGTGCAGCTGGGACCTCACCATTAACATTAATCTGGAGCCAAGGTCAAAGACAAACCCATGTAACTTTACTGTAATCAACTTGCCACAGTCAGCAAGTGTCCATCTTAAGTTTCATTGTGTGGGTCAGTCACGGGCATAGATGAAATGGGGGCATGGTTGGCGCTTGAGAGCAATGCATCCACGCATTTCTATTTGTTATTGAATGCAAAGTTTATTTGCTTTTGCACAACAAATTAAAACAGCAGTCTGTAGAAATGCAGCTGACACCACCCCCTCATTTTTAAAGCCTTCCTCAGTCTTGCTCCTCCCTGCCTCTGCAACTCACTAAAATATTACCAACCTGTCTGTTCCCTCTGCTCGGTGGGCACAGGCCTGCTCCATGTCCCCCTGACCTGTCCACTCTCGGCAGTCAGGCCTTCAGCCTTTATGCCCCCAACCTCCGGCATTCCATCCCAGAGTCCCTTTGCTTCGCTCCCTCCCTTGGGCTTCTTCGAGGCCCAACTCAAGACTCTCTTTGACCGTGCCATCCTGTCACTTCCATCCCTCTTGATTCCAACCTCCAGCTTGTGTGCAAACCCTTCTCCGTCCAGGAGAGGAAAGGATGAAGATATCTTTCCACACCTCCAATTCCTCCTTCACAGGAACAGTTGTACTACTTCCAGGTTAGAACAATACCAGGAACAAACAACAAGCCACCGAGTTGAGTCTGTTCATAGTGCGAATAAACTTCCAACCAAACTTACCCAATGTGTGGAAGATTTTGGTCATGAGGTTGATGCCCACAAACATGAGGAGCCACCCCCCGAATCGCAGGCTCCAGGTCAGCACAGTATTTGCTGCGTGCTCTTTTTCAAACACTTCCTACGATTAGAAATTCCAAAGAAATCATTCCTGCGTCTGCATTGATTTATTTGTTTTGCACTTGTGATTTCATAGTCCGCTCACGAGAGAGCGTGTCTGTTTAAAGTTCTGATACCCTCGCGGGCAGTTGGTACATTTTCCGAAACATTTTTTTGGCTGTTTTCTTCTCTCCTGCAGCCACCGGTAACTACTTTTTGGCTTTCCCCCACTCCGTCCTCACAAATCAGCAGAATCTCAAATGACTGGCCTTTCTTTGCAGCTTCAGATTGAGCTGGGCAGAGAGTCCAGAAAATGTCAGCAGGATGTGACCATGGGACCCATCGCAAGCTGATCCTGTCCTGAGTCAATATCCCCAGCTGATAATCCTCTTCCTAAACCCAGGCTGTTGAGACTAGCTCTGGCAGGCACCTTAACTGCTGGCGCAGCTGAAACCAACTAACAGCACAATCTGTGGATGGAACCCATACCCTTCCTGATGGTGTGACTCGGTGCAAACACACTGAGCTCCGAAGAAAATAAATACATGGCAACAGCCTCCCGGTCTGTGAATTTAACCCCAAACAAGAAAATGTTATGTTCAGATATTTGTGAAAAATAGTATTTTCGGGCTAAGTGAGTGCCCTGCTTATTTTTGCACCAAGTTTAGTAGAATATGAATCTCACTGAAGCACAAGTGGCTGTTGAAACACAACCAATTAAAAGGGAATTGCATAACCCACTGAAGTGTGTAGATCGGAGTCCTGTAGCTCAGTGGTTAGAGCACTCGCTTTGCAAGCGAGAGACCTGAGTTCAATTCCAGGCAGAGGGCGAAACCTTGGGCAAGTTTCCTTACTCCACACACAGCCTAATAATAATCCCTCCAAAAACAGTAATAAATTGGTCATTTTCAATCCACGGCTGTTTGTGGGACACTGCTGTGCGCAATTAGCTGCCGCGTTCGCCCACAAATATAGTCAATTCACTTTACAGTATATTCTGTGGGACGTCTAGAAGATGTGAAAAGCGCTATATCAAATGCAAGGATTATTATTGTTATATGGGAAATGAGATTAGACAGTTATAGAAGCCTCCTCATATGCTGAAATGTCTTCATTTAAAGTGCACCTGGGGCAAACTGAACAGCGCTAGCTAACATTAAATATGAACAAGAACGTTCTCAGTTATTTTTAATAAATGAATTATTTCCAACACTGACCTTTGCTGAGAGTTGTTCCTCGTACAAGAGTTCAAGGATGTCCCCAGATTGCGTCTTGTAAGGAACCAGACGATCTCCCTCCTGTTGAGCCACAATGGTGACCTGCAGATAAAGAAAAGGAGAGGTTTGAGCAGACATGGCTATACAGGGCAGAAGGAGAGGTTGTTAGAGGAGATACAATGAAGACACTGGGACAGGTAAGAGTGAGACCAGGTAAGTGCAGAGCCATAGAGGTTACCAGTGAGAAGAAACAAATGAAGACAAGGGAGAAAGATGGGTACACACATTAAAATGACCAGGTTATTCTTTGCTTAAATAAATGCGACACTGCTCCAGGTTGCAGGTGATGTGTTTTTTCAATAACATCATTCTTCCAGCTATTGGGCTGTTCCTCCTGAAGCCAAAAAAATGAAATCCCGTGGTCAGTGTTCAGGGGCAGGCATTACCTACAACAGGTAACCTTGAAGGAAAATAGAACCTACCAGATCAGGTTGTCCTAAGAAGGAGCTCTCACCACTCAGCCCGGCATAATAGAAAGCAACTCGAAGGTCACCAACCTATGAAGCAAGGAGAGACATTGTTGGTGAGAACACTTTACTAGATGTTAGATCATTCCTTATGTTTGCAAGTGTCCCATCACAATAATAATAATCCTTGCATTTGATATAGCGCCTGATCACGTCTTCGAGACGTCTCAAAAGCGCTTAACAGAATACACCGTGAAGTGAATTGACTGTATATTTTGTGGGTGAAACGCAGCAGCCAATTGCGCACAGCAGTGTCCCACAAGCAGTTGTGGATTGAGTGACCACAATTTTTTTTGATATATTTATTTTTGACGGTATTATTATCCTGGAAAAGCGATCTGCCAATCGACTATCAACCGGGTTCCTACTTACCGTTAGGTAAACAAATGGATTGCTTTTTTGGACTTTGTCTCAAACATGCTTGTCAGATACAGTGAGATGCACCTCACACTCTACCTGAATCACGTATCCTTAAAATGTCAAATATACGTGTGGTACAATAAGAACCATAAACACTGTAGGAGGCCATTTGGTCCATTTTATCGTGCCATTTTATGCTCCTTCAGGAAGCTATGCATCCTAATTCCCTGCTCTTTCCCCATACCTTCTCTTAACCTTCTTTCGCACCCAAAACTGCACACTATTCTACCTACAGCCTAAATTATGTCATATGGATTCATTATCAGTGCCTTACTTTTGTAATCAAGGGCTCTGTATAAAACACAGAAATATTGTTTGCTCTTTCAACAGGAGCTTATAGTTACCAAACATGAGACAGGTTTAAACTCTTCCCCCTGTGGAACCGGAGTGAGAATGACACAAATTGTGAAAGGCTACAAAGAGGAGCTGGAAGCAGACTACAGATCGTTTTACTCTACCAAATGTAGTGACTTGCTGAAAACTGAGTTGCACAAACTGGATTCCTAGAGGTGAGGGGACCTTGTGCGAATCCCTTGTGCCAGTCAGTCATTCATTCCCCTTGAAGTTTTTAAATGAGATGACCCTTTCACAATCGAACACAGATCAACACCAACTCATAAACCACTTGACAAAGGTTTCTCACCTCTGGGTACTTGGGATTGTTACTCTGGTAAAAGTAATCATCTTGTACCATTATATCCATGTGAGGCCCCACAAACCTAGTGAGTCTTATCCTCTTAAAATTCATGATCTTGTCCGTAAGACCTTAAAAGGAAAACAAAATACAACCAATTGACATCTTGGAACATTATTACGCAATAATTTTGCGTGGATCACGGACTTCCATTTACTCAGTTATGTTATGGGCAAATCATCAGTAACTCTGCTTTACACTCACAACTCACAAAAAGAAATCATTGTTGACCATTGTAGCAGCTATAATCGTTAGAAAAAACTAATTTCTTACATCCTAAGCAGAACATTACCCAAAACTTTATTGTGCTCACCCATCAACAGTTCAACGCCATCGTTTTGCATTCTTACCTCTAGAAAGAGAAAATTCCTGCACCTTAACAACGGGAGCCACAGCAGTGAACGATTCCACGCCCATTGAGCTGCAAGAGAACAAATACTTTCTCATTGGATCCACATTTGGCACAGCAGCTCATCACATCAAAACATCTTATAGTATTCCACACAAGTTACTTTGAAGTATATGGACTGGTGCAAACACAGCAGCTAATCTGCAACAATAACCAGCAGCAAGGTGAAAGATTAATCAATTGTTTTTGTGCGGATTTAATAATAATAATAATTAATAATAATCTTTGCATTTGATATGGCAACTTATCACGTCATTGAGAAATCTCAAAACACTTCACAGGATATACTGTAAAGTGGAGCAACTGTGTATTTTGTGCGCAAAATATTAGTACTATTATTTGGATGAGGGAGGAATATTTGCCAAAACACTGAAAGAAAATAATTTACTGTACACGTGGTACAGTGACTGTGTAACAGAACGGTCTGACTTGGATAGCACTTGGGATAACATTTCAGGTATACAGAAAGCCTTTAGATTAAAAAAAACCACTCACCTCAAGCCTCCCTCTCACTTTTCCTTCCCACCCTGTCACAACTACACTCACCTATTCTAAATCAAGGCCACTATGGTGAATGGGCTCCATTCTCACCTTGGATTCTGGTGGCCAATTTCACGATCAAAGTTCCTGCTGTTGACAACATCCGATCTCCACTCTGTACCTAAGTGTAACAGAAGACCGGGGAAAGTGGGGGTTGGGGTGGAACTCAAGTCTCTTTATTGCACATGGCTATCATAATAATGCAAGTCTCGATTCTCGGTAACATGCAAAACTATTTTATACATTTTCTTTACATTTCCCCACAGTATTAACAAGTCGTAGATCAAGGAAATATTAAAGGGAAGACTCCTATCCAGATTTCTTAGGCAAATTTTCACCACTACAATATTAATATACGAGTAGATGGGACTCACTGTACGAATACTTGGTTTCTTTCTTCTTTTCACCATCTTCCTCGTACTCCCTGAAGAAGATTTGTTGCAATTAATTCCGGTATAATGCCGCAAGATCCACATTTGCTTCCATTATAGATGCAAATATGCGAAATATGCAAAGCACTGGGTCAAGGGTTTTTATTCCATCCTCGATTCTCTCCTGTCCTGAAGATTAGTTCTACTGATCAGCATTCTATGGAATGGAACAGGCTGCCATGGGGTTGTGGGATATGGGGTATCAACAAACTCAAAAGGGAACCAAAATAGAATATTGACGATAGAGGCAATTGAAGGGTTCAAGAAATAACGAAAGAATCCTGCCCATTCCATCAGACTGCAGGTAGAAGACAATCTGCTGCCTTTTCCCCAGTATATTTTCTGCAACACTAACTTAATATTTGAGATCGAATTGACACAAGTAATACTGGCTAAAAAGGTTCTTTTTACAGGATTACTGACCTTGTGTCTTCATACTCCACCCACTGGTACATTTCAGCTCGTCGCTGGAGTCTGACTGCAAAGATGGAGATCCCATAGTTTGGGTCATGAAGTGCCTGCAATCCAAAAAGCACAAGAACAGTCAACCAGGAAGCAGACTGATGCAATAATCATAATTATTACTATAATAATAATTGTCTTTGATTTAGAGCTTCATCGCATCATCCAAGAGTCTTAAAAGTGCTTCAAGGGAATTTACTGTGAAGTGCAGTGACTATATTTCCCACAAATATCCACAAGGTGAGTAACCAAATGTAATTAATAGTTTACAAAATAAAATTACACCGCCTTCACCTACCTGCAGGGTTGCAAGATATCCTGACAAGTGCACTAGTTTCCCCTCGTGCTGAGGTTGAATGGAGTAGAAGTCATTCAGCGGCACCACCAGAGAAAGGCCCTCGTCCAGGGATTTCTGTGTCTTGAGAGTTCGGCCCTGCAGTCAAGGAAAGTAGTATTACAGTTGGCTAGAGAGGGATAACAATATAATCCTTGTATTTGATATGGTGGAATAGCTGCAGTTCACCCACAAAATATACAATCAATTCACTTTACAGTATATTCTGTGAAGTGCTTTGAGACGTCTCGAAGACGTGATAAGGCGCTGTATCAAATGCAAGGATTATTATTGTTATATAGCGGCTATAGCTTCAGAACATCTTAAAAGCGCTTCAGAGAGTTTTTCTATAAATTCTAGTGACTGTGTACTTTTTTAGATGAACATGGCAGCCAATTTGCGACAGTAATGTCTGACAAAGAGTAATGCAGGAAGTGAAAAATGTTATGGTGGATTGTTTGCCAGCACATCAGGAGAAATCCCCTTCTCTTTCTTTTCGAATGGTGTCATGGCATTTTTAACGCCCACCTGAATAGACAGACGGGACCTCGGGTTAAAAAAAAAAATCTTATTTTCAAGGACGACACCTCTAACAAACCAGCAATGCAGTGAAGTGTCAGCCTAGACCATCGTCAAGGAGCGGCTCCTGGAACATTCGTACGTCTCGATAAGTCCATCTGCGATTTCAGTTTTTTTTCTTGATTGAATGCTTTTCGATTTACGGCAATAAATATTTACAGTAATAAAAACGCAGGGGATTTGTTTTTGGGGGGGAGGGGGTGGGATAATGAACAGCTGACCACACGAAAGGTAGAAATTACAGTGGATCGGGGTCTCCCATCACTTACCTCATTAGAGAAGAGGACATAGAAGGAGAACAGGAAGAGAAGTAATCCGCCCAGCATCCCTCCCGACGTCTCCCCGAGACGCTCCAGGAACCCAGGCTTCTTGTGGCTCGTGGTCTTTACGTGCTCGTCCTTTCCGCTCTTATCCGATTCCTTTTTTTTTTAAAAGAAAAAAGACCACTGCAATTGAAAGTTTTCTTTCGAAAAGAAAAACCGTAACCCTTGCAGCCTTATTTCACACGAGGGGAAACCAGAGAGAGCGAGAGAGCGGTCGGCTTTCCCTCTGCTGTCTCGCATTCGTCCTGAGGAACAGCGAAATTAAAAAAAAAAACCTATTACTCCAGAGGCAGAAAACAGCATTACTTCCAATAACAATAATAATAATAATAATAACAACAATCATCACATCCTTCTGACACGTTTACTGCATCAAGATGCGGAGGTGAAAACCACTTGAAACATCTCCCACTGTCCCACCATCCGAGGGGTAACATTTTTTTTTGAACCCCAATTTTTTTCCAACCCCAATGTATTTTTAACCCCCAATTTTTTATTAAAACCCCTAAATTAAATTTAAAAAATTTTTTTTAAAAAAAAACCCCCATCAATAAAAATGATAATCATCTCCCAACAGCTGACAGAAAGGAAATTGTAATGGCAATGAATCCCAGTGCCTGAGCTCACAGTGGGCCTCGCCATCTCCTCCTCTCTCTCTGGTGCTGAGAGTGTCCACACCACCACCTTCTTCCTGTCCAACTCATGGGGGGGAAATGGGGATACATTGGACGCATGCGCACTGGCGCTCTGGGTACTGCGCCTGCGTGTTTCCTGGCCCCCTTCGGCGGTGCACTCTGGGAAATGTAGTCTCGCCGCCGCTACGCCTGCCGGGAATTGTAGTTCGGGCTCTGACCCATGGGCAGCCAAGCCATCCACATGATAATGATAATAATAATAATAATAATAATCCTCGCATTTTTTTGATATTGCGCTTTTCACGTCGGGAGGACGTCCCGAAGCGCTTCACGGAACACACTGCAAAGTGAACTGATTGTATATTTGTGGGCGAAGGCGGCAGCCAATTGCGCGCAGCGGCGATAATAATAATAATAATAATAATCCTTGCATTTGATATAGCGCTTTTCACGTCGGGAGAACGTCCCAAAGCGCTTCACAGAACACACTGTAAAGTGAATTGACTGTATATTTGTGGGCGAACGCGGCAGCCAATTGCGCACAGCAATGTCCCACAAACAGTCGTGGATTGAAATGACCAATTTATTATTGTTTTTGGTTTTGGAGGGATTATTATTAGGCTCTGTGTGGAGTAAGGAAACTTGCCCGAGGTTTCGCCCTCTGCCTGGAATTGAACTCAGGTCTCTCGCTTGCAAAGCGAGTGCTCTAACCACTGAGCCACAGGACTCCAAATGCTGCATGAGAGGTCTCCAAGGCAACCTGAGGGGGGCCAGTTCCAATGATGTATGCACACCACTTTGCAACCCCCCCCCTCCCCCCCGCCCGCCCCACCCGAAAGCACGTACCCCAGCTTTACTAATTCCGGAGAGTACGAAGGTGCAGGTTTCCAAGGTCCCAAGACTTGGGAACGACCCCACACTGAATGGACATTGGGTTTTTTGCGGCTGGAGCTTGAACCGGCTAAAACCGTAGCGAGGTAGTTTTGCCATCGAAAGCGCTGTCTGGCAAGCTTTCCGTCGCTTCCCCGGGTATAACCGCCCTGTCCGTTTAGGGCTCCGGCCGGCAGTGGGAAGAATCCCTACTTCAGTGGGCGGCTTTTGCTGGTTCCATGGGATCCTGGGAATCGAGCTCACTGGAACTATCCGGTTCAAAATCATTTCAAATATATATTCTTAAAGATTAATTAAATTAGCATTGAACACGCAGTACCCCAGGACACAACCAGACACTGCTTTCAATGGCAAGCTGTGCAGTTTTACCTGGTTAGTACCCCAACTCTGGGATCCCCCCCCCACCCCACCCAAGCCTTCATTCCTGCCAACTTTTAGTAATATTTTAAAAACATTTAATAATATTTTGTAATATTTTAGCAACATGTACTAACGTGCTCAATAACATCTTTAGCGAGACGCAATAACATGATTCATAACATCTAGTAAGATTAATAATATGCAGTTACACTCATAACATGTTCGCTAACCTTCAGTGACTACGACAAATTGCGCCTTTACATAGGGAATGAACACCCGAGCCGGGGGCGGGAGCCAAGAGGGCGTTTTGCTTTCCTTATCGTTTAATAACGCGGTTTACGGCGATTCAAGTCGCACGAAGATAACATCCAACCAACGCTTAAACCGGCGAACGGCTGTCGAACCGCGCGTTCGTGATCGCGCGGGTCTCGTTTACTCGGCCGCACCTTTGCGAGCAAAAGACATCGGCGCGTTCAAGGCGTCGCGAACGGCACGACGACGGGTGGGGGGTGGGGGGGGGCCACCACGACGACAACAACAACAACAAGATGGCGCTGATAGAGCGCCTTTTCACGTCGCGGGGGGGGGGGAGGGGAGGGAGGGAGGGAGCGAGGAGAGGGGGCGGAGAGTCCAGAGGGGCGTCCGAACGGGGCGATCCACCGCCCGAAACGCGAGGGTCGGTCGTGGCCCTTCTTTTTTGTCGGTTCCCCCAATTGGGGGGAGTGTGGGGGGGAGTGTGGGGGGAGGGGAATGTGGGGGGGATGTGGGGGGGAGTGGGGGGGGGGGGGGAGTGGTGGGGAGTGTGGGGGGGGTGGGGGAGTGTGGGGGGATGTGGGGGAGTGTGGGGGTGGGGGGAGTGTGGGGGAGTGTGGGGGGGGAGTGGGAGGGGGGGGTTGGGGGTCAGTGGCCAACCGGCGCAGTGCGCGACTGCGCAGCGCGGGGTCAGGGGTCAGGGGTGACGGAGCGCCGGGGAGTCATGTCCTACTGCCGGCAGCAAGGTAACGGGGGGGGGGGGCCTGAGGGGAGGCCGCGGCTTCGGGAGGGCCTCCCCCCCAGCCACCCGGGGAGGGAGAGAGGGAGGACCCGCCCGCCCCTGCCCGCCCCTCGCCGGCTCAATGCATCACCGTGTACCGAGGCCCCAAACAAGGCCTCCCGCGCTCTGCTCTCCCCCTCTCTCTCCCTTCCCGCTCACCTCCACCTCCGGGGAGAGAGTGCGTGTCCGGGCCTCTGGGTCACTGTAACCCCCACCCACACCCCCACAGCTCCAGCAGGTACCCACCCACCGGGACACAGAGAGAGAGAGAGAGAGAGAGGGGGAGAGGGGGAGAGGGGGGGGGAGAGGTAATACCCGATGGACAAAGGATCTCCGGTGTGTAATGACTGACCGATTCAACGCACGTTGTGGTCGGAGGGTTCCGGCCGAGGAGGAGACGGTCGGCGGAGCGCGACGGTGATCATCTTGAGACGGGACCGATGTCGGTTGCGCGACCTTGAAGAGGTCGCCGTGACCCCCCCCAACCCCCCCCCACTCTCCCCCCTCCCTCCCTCCCTCCACGGGAAGCAAACAAATTCCTTGCGCCGCATAATAATAATAATGATTATAATAATAATGAATAATAACTCCTGCGTACGATACGCCGCCTCGTCACGCGGTCGAGACGTCTCAAAGCGACTGTGAAGGGGGTCGGCTTTTGTGGGCGAAAGGCGGCGGCCAGTTCGGGACGTGACGGGTGCTGTGCAGGTGTAATTTGTCGTTGTTGTTGTTTTGTCCGCACGTAACTATGTCCCACAGACAGCCGCAAAGTGAGCGACCGTTGAAGGGGTTGTTGACAGGACGCGAGGAGAAATCTCCCCTTTTTTTTTTTCGCGAGTTAATGCCGCGGGATCTTGAGCGTCCACCCGAACAATTAGACCCTCAGATTAGCGTCGCAGCCTGAAGGACGCCGCCTCCCGACAATGCAACAATCCCCCACACTGCATTGGAGTTGTCATCTTAGACGGTGTGATTCCATGTCCCAACGTGGGGCGGGTGCACCACCGACCTTCGGACCTAGAGGCGACAATGCTACCACTGCGCCAGGCTGACACTGACCGAGTCTTTCACGTCGGGAGTCAAGATATACTGTCAAGCGTCGCGGCTGTGTGTTTCGTGGGGCCACTAAGCTGATGTATTGACAGCAATGTGTTCTTGTGTTTCAGGCAAAGACAAGGTCATTTTCGTGACCAAAGAGGACCATGAAGCCCCGAGCAGTGCAGAGCTGATTGCTGACGATCCCAATGACCCTTACGAAGACCAAGGTGGGTTTCTGGCTCGAGGGGGAGGTAAAGGGGAAGCCCGAGAATCCTGATGTAATCCCCTCTGTGTTAAGAAAAGAGAATGTCTGCACAGCCTGGCGGCTTGAAGTTCTGTCGTCATTATAAGGGAATCGGAACCTGTTAATCCTGAGAACTCTGTGGGAAGGGGGTGGGGTGGTAAACAGCAATTTCCACGTGTAGGCGGCTTACATGTGTGGAATTCTCTGGTTTGGATACTCTTAAGCCTGGTGACGGGTTTCCGCATGTGACAAACAGCAGTAATACAAATATCACCCGTCCTCAAAAATTTAGGTGCTTAATTCCAGCTATCCAGTTGCTCATTGCTGTACTCCCCTACAGCTTCTGTTGTTTCGTTTGATATCAAACCTTAGACCTTGTTGGATCATCCCATCCAGGCTGTGTGTGTGTGTGTGTGTGTAAAAGGGATGGATGGGGTATTTTCTATAAACTTCTTAAACTATTTGGGGAAGCTGTGGAAACTCTTGCACATGGGATCAGGTAAATTGTCTCCATAATGCTGTGGGTGTGATATCAGGCTGATTTTATTAATGGTGTTACACAAATTTAAAATGATCCGGAGAGGCTCTCGTGCTCACCATTGTACTTCTCATACTCAAAACTGTTCGTAAGCAAAATACCACGATTCAGTGAATGGATACTTGTAGAACAGAAGCATAGTTGACCAGCAGGTGGTGAGAATGCAGAATTCAGAGTTAATAATACAGTTATAATGATAATAAATATAGCATCCTATCATGTCGAGAGATGTCTCAAAGCAATTCACAGGATATACTGTAAAGTGCAGTGACTGTGTTTTGTCGGTGAACGTGGCAGCCACTTTGCGCACAGCATTATCCCACAAACAGCTATGAAGTGAATGACCAATTTTGTTTGGAGGATTGTTGGCCTGGACATTGGGAGAGAGAATCTCCCTTTTTTCGAATAGCTCCAGGGGACCTTTAACGTCCACCTGTACGGACAGACAGGACCTCGGTTTAATGTCTCATCTGATGGTTGCCACCTCCCAACAATGTCACCCCCCGTCCAGTACTGTATTGGAGTGTCAACTTAAGACTACGTGATTCCAAGCAGTGTTTTCCCTTAGTTCTGTTGCAACTGATTTAGATATCCGTTCCGTAAATGTCTGGTTGCCAAAAAAAGGTCTTTGTAAAGAAAAGTTAGATTGGTTAAAAGAGTGCTTTTTATAGGGTCTCCTAACCTCAAGGTATTCAGCCTTTCGGGTCCTGAGTTTGAACCAACATTGTATTAAATTCGGCCACTAGATGGAACACTGTGACTTCTGGAACCAGTTCTGCATTGCAGTTCATTTAAGAGATAAGTAGAAGACCCCATTATAATGCTGTGTTTAGACACCTGTGTTATAAAGCAGACTTGTGCTCCAGTGAAGTGTATTGCAGTGAGGTTGCCCTGTTCTTCAATATTTCACCGCTGCTATCAGCAACGACTGTTGGTGTAAATATAGCTGGAATAGTAAGGATTCCAAGGAGGGGAGGGAGAAGAGAGAGAGAGAGAGAGAGAGAGAGAGAGAATGTACAATATACGAGACCCACCTCCAATGATGTGCAAAAGCATCACCAACTCACCTTCTGATGCTGGGAGGTAAATAGAATCTCTTGACTGCACAGTGACACCCGGTAAAGCCTGGCAGCTCCATGGTACTTAAAGGAGCCTGTGTGGCTCATCGTTCAGACTTGAAGATATTGACATGTCCTCAACTCTGCAAAGCCATAGTCCAACAGGCTGGGTGGTTCTAGCTGGACAGGCCATTGCTTTGAGAAAGGTACTGCATTTCTGAACAGCCAGAATCTTTGGGAGATTAACTTGTAAATTTACCAATAGCTCACAGCCGAGTGATAGGCTACTGTTTATTAATATATTTAGAACTCGGGGCTGGAGGGGCTTCAAAGCTCCCTCAGAGACCTAATTATGACATATTGCCACATAATTGTCCTCACATGGTTGGGATTTTATGTTGGAGTTATGTTGTCCATCACTATTACCTCATTAAAACGGATTGTAAGAATGCCTGCGTTACAGATGCCTAAAAGTGCTGTTTTATAAGTACTTTTTTATGACCGGAAATATTACCGGAGTGTGCTTGCCTGCTCCATTAGCAGGGAAGGAGAATGAATGCCTTTCGAACAACAGCTAGTTTAGTAGCTAATGAAATTGCATCCCAAATATCAAGTTGTTTCCCCTAGTTTTTTTCCAGCACATTTGCCTTTCTTTTCCCTCTTATTTTCTATCTTTGTCTTATCGAAGTGCAAATTGTGTTGTGTTGTTTTTGACCGTCTCCTCTGTTTGTTTGGTTGACTGTATCTCCTTTGACTGACTGACTTGACTGACTCCTCTGTTTGGCTGACTGACTGACTTTGTCCTCTGGTGTAATGTGCAGTGCTACTGTATTTACCAGTAACGTATGGTCCACACGTTCTATCAGTTTATTTATCTTGAGTAATACATTTTTTTAAATCTGTCATTAATGAAACGGGGAGGGATTGTCAATGAACTCTTCATAGATCAGACTGCAACAGATTAACAGACACAAAATATATCAATCTGAGAAGGACACTGTTTGTGTGGATGCATGTCTCGAGTGTCGGTCTGTGTCTGCATTTTTCCGACGTGAATCGGCGCCATATAAATGCAGTTTGTTGTTGTTGGTCTGTGTGCATGTGTGTGAGTTTCCCTCGCTCTTCATGCTTCGTTACTTTGACCCTAAACCATGATTATTACTGATGATTATTTTGACATTGGTCAACAGTGGGGAGGAAGAATGATATGAAACCTATACTTCCATTATTAAAGGCTATAATTTCAGGTCGGAGGAGTGAATTGATGCTGTTCCAAATCTTGCCTTGTGCTGCTTTTTTCACTACTGACTCAAAGTAGCTGCTTATTAGCTCATCCAGATGCCAAGTCCGCTTACACTGCTGAATTAGATCGAGATCTGAAATAGACGGGTGGGGGGCGTGGGGAAGTGGAGAGGAGAGAGAAAAGAAAATGAGAGCTGTGTGTGTGTGTATACAGTAAGGACAACTTCTGCAACAGGTGATGACCAGGTGTGTATGAGAGAAATGCTGAACAGAAGGTGCCAGGTATGAATGGCATCCAGGTGTGTTCAGGTCAGCGAATGGATTAACTGGATTAACCTACAGGCTAGAGAATTCGCACCCGAGGGAATATGAATGCTGCAAAACGAAGCTGATGCTTTTATTGTGCACAAAGCCCTCATTTCCTGCAATTTCTTTTTGATTTCCAATTCAGTTTGAATCTGAATTTCCATTAACGATGCAAAGATGGGACAATCTCTAACCATATTTTATCTGCCCATTGTATTCATGTGCAAACTGTTCAGTTCAGTTTAATACCCTTTTTTTTGCTGGAGATTAATCGCAGTATCTAATTTGTTGCTCACATTATCTGGGCTCGTTGTATTGTAGTATCTGCACTGGGCAGCAAACCAGGAAATGTTCCCTTATCCTGAATACAGTGTCTGATGCTGATTCAATAATATTCCATTGCATGGAATAGCTTATTGCTTCGAAATGTCGAAATGTTTCATTTGACATTTGAAGTTAGTTTGAAGCAAACTGGCCACAGAGCTGAGCTGAGGGGGGAAATTAGTCAAAATTTCCACTGCTCCTGATTACTATCCAGAGACTCCTGATGGGAAGGCAACAGTATATGTGTGGATGTTAGTTCTTACTACGCCCCGAAGCTGTGGAACTCTCTCACTCAGTCCCTCCGACTTTCCCCCTCCCTCCCCACTTTCAAATTCCACCTAAAGGCATTCCTTTTTGATCTCCCACTGGCTCGGGGTCAGACTCCGCCACAGTCAAATGCTCCGGGACGCTACCCCGAGTCAAGGCCGATTATATAACTGCAAGTTGTTGTTAGTTGGGGACAGGAATGAGCTCGGCTGTGGATCTCCCCCTGTTTTCCCCTTCTTTCCCCCTTCCACATAGTGGCTGAAGCTTGGCTAATGGTGGGTGAGAGACAGGCAGCTACCTGAGTTTGCGAAGGGGACGGGCAGGAGATTGACGTGGAGAAGGTCACAGAGGTAGAAAGGGGAGCAAGCGTGTAAGGTTTCTATGTGAGGGTGAGGATCTTTAAATCAATGTGCTGGGTGGGAACTGTGGATCCTGGTAAGTGTGAGCCACACTGAGATGTACACTGTAGTAATAATAATAATAATCCTTGCATTTGACATAGCGCTTTATCACATCTTCGAGACGTCTCAAAGCGCTTCACAGAATATACTGTAAAGTGAATTGACTGTATATTTTGTGGGCGAGACGCAGTGACCAATTGTGCACAGCAGTGTGGATTGAGTGACCAAATTACTATTATTTGTTTTGAAGGAATTATTACCCCCGGAAAAGCGATCCGCCAATTGACTAACGACCGGGTTCCTACTCACTGCTGGATAAACAGAGGCATGTGGAGTAAGGAAACTTGCCCAGCATATCGCTCTGCCGGGAGTTGAACCCAGGTCTCTCACTTGCGAGGCGAGGGCTCTAACCACTGAGTTACAGGACTGCATTGTAGTGTGTGCTTTATGAGAGCAGCTCATACAAACTGGAGCCTTTGTCAGATAACATTGCATTTTCCCATTATGATAACTTCTATCTCCTTTGGCGCTACTTTGCTCGCTTGTATTTATCCCAGAAACAGCAGCCCAGTTTTCCAGGACTCTGGATGAGTTACGAGGTATAAACCTGTGGGAGAGAAGTCAGCGAGTTTTCCTACAATGTAGCACTTGTCCCTTGTGCACACGTGGAGCTGTATTATACTGTTAGAAAGGTACAGCCCTGGTTGTCACTGTAAATTACACCCTGCATGCTGTCATTAGGAGGGGGCGGCCCTGGAGATTTTTCCATTTGCTTGGAATGTGCTGTGTTTGATTGATGTCTCGTGCTGGGTCCCAATGAACGCTTTGTTCCCAACCTGTAATGATGTGAACTGTGCAAATTCTGAGCAGTTGTTGTCCTCCGTAACTCACCTGCAACGCACTCTTTGTTTGGTTTCCTGGTCTCCAGCTCTGCTGGAGAGAAAGAGAGAGAGAGAGAGAGCGGGGAGAGAGAAAGAGAGAGAGAGAGAGAGAGAACCAGATGGCCTCGGCTGCAGACCTATAGCTCGCAGCAACAGCTACACCCTCAGACATCAAAGCTAGTTTCCACTCCTCAAAGTTTCGGGGTCCTCTTTGGCCCCAGTTCAAGCTGCTGTCTGTGCACGTTCCAATCGAACTGTAACATGCGTGCGAGACGTTGGCGAGGTCTGGTGGCACAACCCATAATTAACAAACTACAGTCCCGCTAATGAAAACAGAAGTTCTATTCATCAATGCTCAGCAATTGTCCATAGGCAGATCAATTACACCACAATCGCAGTTCTTCCCCCACCTTCCTTCCCCCCCCCCCCACTCCCCCACCCCAATCTCCTCAACTCGTGCTGAGTTACAGTTCTGCAGGTACTGACCATACTCCACTCCCTCACCCAACCAACCATTTTAAAGGTGGGAGTCGAGATGTGTGACTATCAGCATCCTGGGACGTCTTTCCGACGTGAAGGGCGCTATACAAGTGTAATGTGTTCTTGTTGACTATCGGGGAGGAGTATTAATACTCCTGTCCGCTGCCTACGCATTGCTAGATTCCAACAGGCTCTCTGGTTAAGGATCATGAGTGGAAATCCACCTTGGGNTTTTTTTCTTCCTTGTCTCTCTCCCTCCCCCCACCCCTCCCCTCTCGAATGCTTTAGATCATTTGAAGACCACCAGCCTTTGTCCCACAGCTAAGATTACCAGCTAACTCAACCCCAGGTCAGGTATAGATTGGGACTGTTTGGTTGTCTCGATGCCAGAATAGGTGGGACCAGATCCTGCTTGATCTAAGCTTGTACCAAGTTCTGGGACTTGCATCTTATCCCTCTCGCTATACATAAATTATAACAATTATAGCACCATTGATAATCAGGGGGACATCCCAAAGCACTTCACACAGGTGACTGGGAACCTGAGCCGGGCAAGTGGCATTAATTGTTTTATTTCTGATACCATTCTTTAGACTGATGATTTCAGCAAGTTGTCACACAAACGTCCGCCACTTGCTGGCCTAAACTCCCAAACCACGTCTCTCTACGTTTGGTCACAGCTTCTGCAAACACCTCCCAGTTTGGGGGTGTCCACAAACATGCATAATTTTGTTTTAGTTCCCACTTCCAAGTCATTTATGTACATGAGACGTCTAGAAGACGTGAAAAGCGCTATATCAAATGCAAGGATTATTATTATTGTTATGTACTTTTATGGGACTTAATCTCAAAGGTAGACAATAACGATCCACGTCAGTATTGGAAAAGAGAAGGGAATTTCTCATGTTTTGCTTCAAATTAATTGATCATTCACTTCATGGCTGTTTCTGGGACTTGGCGGTGAGCGTAATGGTTGCCACGTTTGCCTACAAAAAAAAACTGAACACTTGATGATTGCTTTCAAGAACTTTGGGACATTTCAACCTAAGAGGCGTCATTAAAGACAAGTTATTTCTTCCGAATGTAACCTCCAACAAACTGGTCTCTGAGGTACCTCCCAGTCAACCCATCCCATCACTGAAGCTGGCCATGTAAAATGACCCTTTGAGCCTCCAGATCCAGTTGTACTTTGATCCACTGCTGCCCTTCTGCACCGAACCAGCAGGTCTTGTCTCTTTTGATGAGGTGTGGGTTGCTTTCTTGGCTGTGTGTCGTATATCTTAAGATGAAACTTCTGAATATCTTCCAGGTCTCATTTTGCCAAACGGCGACATCAACTGGAACTGCCCGTGCCTGGGGGGCATGGCGAGCGGGCCGTGCGGGGAACAGTTCAGATCGGCCTTCTCCTGCTTCCATTACAGCAAGGAGGAGGTGAAAGGCGCCGAGTGCCTGGAACAATTTAGAACAATGCAGGAATGCATGCAGCGGTTTCCCGAGCTGTACCCGCAGGAGGACGAGGAGGGGGAGGAAGAGCGGGAGATGAGCAAACCTCCGTCGGGAGAGGAATCGCCGTCGGTGCAGGAGCAAGTGTCCAGTTAATATATAATCCAGGGAGATCACCCCTCCTCTGTCTCTCACTCCCTCTTCCCTGGCATCTCCAAGCACAAGGTGGTGAAGTTGTAATCAACTGCATTTGGGCCTTCTTTTAGACCATGTTGGCTGATACACGCGTCATCCTGGCTTCACAGCGACGGGGTCATTGTGATTTGTCAATAAACAGCACTACGGCAGTGCCTACCAAGAGCCCAGACTATGCGGGCTAGTCTGTGTTCCTACAGTACTGTAATTGCCAGATCCAGTCAGGTTCCCCATCTCTCGACGTGCTGGAAACTGTCAATGGTGTAACAGCGATCGCGAGGCAATTGCAGAAAAGGTACATTCTAGTAAATTAAAACACCTTTTTACCTCATTGAAGTGCATTTGTTCATATTTTTTAATTTTTATATATGTTATTTTTCTATTTCCTCCCCTTCCCTCGGATGAAAATAATTAATAATCCCTCCACGCATGAAAAAATGGTCACTCAACCCACGACTGTTTATGGGACACCGCTGTGTGCAATTGACGGCCGATTTTCTCCCACAGAATATACAGTCAATCCACTTTACGATATATCCTGTGAAGCTCTTTGAGACGTCTCAATGACGTGATGGCGCGGTATCAAATGCAAGGATTATGAAGCGATCTGTGGTACAGTCCGCACTTTGTGCAGGTTGCCACTCTGAAATTGGGGGAGGGTGTGCGCGAGTGACGAGGATTACGTGAGTATTCAGACACGGAGTAAGAGGCTGGTACAGCGAAGTTGATCTCCATGTTCTCACAGTTGTACTTTCCAGCAGGAGTCAGTAGATGGCATTTGGGAGCTGGATACCTGCTGTTTTCTGCCCACAGTTAATTCGGTGCAGTCCAGGGATTGATCATGAGAATTTCTTGGGCTGCCTGGCTCTGTACCAAGCCCCGCTTTTACTTGCTGCGCCACCACACACGCCTTGGTCTTAAACCATTTTGTACTTGGTTTATGTCAAGGCAGAGTATTGGCTTCTCTTGTTAAATGTGCAATTGAATCAGCGACTAACATGAAACATTTGGACCAGGCTGTGTGTTGACTGTCGTTTGATGAACAATGATCCTGCTCGCTCTCTCTCTGCACCATTCTCATTCTCTCACTCTGCCACTCTCTCTCTCTTTCTCCCTCCCTTTCCCTTGTGTTTCTCTTACTCTCTCTGCGGCACTCTCTCCGCCTAACTACCTGCTATGGTTCATGTGACTGTGGCTCAGTTAAAAAAAGGATTGAATTAAAGGAAAAAAAAATTCAACCGCAGTTGTAGATACTTTTTCTGATAACCGATGAACCAAAATGATTGATTGATTGATGGATTGATTGATTGATTGATTCACATGTTTTCTAAGCTGTGCAAGAACAGCTCGTGAAATGATCCATTTGCCCTCCATTTCCCCCTCTCCAAAGTATTGTACTCACTCAGGTCCACTCAAGACTACACAGCCCTGCAATTCTGCTGTCAAGACACCCTCACCTTCACAAGACAAATAGAGATACACAATTAATCTTCTTGTCCCATGTAAAGATTCCCAATTTCCTTCTGGATATTGGATGCCTGAACAATGCTGCTCATTGCTGTCCCATGCAACAACTTTCAATATAAATAGCTCCCTTCAAAGAGAATAACAACTCAGAGCTCTTAGGAAAGAACGGGATCGAACAATGAACAAGGGAGAAGTGGTCAAGTGGAACGTGACTAATCACAGTCGAAGAGGTAGCTTTTTAAGTGGGACTAATATAGATCGGGTGCAATGGAAACTCCTTACTGCGCACCAAAACCCTACTGCGTACCAAACATGGTTTGAACCTGTGGGACAGAGTGTGTGTGCCACCTAAATGGAATGTTGGAAGGACAAATTGTACCAAAGTAATCCTTGTATCACTGCTTCTCCGAACATGTCTGTTGCTGTTTTTTTTTGTCTTCTCTCGTTGGCATCCACTCTATTTACGTTTGCTGCTAGGTAGCAATAAACCTGTGTGGCCAAGGTAGATTATGCTCAGACATGACTTGTACGTCAAGGTGTTTGATAAAGTAAATGGTTGCAAAGTTTTTAGTATAGTTGCATGTTATGACCCAGGGCGATTAAAAGCTCTTGTGAGGGAAGCACGCAAACAGCTTAAGGCATTCGCTAGTGACCATTACAGTTCATTACAGTAGCCATAGTGATATCTCTATCCATAAACAGGTGATGTCACCATTAGGAATATTCATTCACTCAGTCGTTCACTTAATGGCTGTTTGTGGGACATTGCAGTGGGCAAATTGGCTGCCTCAGTTGCTTGAAAATACAGTCACTGCACTTCACAATAAAATCTTGCGAAGCGCTTTGAGATGTCTCGACTGCATAATAAGGCGCTATATCGAATTAAAGGATTATTGTGTTAATAAAAATATTTGCAAAGCGCATGATCTACAGCATGTTCCAAAGATATCAAATCAACTTTCACTGCCTTAATCTTACTGCCTTATGACAGAATCAGCTATTGCCCTGCACGACATAAACCAAAATCCGTTTAGAAACTTCATTACCAAACCAGAACGAGTATGTGCTGTAGTGAGGGAGCCACTTTTCTCAGTGATGGAACATTTCACCTGGCATCATCGCTGCTGGTGGGGAAAAAATGGTCTGTTTACATGCCATAATCTTACCTCTAAGTACCCAGGATAAAATCATTGTGATAGCAACACTCTGTGGACTGTCAGTAAGCAATTGAGTGAAAAGCACGTTGAGCAACTTGATTCCCTCTGTTGCTCAGCCTTGTCATTTACAATGCAACTTTTTGTAGGGTACTAAGCTGACATTTAATGATGCCAGAAATGGGGAATTTCATTCAACTTCGAGCTACTTACTGTTCATCCCCAAGCTGAAAATCAAAGCGACTCTTAGCTAGGAGTTATGAATCATATACGTGTGTTTATTGCCCTGTCTCATATCTTTCGATGCATTTATCCAGAACTCCAATCCTTCACAGGGGGAAAAAAACTAAGAGAGGCCAGTGAGAGTGATTCCAGTAAGTTTGTTGCGCATCCTGAGTAGCACTAAAACTCAGAAGGTTCAGATGAAAGTGAAAGAAAGCGTTGTTTCATTTAAACATAATCCTGACAAGCTGAGGACACATTCTCAGGACGTTCACCATCCCTCCTTCCCGAACAAATGTTCTCCAAGTCAGAAATCTGATTGCCAGGAACAGCAGTGGTTGAGAGTTAGATGGCACTGCAAATACAGTGCAGTATTTATATTTACATTGTGCCTTTCATGTCAGGAGGACACCTCAAAATGGTTAATGCTGGCTGGGCACCCGAACCGGGTGTGGGAGCCAAGGGGGTTGGGGAGGGGAAAGATGATCAAAAGCGAAGTCAAGGAGGTACGTTTTGAGATGAGGTGAAGGAATCGGAGGGACTTTGGAATGGAGTGGGGGTAGAATGGCTGAAAGCCCATCCAATGCCTGGGTGGATAAGTCAGGACATGAAGCGGGACAGTCACTAAAGGTAAACAAACACGACTCCAGTATATTCAATCATCATCTTTTTGTGTTAACTTTGCATAATGTGCGTATCAGTCTGTGAATCAGCCTGTATAGTATCTTTCTTGCACGGAATGTGTTGTGTCTTGTTTTATACCCCAATCTGATTTTTGTACAGACAGTAACATGTTCCTTGGGTGTGACTCATAATATCTAATATACAGTAAATCTTATTTTTAACTCTCTAATTTTCCCTCTTTCATTTGTTCTCTGACTCTCATCCTCTACGTGCGATACTTTCTTGCACTGAAGTATAAATCGATTTCTGGACTTGTGCAGCTCAGCAAATAACACCAGAATCAAACGTGTGAATACTCTGAACCAGCCTCATTGACTCTTCAATATTCAAACTGTTGGGTGATAATAACAGATAGAGCAACGCGGTGATTTGAAAGCCAGGGATCTTTGAAGGATTTGAAGACATTATTCCTCTTCGTAAACTAAGCATCTTAAACAAGAGGATAGGAGTCAAGTCGTGGATTGAGTGACCACTTTTTTTTCAAAGGAATTATTACCCCCAGGAAAATGATCTGCCAATCAACTAACAACTGGGTTCCTCTTTACTGCTAGGTAAACAGGCGTGTGGAGTAAGGAAATTTGCCCAAAGTTTTGCCCTGCCGGGAATTGAACCCAGGTATCTCGCTTGTGAGGCGAGTGCTCTAACCACTGAGCTCGAGTGCTCCAAATGTAGGGTTGGTGTGTGGGGAGGTGGGGGTGCGAGGAAAGGGGAGAAAACAGACCAAACCAACGTGCTCTACACCTCTCCTCCACTCTTTCACTGGGTAGACCTGACAACTACGAAGAGCTCTATCGCTGGTTTGTGAGATCCCTTGCAACTCTTAACATTTCAGCTGTGAGTGGTTTGTTGAAATCTTTCCCAGACCTTTTCTTGCTGTTGGCTGTAAGAGTCTTAACTCAACATCTGTGGATTTGGACCACAGAACTTGGCCGTCAAAGGCAAACCCATATACAGTTTCCTCAATTTGGCAGGCTCAAGAGAATAGCTGGTGTGGAAATTGAACGGGTCGTATTGATGGAACAGAACATATTCTGAGGTTTGAGGTTAACCACATTGTTGGAGCATAATGTTAATTCTTTTTGTATCTAACTCAAAACTCACCAAGAATAAAGGCTCCCTGATAAAACGTCGAGAAGGTTGTCTAAATGAAAACTTCACAATTCCATTAAACGAATTGTACAAATCGCTGACTGTCCAGCACATTGGGACGTCCTCCTGACGTGAAAGACGCTAGATACAAATGTAATTTTGTATTGTATAATATTAATCCTTGGTTTGATATGACGCCATATCACACTCTCAAAGTAATTTACCCACAGAATTTACTGTGAAGTGTAGTGGCTGTGTTTATTTTGAAGACAACTGAAACAGGCAATACGTGCCCAGCAAAGTCCTACGAACATCCACGAAGTGAATGATCAAATCTCCATGAATCACAAAATATACGGTCAATTCACATTTTACAGTAAATTCTGCAAAGCGCATTGAAACATCTCAATGACGTGATAAGGTGCAGTTATTAATATGAAGACAATGGGATACTGGACGGGACGTATCTCTTACATTTAAGCAGACGCTCACTGTAACACAAAGTGCGTTGATCTCAGTGAAGCTTAAGAGGCCAACATACAGGAAGGACCTCTATATAAACAAATGGTACAAAAGAACAACTTATTATCATCAAGGCAAATTGAGCAGTAAGTGTTTAGGGGACAATCTCCTGTGATACTACATTGAGGTACAAAGTCCCAGGAACAAGATAAGGGTCTGGGTGATCTATATCACACCTCAACGATGAATAGATGCTGCAGATTGACTAAGAGTGGAGAAATCGGAACAGAAGTAAAAGGCAAGCATTTATTTAATCTATTAACTTGGAGATCACGGATAAGCAGCTGATGAAAGTCTCTGACCTCTGAGTAAGTCTTGCTGTCAGTTCTAGCACCGTCTTGTGTCAGTCGGTGTTCCTAGAGCCACCTAGTTATCACTCACATCAGTGGGATTTACTGCGAAATGTGTTGACTATGCATTTAATTAAACTGTACACGATATTAGATTGTGTGTTTGTAGGGGGTTATATCAAACTGGGTAAGAATAATAATAATCCTTGCATTTGATGTAGCGCCTTATCACGTCGTTGAGACGTCTCAAAGCGCTTTACAGAATATCCGGCACAGCCACAGTGGGCCGAATGGCCTCCTTGTGTGCTGTACGATTCTGTGATACACTGTAAAGTGAATCGACTGTATATGTTTGTGGGTGAAACATGGCAGCCAGCCGATTGCTCATAGCAGTGACCCACAAACAGTCATAAAGTCTCATCAGAGACCAGTTAAGAAGTAAAGCTCTGCAAAACTGCTTTTAATAACTGCTGAATATTCCTGCATTTTAGTTACAAAATATCCATTACATTACAAACAAACAGCACAGGGGCATCACCCAGGTCACAGGTCCCGAGTAACATCATCAACAACGTCATAATTTAAGTCATTCTGTTTATCAATCACAGAGGGCAATAACCCAGCTGATGGGGGTGAGAATCGCCCCCTTTGCTTGTTGCCTGGAGTCCTATGTGAAGTCAGTTTGCGTTGCATCATTTCTGTGTCTACAAGAAACCAACAGTAAAATATTGAATGAGTCGCAGACTGGCCTGAACGTTAGGATAAGAGGACTAGGACTACAATAGGACTGAGTGCCACGGATTGGGAGGATTCCGGTTCAGTGCTATACTCTGCTTGGCTCCTGACCTAAGTGACATCAGGTGGGAGTTGCTGAGTAGAGGCTTCAGTTATCTACTTGGGGGATAAAGCTAATCCACTCTCTTGCTTCTCCCTGGAGTCCTACAGTCTAAGTAGCGGAGACGTGACGATCAGCCCTGACCAGAAGAATCATATTTTGCATTGAAAGAAATTGCGTTAAACGTTCTTACAATTTGTTGTTTTCAGATTGTTAAAAATAATATTGGTGAACGGCCGCACTGAGATATCCCGACGATAAAACTTTGTGTGATGGTATTCCATCAAACCACAGGGGATAATTGGGTCTAGTCTGAAAACCAGGGAGAAGGTGATTCATACCCTTCCTTAGCCCTGATGAGAAGCAGAGGTTGAACGCAGAGCAGGCGACATTTCACCCTTCCCATAAAGTACTATGTCTCTTCATATGAGGAACATAACACACCATGTCATGTGGCTCCACGCTGCAATAGGTACGTAAAGCTAGAAAACAGTCTGCACACTAGACTGGGCCCTTTGAGACACCAGTAAGTCTAGAAACGAGAAGGGTATGGATAGACTCTCCCGTTAACCTGAAGGAGTATCAAGTGCGACCAACCCTCTGGATCACCCAGTCTCCGCACACATCTCAATTTGAGTTAAAATTCTGTTGGGTAAATTTCTGCTTCAGTGTAATAAAAACTGAGAGCTCTTAAGAGACAATCAACTGAATCAGCTCCTGAAAGCAAGAAAGAGGTTAATATTTGTGTGCCTTTTCCCAGGTCACACTCGAAACAATGATCTCGTCTGTCTGTTACTGACACTCAGACACCTGTATCTATCTCCTGCTTTTTCTGATTCCAACATGCTTGGTTGTTGTCAAATCTCTATTTTACATGAGTTTTTTTTTCCCTCTCTAAGAGTTAAACTGAGCAGAAAGCTGATGAAATATGACAGACACAGGATTACAAGAGCGGTTCAGATTAAAACATTAAGCCCTTCAACTCATCTCCTCTCATCCTTCCAGAACACCCATCCCCTTATCTTCCCATTGCAGCAACGAGCTGTTTCTTAAATAAATCATGACCTGAATCAGTCTTTCTGGAACCCATTCCAACTGTAAGCTTCACCGCTCAATATTATATATAATACTGTTATCTAACGACACAGACAGAGCACTGGCATTAAAGATTGACCAGGACAGGATAAAACAGAACCTGACTCGCCAAAGGATTGTGTTGTAACTGGTTAACACACAAAGTAGGATCTTTTTAACCTGTTTAAGTCTTCAAACAAAACGCTTTTTTCTCAAAGCATTGGAATCTCCATCATCAAAAATATAAACTTATTAAAAAAAAAGAAAAGCGTTAAATGTCTGAGGGACAGTCCCAGTGGTGATGGGATTGAAGTATGATCTCCGAGCGCTGGATAGTTAGCTATGAGATGGTTTCCTTGACTCTTAAAAGTTCTTCAGTGACCCATCTGTATTGGGTTGAGGTCCTGTGCCAGTGCGATGGTAGAGACAGGGCACCGAGAGTTTAACACTGCAGTGTGTTTCGTGTGGAGGCTATTGGGTGATCTTCCCACCGGGATCATTTGCAGCCTGCCTGCAGAGCGTCTGAGACCTGTTTGGCTGTGGCCGCTTTCCACGGCTTGACGAAGCTGTTCATGTTGACGAGGAGCTTGCCAGTCCTGCTGTCCTCGTGGCCAGCAATCAGGTAATCTGTGCCTGTCAGGTGGTGGGGGGGGGAGGGAGGAGAAAAGAGAATAATAATGACTGATGTAAGTCCAATGTTTGCATTTTAAGGACCAAACTTCTATTCCTCAAAACGGGATGGTTCTCGGTTTCCCCCAATGGCTTGGTTTGCAAAGCTTTTGTCGCTTGTGTGACCTCTGTGTATTTTTTCGCTCACGAAACACACAGTCAATTTACTTTACAATACTGTCTGTGATTACTCATTTGTGTAGCGCTTTGAGACGTCTCAACGACTTGATAAGGCGCTGTATCAAATGCAAGGAATATTATTACATTATGTGCGCAAGGTCTAAAGTGCGACCCCAGCCTGTTCTAAGTTACATGAGCCTGGCCGGTAGAGTGAGAGGACCATTGCGTTAGATGAGACATTAAACACCATCCCTTGTGGCTCATGTAAATAAACCCAGTCCTGACACAAACTCCCACAGTAAATGCCAGGCATCTCTGTTACTCACCAGGGTTAAGGATGGGACAAGTGCATCCGCGGTTTGTCCAGGACTCAGGATAGATGCTCCTGTTCCCACGGGTGATCTTCACTTTCCTCATCTTCATGACCTTTTTGACTTTAACGTTGACTTCTGCGTGAGTTCCTTTGTCGTGAGCCGAGAGGATTCTGGCTTTGATGACTGTCGCTCAAAGGAAAAGGAACATTTACACGCAGAACACACGAGTTGAGTAAGGGAACAATACAACAACAACAAATTACATTTGCATAGCGCCTTGGACATCAGGAGGACGTCCAAAGGCGCTGGACAGTCAGGGATCTGCACCCGAGCTGGTGGTTGGGATCAGGAGGGGTGGAAGGCGGTGAGGGTAGGGGCAGGAGGGTGACCAAAGGCACGGTCGAAGAGGAAGATCTTGAGATGGGTGCCATGGGGTTTGGTGCAATGGATTAGCAAATGAAGCCAAGAGTTATCAGGTAGAAATCTCTTGTTGAGATCACAGTCCGGGCTGACATTCCAGCGCAGTAATGGGGGAAGCACTTGTCATCTTTTGCATGAGATGTTAAACTGAGGTCCTGTCTGGTGGACATTAAAGCTCCCCTGACATTACTTGAAAAGAGAAGGGAGTTTCTTTTGGTGTTCTGGCCACCAGCCCTAGAGACTAATTGGCCACCTACCTAAGTCATTGCTGACGTAAATGGCTATCACGTTCAAATCCAAAGCCCTCTCATCAGTAATTACCTGTGAAACGGGCTCGAGATATTCTGTCGTGATAAGGCGCTGTAACAATGCAAGTTCTCTCTCCTACTTACCGTACGCATACTTCATCTGACAGAAGTGGGCGGCATCTCCCAGCACCTTCTCCCTGCAGACGCACTTCTCTAGCGTGACAGAAGCAGAGAGTGAGGGCGAAGCGGGGTCAACAAGTCAGAGGAGAGGAAAGAATGTTCAGTTAATATCATACCAGAGCAGACAACCGATGAATGCTAACATTACTGTGGTATGTGTGGCTGCCCTCGAGCTGTTCAGGTGGAATTTAACGTTCTTGCCTTGCCCAGCTCCCATTGATGTCTTGCACCATGTTCAGGGTCGAGGTGCAATGGATCGAGAGGATGAGTCATATAATATCACCTCTCATTAACATCTGTCTGTACTAGAGATGCCCTTTCTACTTAATAATAAGTTGTGTTTGGGCTCATTCTATCCAGCTCGAGAGGGAGCCAGCAGATACCAGCTCTGTGGGCTAGCTGAGATTCTCAGCTGAGTTGAGGACTTCAACGTGATGAGGCTGGAAAAAATGGTCAGTTTCCACCTCTGTCTCGATCTATTAACTCCTGCTGGAAAGAGTATGTGTACATTGGGAGATAGGTTTGGACTCTGCTGTCTTGCATCTCTCCTTTTCTCCCCCCCCCCCCACCCCTCAACCCCGTCACTACCAGTAATATCAAAATATCAATGGATCAAACCAAGACAACTCCTGGGGAAAACTTTTTCTCCCCTTAAGAGATCAGTTGCTGATTTAATCAGCTAATTGTTGCTGGCAAGTCTTCATGAAACAGGGAGTCAATGGCTACCAACTGGTAGCACTCTCAGCGCTTAAGTCAGAGGGCTGTGGGTTCAAGTCCTGTGTCGGGACTTTTGAACTCATAGTCTAGGCTGATGCTCCAATCCAGGGTTGGGGGTTACACTGAGATGCCACAGATGTCGACCTTCGGATGAAACCTTAAACCGAGGTCCCGTCTGCCTGTTCAGGTGGATTTTAAGAATCCCACGGCGCTGTTCGAAAAGAGAAGGGAGTTTCTCCCGGTGACCTGCCCAATTACCCACCAGATAAAGTTAGTCATTCATTTCATGGCTACTTGTGGGTTTGTCATTGCTGTGCACAAATTGCCTGCCGAGTTCGCTTACAAATTACACAGTCACTGCACTTTACAGTAGATGCTGTGAAGCACTTTGAGACGTCCTCCCGACATGAAGTGCACTGTACCAAATACAAGGACACTTTACTTCTGAACTTGAGGGCGTTTTCTTCACTATGTTAACGTTCCTTCTTCGTTCTCTGCTGGTGACTTACCGGAATGCCGTAGAGCTGAGAATCCCTGTCCGTCCTCCCAGCTCCAGTCTTCCCCGCTCTCGTTAGCCAGAATGGGAACGAGCTCGGGGATCCGACTGCCCATGGGAATACTGAAGAATTGCTCATTGTCAGAGCTGTGGAATAAGAGTAAAGACGCAAGTAAAACAGCCGTAACGTTCGAACGTCGACAAGTTGTCGTCTGAACATGTCGCGATTACTTTTCATAACAAAAGAAAAAAAAATGTATAAAACTCCCGTCTAAATTTCCGTTTAATTTGGTAGAAAAATGCTCAAATAATTCTAATAGGATTATCATTATTATTATTATTATTATCATTATAGAAATGCGAGTTGGTGTTGTAACATTTTGCCTGGGTCACCTTTCTTGTTATCGTTGAGAACACTGCCCCGTCCCGATGAATCGGCTAAAGATTACGAGGTTCTCGTTGGCCTCACCTGTCTAGACATTCGCCCGTCTGCTGGTTGCAGGCTCTGGAGCAGTCGCACGGCTGACACCCCTCATCTCCGAAACCCCAGTATCCGGTCAGGCACCTGTCGCAGTGAGGGCCGGCCACACCACGTTTGCAGTAACAGTACCCGCTCCTCGGGCTGCACTTCCAGTTTCGGTTAAAGGTGGCGTTGGTGGAGCCGAGGAGGTGGCATGAGCAAGCTGCAGGGAGACAGGCAGCAAAGCATGTCAGAGAGGAGTCACCGAACAACTAATTAATCGCTGTGCTGTGCGTTATATTGGCTGCCGCATTTCGCCCACAAGATACGGTCAACCCACTCTACAGTATATCCTGCGAAGCGCTTCATATGCTCCATTGTGAATCCTCTCTGAGCTGGGAGCAGGTCACACACATGAACGTAAGAACGTAAGAATTGCTAGACAAAAGGTCCATCCAGTTTGTCTTCCACCGTCCTGGCACTCGCTTGCACATGTTATGTCCCAAACTATATATTGTATCCCACAATACAACTTCCTAGCATAGATCCATCTAATTTGCTTTCGAAAGAATCAACACTTTCTGCTTCCACCATCTCTCAAGGAAGCCTGGAATGTTTTCTTACTTTCTTCCAATTTTTAGCCATGTCCACGTGTTGCCGTTATAGAAACTCCAGTAGAGAGGAACTCAAATATGTCTGTGCTATACGAGTTCCTTACCATGAACAAGTACAGTAATCTCTATTCCTCTCTTTTCCCACACTCTTTTACTTCTTCATTCAAGTATTTATCCAGTTCCTTTTTCAACGTCAGCGCAAGGGAGCCCATTGTAGAGAAGTAGGAACATTTGATTCATAAAAGGCAACTTAAATTATATGAACTACAAGGAAATTCTTGTGTTTGGAGAGAGAACTTCTTTTTTTCGAGATAAAACGGGAGAGAAGGCAAACGGGGTTGACTCTTAAACAGGAAGCAGGTATCCTAATGAAACTCATCCGCCAACATACCCATATAAACTATTCTGAAATGGTAAGTGGCTTTAAGTAGAGTTCAATACTCTGATCTGCCACGGGGGCAATGGAAATAAAAACAGCAAGGAATTTTAGAGCACTTTATACAACGAAACGTCTCGAAGGGCTTCACGGTAATTACTGACAAGCGCAGTTTTTTCGTCTTGGTCATTTGGTTCGGAACGCAAGCTCAGTACTTCACAAAGCGTTTCCCTGTAAGACTCTCGTAGACGGAACGTGTCGCACAGCTGTATCGTGAGGCCATTCGGCATTCTGTAATCTATCAGCATCGAGTAGCCTCAGGCCCTTTATATCAATCTGGAATGCACAAATCATTGCTCCTCACGCAGGGCTGATACAATCAAAAGCAGGAGCTTAGATATACCAGATCTGGAATCACAGACGATTCCAAAATACACAATGACTGTTAACTCTTTCATCATCGTGAAGCACCATCCTACAGGGCAAGCTGTAGAGCTCTTCTCCCTCAATCACTTTCGATGCTGTCAAAGGCAATCTCTTCAACCACAATTACAATTACACTGATGACAACTTGCATTTATATAGCGTTCTTCACGCAGAGTAGCGTCTCTGAGCGCTCAGGAAACTGCAATACAACAACAGCAACAACAAGATTTCATTTATAGAGCGCCTTTCACGTCGGGAGGACGTCCCAAGGCGCTGGACAGTTGGGTCAGGACCCGAGCATTGGGGGGAAATGGTCAGCGTGAGGGGAGGGAAGGGAGGCAGGGAGTAATATTCCTATTACAATAGGAAATGTAACAGGGAATTCTTCTCGGATTGGGGCTGAGGCATCTTTGGGGTCTGAAGTCTCAATGGAGGATGCGATGCAAACATCATTCAGCCCTGCATTAGTGTGTTACTATCACAGACATTTTCCTCCCAAACAAGAGCACATTAGGTTTCAGCAGATTTGCCAAAATACCCCTCGCTCCCACCCTAGAATACTGGCTGATTTTTTTTTCTCCTGACCTGACCCAAGGCTATGGGGCCTGTTATAGCCCTAATACCTGCCCCAGCAGAAATCAGCTAAACATTTCACTCATGTTTCTAAACCTAAGTGCCGATCTATTAGGGTTTATTGGGATGTTGGATTTTATCCAACAATTTATTGACCAACTGCTGTTTCACATTTCCAGTAGGAGAGTTTAAAGCCTCCACATTTGGTTGAAGGTTAAATTTCCAGCTCCCAGGCTACTCTCGTCTCAGGCTTCTCCCCAGCAGTCACCATGCTCCAGACTTAACAAATGCAGTCAAACTCCTGATAAGTCGTCACTCCAAAGCTCTGCTGCCCACGTACTCACCTACACTAACCTCCGTGCCCCCTGTCACACCAGTTCTTGCCAGGCTCCACTGGCTCCCGATCGCCTGAAGACCTTCCTGTTTCCCCTGGCCTCGGTGTCGTGCTCGGCCACCGTCAAGCACTCTGGGACCCTACCTCGTGTGAGGGGCGCGGTATAAATGCAAGTTGTTGTTGTTCCCAACGCACACAGTTCCTAACCTACGCTGTACAGTTATCCCAGCACGCAGTTCCTATTCCGCCATGAGAACTCCCGCTTGTTAAAACAGGTGTTCCAGTGCCAAGCTTTTTTGTATGAAAACATTCAATTAATCCGATAATCACTGGACGGCAGATTAATCGGCTAATTCATCAGCCAGTCTATTCCCAGCCCCTGACTCTGCGCATGTTGCAAATCAGCCCATTCACGCTGACACCTCAATCCGTGCCCTGCAGCCACGCCAGTCAACCTGCCCTGAGAGTGTTCAGACCTGTCCATCACAACTCCAGCAGCCTCCATACCCATCTGTGAAGCACGTAACAGAACACAGCCACGCTGCTTTTAAAGAGGAAAATCCCTTTAGAATTTAAAATTAAATACGTGCCGACGGGAGTTTAGTTCCAGCAAAAGTGGACCACTTCAATAATAATCCTTGCATCTGATCTGATCACGTCTTCGAGACGTCTCAAAGCGCTTCACAGGATACACTGTCAAGTGAATTGACTGTATATTTTGCGGGCGAAACACGGCACCAATTGAGCACAGCAGAGTCCCACGAACAGTCGGGCATTGAGTGACCAAATTCTTATCTTTAATTCATTTATTTATTCATTTATTTATTTGACGGGATTATTATTCCTGGAAAAGCAATCAGCCGATCGACTAACAACCGGGTTCCTACTTACTGCTGGGTAAACAAACTGAGGTGTGTGGAGTGAGGAAACTTTAACTCATTTTTAACAAGGAAATCGGTTTGCAAAATTGTAGAAGATACAATCCTCACTGGGGTTGCGGTCAACTCAACGAGAAAATCGCCCGTCTCTCTGGGCTGACTTTTTTGCTTTGCTTCCATCTCATCACAAAATCGCAAGCGTCCTGGCCTCAACCACCTTCCCCTGGCAACCTCTTCCAGTTCCCGATTACTCTCTGAGTAAAGAAAAACTTTTGGCGTCTGTCCTGAAATTACCCTTTACAACTCTGAATCTATGGCCCCTAGTTCTACTCTCTTGTTGCATCCTGATGTACTGATTTGGGTTTTCCTTTTTCAATTGAAAACATTTTTGCGTCTCCACGAGGTCAGACTCCGCCACCGTGAAGCACTCCAGGGCTCTAACCGGCGTGAAGAACGCTCCATAAATGCAAGTTGTTGTTGTTGTGGTCCCCTTTGAGCCGTCTTCTCTCAAGACTGAAAAGCCCGAGCCTGTCTGATCGCTGCTCAATCATAGTTCATACATCAGGGTTTGAAATCACCGACACAGTAATACCCTATTACACAGCGGTAGCTTGAGTTGACCTCTGTAATATTCGAACCGCTTTATAACACCTACAAAAATAAATGCTGCATTGAAGTGTCTCGACAGGAACGAGGACAAATGCGGCAGCCAATCTGTGCTGGCATTGCCCACGCTAAGCAGTGTGCCATTACCCAATTTCTAAACCATCAAACGTGCCACGTGGTTTAGAAATTCACTCTGTGCACATTTCCTATTAAGAAATCTGTTAGAAAAAAATGTTGTAAATTAAAGATCGATTTCAAGATCCTCTCACTCATCTTCAAATCTCTTCGTGCCCCGGTACCTCCCTACCACTCGGACCTGCTTACCCCACCCCACAACCCACTACCCGCTGCCTCCGCTCGACTGGCACTTCCCCCCCGTGCCTTCCGTTCCAACATCGGGGGCCGCGCTTTCAGCCACTACGCCGCGAAAGTCTGGAACGCTCTCCCACTATCCGTTCGCCTTGCCCATCTTCAGGTCTATGGTCACCTCGCCCCTTCCCCCCCGGCTTAGTGACGTGCTCCGCCACTGTCAAGCGCTCTGGCACTCTACCCTGCGCGAGGGGCGCTGTGTAAATGCAAGTTGTTGTTGGTAAATTAGTCCCCAGCGACTGCTGAGCTGCTGACAGTTTCAGCAAACCAGACTGGAGGGACTGGTAATTACGTTTGCAGACGTGTGCCGATGAGGAGGCTTTTCTGCTGTCGCGGTGGAAGCCGGGCTTGCAGCGTTGACACCGACGTCCCTCCGTGTTGTGCCGGCAACCGTCGCAGACCCCTCCACTGCGCTTGTTGGACGCCAGCCAGGTGCTGAGATCAAAGTGACAGCTGTCTGCATGTCCGTGGCAATGGCACTCTTTTGGAGGGGAGGGAGGGGAAAGAACAGAGAGCCTCATTATCTCAGTCCTTCGTTTGCAAAGTTAGTGTTCTCTCCCTAACACTACCCCCCCCCCTCCCCACACACTCACACACTCTCACACTAACACACACACACTCACACACTCACACACACACACTCACTCACACACACACTCACATACCGCACGTTTCTCCACCCCACCCCCTGAAAAATATAATAATAATAATTTGGTTACTAATTCCACCACTGGTTGTGGGGACACTGCTGTGCGCAATTGGCTGCCGCGTTTCGCCCACAAATATGCAGTCAATTCACTATACAGTGTATCCTGTGAAGCGCTTTGAGACATCTCCGAAGACGTGATAAGGCGCTGTATCAAAAGCGAGGGTTATTATTATTGTATGAAGTTTCTGACTCATGCCGAGGTGCAGATCCTCTAGTCTCTGTGTTGGAGACCAGACGAAGAGTGTCCATAATGGTGGTCAATGTGAGATGATAATAATAATAATTATAATGATAATCCTTGCATTTGATATAGCGCCTTATCACGTCCCCCGAGACAATGCCTGATCCTGACCTGACCTGACACCCAAACACAAGCACTTTCCAGCAGCGATTGCAGGACAGAGACCAGGAAACTGCTTTAACACGATCCTTTCCCTTCCTAGCCCAGCAAATGTAGACTGAGGCCAGCAACAGCGTCCTTTACTCTACAGAGCAATAGAGCGCGGTTTTTTTTGCTATTAGGAAACATTCGGCTAGATCGACAAAAAAACATACACTTGACTCGGAAGTGTTTTTAATAATAATGATAATTTTGTTGGGAATCGAGGTTTGTTTTCCGTCTTAAATTTCTTTCCGCAATGGTTGCTTTTGGGGATCTTTCACGTTTGAGAAGCGACAACAATCTGGAGGGTTAGAGAAGCCACCGAGAGAATGAGTGTCCCCAATTTCTGTCTCCCAGTGTACAACTTAACGCGTTACAGATGTGTGCAGGGAGGGCGAGGAAGGCGAGGGGGGTGGGGGGGCGGGAGAAACCTTGATTTTGCTGGAAAAGCACGTGTAACAAGAGTTCGGGATATTGTTTTGTGTCAGAAACACTCTCTTAAATGTGACTCCAGTAACTGCTTTCTCTCTCTCTCTCTCTCTGTTCTGTTCTGTTCCGTTCTGCAACCGACTCTCTGGGCGTACAGTTATAGCTGGAATGTTTCAGAGGTTTAGGAGATTAAGTGGGATTAACAGTTGGCAACTGGGGCAGGCAACAGAGGAGGAGCTCAGACAGCACAGCGCACACACACTCAGTAATCCTTTCTCACTCCCCGTATCATCTAAAACGTGAAATTGCTCGGGTTTTCAGTAAAGTGATAGATCAAGTCGGAAACTGCAATAAATGCGCGCGTGGGGTATTCAGGCTCCTTTTTTTTACATTTCGTTTCAGGGAAGTCGGTGCCGTGGAGCAGTTCTTTACCCGCTTTGTACACGGACGGCGATATCTAGGTCAGGCACAGCCACGGCTCAGACACAAAGTAGAGCTTCCACTGCACTCCCAGGGCAATGACAACACAGATTAGAGACAGAGTAAAGCTCTCTCTCTCTCTCTCTGACTCTCTCTTTCTACACACTGTCCATCCAGCACTCCTAGATCAACAGCAGTTGCAGGTTAGAGACAGAGTAAAGCTCTCTCTCTGTCTCTCACTGTCCATGCAGAGCTCCCAGGTCGACGATAGCACAGGTTAAAGACAGAAAAAGCTCTCTCTGCACTGCCCGGCGAACACTCCCAGGTTAATGGTTGCGTGGGTTTAGACACTGGGTTTGGCAAGTTAACTTTCATAATATCGCGCTTCAATAACAAGACAAAAATTGCTTACTTTTGCATTCATTCGGGGCGCCTGTCTTTCCATTCCCTGGTAGCCATGGTTGATCATCGTGGAAAGGAGCGCATTTTTCACAGTGGTGCCCAGCTGTGTTGTGCTCGCAGACGCACTTACCGTGGACCTAGACAACGGAATCAAACCTTTACATCACGGTGACAACTGGACCTGAGGAAATCAACTCACCGTTAAATTGTTCCTTCTTATGTATAATAATAAATAATAAGCCTTGCATTTGATATAGCACTTTTCACGTCTTCTCGACGTCTCAAAGCGCTTCACAGAATAGACTGTAAAGTGAATTGACTGTATATTTGTGGGCGAAACCCTGCGTATGAATTTTTTTTTAGACCCGGCAGTATTTGACGGACAGCATAGAGGGAGCTTTACTCTGACTCTTAAGTTGTGCTGTAGTTAATCTAAGTGTCGAGTCCTGGGTGGACAGTGTGGAGGGCACTTAGAAATCAGCCAAATAATATGGTGAGTGTGTCGTCTGCACCAAGAAACATCGCACTCAACACGTCAACAAAAATAAAAGATGAAATAACTAAGAAGTTCGGTGGCAAAAATGACCCGAAACCTTAAAACAATTCCCCGTCACACGCCTCACCGTGCAACCTCCTGTTGGGTCGTGAGACTTTTCACATAAGGTTCTCATTTTTTTTTTACGAATAAAACTATTTGACAGACTTTCCCGGTTAACAGCCTGGCAGTTCCGTGTTCCTCTGGGGAATTGGCTTTAATTATAACCCTGGCTACTGACTTGGAGCTGCTTTGTTTTTTTGCCTGCTCTGGGTATATAAAATGCAAGCTGTTGTTGTTATCGGTGCTTTGCGTACGGTTCTGGTGTGTGGTGGTGTGAGGGGGGGTGGGGGTGGGTGCTGCCTGTGTCCCACAGGTGGTGCAGAGGAGAGCAACAAGGATTACCCCCCAAGCAACGACTAGACAAGCTAGCTCTCTTCGTTGAGTGTGTCTACTCCAATCGAGGGGTTCAAGTGATGCCTCCAACAGTCCAAGACATCACCCCTCCCCATCTCCCCGAGGTTAAACTGGCATCTCTGCACAAATCTGAAATGTTTTGCCAATGTTTTATTGTCTGAGAAGGGAGCGGTGTGCCAGTGTAATCGTGAGAGCGCACTTAAATCACCCGAGCTATTTAGAAATAAGTGGTTGTCAATTGGCAAGTCAACAGAGGATGGAGCAGCAAGACATGGGAGAGATGAGCACAAACCCGTGCTCTCTGTTCCCGGCCAGAGACGTACAGCTACAGCACGAGTTAGAAACAGAGCGAAGATCCCCAGGTGCACATCTCCAAGGGAGATGCTGCGGGCATTTTTTCTTGACTTTTCTAGGGGCTCGAGGGCACAGTTCGGAGTTTCTTCTCCAGGTACGTTTCCTTGCAGGGAATACCCTCCGTCGGGAACAAGGAGACTGGAGGGAGGCTGGGACCACGGTGTGGTGGAAGAGGGGAGCTTGTGGGACTGAACGGCCTTTTCTTGTTCCATACTTTCCGATGGATGCAGACAATTAATCAGCACAGGCAGCTCGTCTCAGCAATCGACTTGCCGCCTGTAACCTTGGGGCGAGACAAGCATGATCGACCAAGCCTCGATTCAAACACAATCAGCCCGTGTGCTTTTGGAGGCGTATCTCTTGCGAACAATTGTGGGAACTTTTTCCGTCAGGCCTTTCATTATTCCTTTAATAAAAGTCGCGAATTGAAAATATCAAATGATGGATTGGCTTTCAAGCAGTTCGCCAAGACTTTTGGGGCAAGATCCGAACAGGAAGATAGTTGCTCCTCGCCCCTCTGTTTCTTCTGCAAAGCCCTCCAGGACCCCACGTGAAGGGGCCCGATACAAATGAAAGTTGTTGCTGTTGTTGTTGAGTTAGGTACCAAGAGTAAAGCCCTCCTGGTGGAACGTCAGGTAAGTGACGCTGTGTCGAGGTGCGTTCCCGCACAGTCAACTTCACTTTATAGTGTATCCTGCGAAGGGCTTTGAGAGGTCTCAACGACTTGATGAGGTGCTGTATCAAATGCAAGGATTCTTCTTCTTATAATAAACTGAGCCACGTCAATAATGAGTTCTATTCACAAGTTTGGGAACAGGACAAAAGCTGTTACGGTTGATTTCAGCCTAGCCCCCGCAACCCCCCCCACCTCACCCCCCACCCTTAACAGCACACGACTCAGCAGTTCTGTGTTGGAATTGGGAGCACAGGTTATGAGTTCAAATCCTGCCAGGTCCACTCGGTCCATCATTCTTTCAAGGTCAATAAAAACGCGTAGCATGACAACGGCGTCTAGTAGGTAAGAGATCCCTTGGGGTTGAAGTAGCCCTGAGGAAATCTATCAAGTGGGGCTCAAATGGGGTGTAGACAGGTACTCAGCCCCAAGAGGCAAAGCTATAATGAATAGCGAGCATATGGACAAGCGATTCCCACATACCAAAATCTGATACATGTCAGTAATTGTAGAGAAAGCTCCTGTTATGACAATCAGGAGCATGTGCTAATTTAGTGCAATTTATTTTCCCTTTTAATTTGCTCTGTCGTGTTTGAAGCATTGAGTAATTAGTTAGATTGACTTTAGTCCAAGGACCCGGCAGTTTTTAGTTTGATATTCACATAAATTTTGATCCCAAAAAAAACGTTGGCAACCTCCCTCTATGATTTAGCTGGGTAATGTTTACTGCTTTCCGCGAAGTCAAGTACGTTTCAGAGGGCACGTCACCGTTAGTTTTCTCTCTCCTTTCTTTCGGGCATTGAGTTTAGTACCAAGGACGGAGCCCTCACTGTGGAGCCTCACTTAAGTGATCATTCCTCTTACGTGAACCCGAACAGAGAGTGGAGTGGGAATGGCTTACTATTTTCTGGCTTGCGCAATCCATTACCAAAGATCCCATCCTTCTCAGCTCCATGGCATTTTTCCTCGTTCTTTTGCTCCGCTTCCTATTTGGGAATGTTCTGCAAACACGAGGTTTTGCTAAAAAGGTCCATCAATTTGTTTCAAAATGAAACCGGGAGTCACAACCCCTTTCCGAAGCCTGAAACATTCCCTTTAGCTGAGCACGGAGGAGCACGTACCAAATATAGGCAATAGTCGGAAAAGAAACAACGTGAGCTTTTGCTCCGGCCTGAGATTGAAACACTGGGATTCCACTCATCATCCCAATGGATTCCTCTGTCTCAGACGATTTATAAGCTATATTATAATTATGTTCTGTACCCTGTCCAAACAAACATTTCAGGCTATTTTAGGCTGATTTTTTTGGACTACCTTTTTAGAATTGGATTTCCCATCAGAAAGCATCTCATTGGACAGATGTCATGGGGTTTCCTGTTAGTAGAGTTGAGCAAAAATGCTTTTTTTTGTTCAGTGATCAGAGGAAGTTTTGTGTGTGTATGTGTGTGTGTGTGTGTGTCAGGCTGACTCAGTCGCTCACTCTCATGCCTCTGGGTCAGAAGATTGTGGGTTTAAGTTGTAACTTTGAGCTCACAGTTAGTCCATGCTGACAGTCCATTGCAGTGCTGGGAGTACTGCATTGACAGAGAGGTGCTATGCTCCCATAAAACACATTATGTGTTAACACTCCTGCATCAAACGCCGTGTGTCACTCACCCACATAATGCTTGAATTTGAGATGAGGCGTCACTCACCACATGTTCAGAATTCCTGCCGGATGCTTTGTGATCGGCCAGTGGCACACACTGCTCAGCGTGACCGTTGCAGAAGCAGCTCCCGCGAATAATCAAGTCATAGATTGCAAAGTGGGCAAACCGCTGAGGTTTCTCGACCATCCCGGCACCCTCACAAGGACAGTCCTGTCGCTTCAGCAAGTGGAGTCGCAGGTTGGTCAGTTTCAAGACGTCTTGTGCTTCCGCACTGTAAGGGTCTTCAATCTTGTTGGCTGCAGTCAGAGAGCGGAACACAACCTGGAATCAGAACAATTAATTAACATATGTTTTGACTGGTGTTAGGCAATCTCACTATTTATCGCTGTCGGTATGTTGGGTTTGTACACGTACGTATACACACAAGAAAAACCCTCCATCCTGCTCGTTACTGAGCAAGATGATAACAGCTAAGGCAGCACTGAGGGTGGCCTCAGCATGACTGGGCTAAGGATACTCCCAGATCGCTCTCCCGATAGTGGATCAATTATTCAGGTTTTCAAGATTGAGGTCGATACATTTTTGTGAGGTAAGAGTATCAAGGAATATGAAGCAAAGGAGGGTAAATTAAGTTCAGGTACAGATCAGCCATGATCTGGTAGAATGGCGGAATAGGCTTGAGGGGCCCCTGTGCCTATGACTGCTACTCTGTGATCGCTACTGGGGAGCGAGTGGATGTTGAATGCAGACCGGAACTTGCTTTGGCTATGATGCACCCACCGCTCGCCAACAGTTGATGTCATTCTCTGGATCTAGACAATTGGGACCCATGGCTACTTGAATGAGCATCTAGGCAGCAGCTGACATCCAAGAGTCTGTACCTCAGATTGTTCAATTTACCGAAGATTCAGGTGCCTTTCAAGAGAGACAATGAGTTAGGGAAGGGGTTTAGGAGCAAGAATGAAGGTACAAGTGTAGCCGAGGCTGTTTCTAATCTCCGGTAGTATCCAATCTTCACCTGGGCAACCGCCAGTCAGCTCCTGCCAAGTACATTGTCACTCAAGGTGGATCTAGCATGACACTGTAAATAACTCCACTTAGGGACCAGTATAAATCCAAGACAGGGGCTTGCAAGTTACATTACAGCTAATTGCTGTTTACATTGTGTAATAATCAGGGTATGAAGAGCTCAGGCACCAGGCCAACTTGGGTCTGTGTCTCTGCCAACTTGCTCTCCCCTGTTTAACCCCTTTGCTACTCAATGAATGCCGTTTTTGCTCCCACGTGAAGGCGACATCTTTATTACTTTGCTCTGAGGGTAATGTCGTATTTCGCCCGTGAATTTATTTCCCTACTTTTTGTCTTCCTTTCTGGTATCTCAGACCACAACTCTCAGGCAACCAACAGAGAAGCCAAAGTCAGCAACAGCTCGGGTTAGAGACAGAGTAAAGCTCCATCTACACTGGCCATAAAGCACTTCCAGTTCAGTTACAACCCTTTTAGACATTGAATAATCAGAATATTCTTATATAGGAACATAGGAACAGGAATAGGCCATTCAGCCCCGCGGGCCTGTCCTGCCATTCTATTAGATCATTGGCTGATCTGTAACTCAACTACAAATTTATTAAAAAAAAATTAAAATTCTTCTAAACAGCAGCTTCAAGAGATAGGTCCATTTTGTACAAACACCTCTGTAAATCTGGTCGACATAGGCAACAGGACGTCTCCATATTACTCATGGCTTCGGCCTGTTCTGAACAAATATTAGAGGAGAAAATAATGATGCGAACTGTAATGTCTGTAAGTAATTTTTGTGCTCAAAGAGCTTCCAGTTATTTCACAACATACATGGGTGGAGGAGACAGCACAGTAACTAACAAATTCTTCTCTTTCTGCTGGAAAAGTGCTTTGAGTTCACAGCCTGCTCGTATTTTTCCTCCTATCTCCCGACGGTAAGATGGAATTCGGAGTTCTGAAACACGCTAGTGTCCGACATGCACTGCCAAATGCCTAACATAATAACTTCTTCTGACACAGCGGATTCCATCAAATTGCGCCCGTCCTCCACCGCCAGCGTTTCCCAGCCTCCTGCATCGCCTTGGCAGGCACTCCAAGTCACTGACTCACACGCGAGCTCCTTGAAGGGGCATCATCCTCAGCCAAAGGGCTACGGCAAAGATATTCGTCACCACTTGCAATGTGGTGCCCGGGGTGTGAAGTGGGAAGAGGGGTGCGGAAGTGGGAGGTCAAACCAAACAGCCAGCGGTGTGCGCACACGAGGTACCACCTTTCAACCCAATCCACGGCACTGTGTCACGTAATTGCAAATAGGTTTCCTCAAATAAGGACGGTAACAGTTAATTACCGACCGAGCAGAGACTTGTTTGTTTTTCCACGCTACGCTGGGATGGTGTGCGCAGCTCCCCTCACTGCGCCCACGTGACTTGGTCAACGTACCACTGGACCCCAATCAAGGCATCGCTTGTGTATATGACGAGTGTCAGTCTGGCTCAGGCAGCTGGACTCTGGCCTCTATCTCAGAAGATTGTGGGTTGAGGCTCAACTGCAGGACATGAGCAGGACAGTGAACCAGTTCTGTGCTCCACCACTGTAAGTGAGTAAGTGCTCCACCACTGTCAAGTGCTCTGGGACGCTACCCTGTGTGAGTTGTTGTTGCTGTAGTTGTAAGAATCATCCTTTGGATCAGAAGTCCAAAAAAACGCTATTTTAAGGAAGAGCCAGGTTTTCCCGGTGTCCTGACCGATAGTATAGTAGTAATAATAATAATCCTTGCATTTGATATAGCGCCTTAACACGTCTTCGAGAGGTCTCAAAGCGCTTCAGTTGAGTCTCACATTTTCGTCACCTCATCCAAATTCACTAAAGAAAACATATCGATTGTCCTTCACTTCATTTCTGTTTGTGGGATGTTTCTGGTGCTTAAATGATCGAGGATTGCTGTTCAAACCCGGATCGCAACAGAATCGGCTCCTGAGCAGGTCCAGGCAGCGGAATCACTTCTTTAACAAAGTAGATAGATTTCTGCTGGAAAATAATATCTGGGACACGACATGACAAGCGACCGCCAGGATGGTGAAAGGTGAACTAGATGGATCTTGGTCTTCGTTCGCCTGGGAAATTTTTATGTTCTTATGTCCACCTGAACTGCCCATGGAGGGGGTCAGCCACCGTCACTTCCATTGCACTTTTTCTCTCACCCCCTCCCCTCCTCATTCCTCAATTAATAAAAAACAAACACTAAATATTTACTTTCCCAGTCCCTGGTATTTTCGGCTCAGTGACCATCTGATGGGGATTATTTTCCCCTTCTGTGGAATGATCCGAAGCAAAACAAGTTTGCGTGAGACTGACATCAGTTCTCCCTCAGGAAATATAAAATAACTCTACAGAAATACTTGGCTCGGACTGTAACTCTGATGTGGTGATTGGCTCCTTCAACCTTCAATAAGTTTCTTTATCCTTAGTCCCAACATCTACTCGATGTGTTTTTGTTGAATTGCTGCCAATATTATATCCTTGGTTGCTGTTGAACATGGAGGGGATGGGAGGGTGCTGGTTGTTTGGGAATTTAACATGTCCCCCATCGGAATACTGCATCACTAACAAGTTGAAATTTTATCGATTTCAGCCACTCTGCAACTCCATCCATCTTGCCCCCTCCAAAACCCATCTCAAATCCTTTCTCTTTGACCGTGCCTTCGGTCATCTACCCAAGCCCCTCACCCTCCACTCCATGACTCCAAACCCCCAGCTCAGGGGCGAACCCTTCATTGCCCAGCGGATTGGGATGTCCTCCCGCCGTGAATGTATACTTATGCAGCAATTTATTGCGGTTGATGTTGTTGACTCAACTTGTTTAAAGTACAGGATTGAGTGTCAGAAGCTCAGCTTCAGGACTTTTAGAGAAAGCTTCCCTGCTGAAGAAGAATCGGTCACAGAGACTGTGTCGCTCACAGAGATTAATCGCAGAGACACCACTTGCTGTGTCACTCGCAGGATCTCTGAGACGTTAGTTACACTGCGTGGAGGGCGCTATATAAGAGACAGTGTTTGCCGTGTCACTCACAGTCCTCCTTAACAACTAAAGAAAAAAGACAACTTCCAAAATAAGACCGGATTTTAGACTTTCCCAAATTCTGCCCCATCATGGCTGACACGTGTGGTCATGGACCCGGGTAACGTCTTCTCCACCAGCCGTCATTCCAAGCCTCAGAATTTCCTCATCGGCTATTGCAACAATACCTGTCTTCGGTGCGGTGGGCTGACTTTTTTTTCAGGGCATCTTGTGAGGTGCCAGCCACCTTGATGCTCTGGAGGGTCCAGTTCCAATGCCGGATCCCAGGCTTCTTCTGCGCCAGCTGCTTAGCCCAAGTCCTCGTGTGAGACCGTGATCTTAAAAATGTTTAAGCTTTAAAAAGTTTCGCCCGCAAAATACGCAGTCAATTCACTTGACAGTACATTCTGTGAAGCGCAATGAGACGTCTCAACGACGTGATAGGGCGGCTGTATCAATATAATAATAATAATAATAATAATAATAATCCTTGCATTTATATAGCGCATTATCACGTCTCAAAGACTATGCTAATATGCCTACAATCATGAGAACTTGGAGCCACGCGATTGCACTGGGGAGGAAAGGCAGCAATGGTTAAGGTGCTTACCTCCCCCTTGGAACAAGGCAGAGGATCGGAGTAGCGGGACGTACAGAGCGAACCCTCTTCCCCCACGTCGTCCGGCAACCCAAACATCTCGGTGCAGTTTGCTGCAAAGTATTTGTACGGCCTCCAGGTCCGGCCAAAGTCCTGCGACCTCTCCAGCAGCATAGCCGCGGGCCGCGGTGTCTTGAAGACCAGGATGGCGTGAGTCAGGTAGAACTCCGTCTCCAAGGCCAGGCTGATCTCCTCTTTGTGCGCGCCTTGCGCCGACTGCCACCAGCTGCTCCTGTGCAGGAAGAAGTCGTCCGTCATGTCGGAGGGAAGGTGACTGTATTCCGGCCGCTGGGAGTTACACTTGGAGCACTTGATGCGCCCGCAGGGGCCGGCGGGCTCGTCGAGACCCTCGTCGTACAGGTAGGAGCAGAAGAGCTCGGTGCTGTTGTGCCCGCACGTGGTCAGCGTTCGCACAGTCCTTCCGCTTGCCAGGTTCCCCACCGGGGGATTGCACGACCGTCCGTCGCAGCGAGAGGTCTGCAACTTCATCCCGTCTGCAAGCAACGACAGTCAAACGTACAAGACATCAGCGCTTTCAATAAAGACTTCCCTTCCGCGTAGGAAGAGAATCTTACAAAGCCTCGTGTCTGGCCAGAACAGTAATGTAGGATCATAGAATATTACAGCACAGAAGGAGGCCATTTGGCCCATCTTTGGAAGAGCTACTCAATGAGTCCCACTTCCCCCATTCTTTCCCCCAAACCCCTGCAAATGTGTTCCTTTTCAAGTAACTATCGAATTCCCTTCTGAAAGTTATTGAATCTGTTTCCGCAACCCTTTCAGGCAATATGAAACACTTAACTCTCCTAATCTCTAACAGCAAATACAACAGCAAACATACTGCATTTATGTAGTGCCTTCCACGTCCGGGAGGACGTCCCAAGGCGCTAACCATAAAATAATCAGTGACTCAATGTCATTCTCCTTCAAATCGTATAATAACGGTAGGCTTAAGTTATCCAAAGGTAGACTGCGATTGGGACAATGTTGGATTCACGATGGATTCAGAACTGTTTCATAATCAGCAGTTCAGCAGCACAGCAACGAAGCAGGTAGCACGTGACTTGGTTCTAGGTAATGGATCAGAGAAGTGGATGATCTAAAAGTAAAGTGACCACCATATAAGTAGATCGAATATGAGAACAACTAAGGGAAAAGTGTCAAGGTTAATGATGCTCAAATTAAAATGTCCTAACCCAGATTAATTGGACATCCACCCGAGCATGGAATCATTGGTGGGAGCTTTTTAAATTGAGATGAAGAGGTTAAATGCATTCAACAAAGAAATAAAAAGGATGGATCAAACCTAGGATTCCAATAGATCGATAACAACACACACAAATAAATTACATAGTGCCTTTCACGTCAAGAGGACGTCCAAAAGCACTGCACTAGCTTTGACACTGGGAGGAGAACTAGGCAACACAAGTTAAATTTATAATCCTTGCACTATATCAAATGATGTATTGCCTTTCACATTAGGACATCTTAAAGCACTTGTGCAGTGACTGTATTTTGAATATTAGTAAAAGAAGAGATTACGTAAAAAAAGTCTGAAAGGACAACAACAACAACAAGATTACATTTGTATAGCGCCTTTCACGTCGGGAGGACGTCCCAAGGCGCTGGACAGTGTGCAACATTTTAGACTCGACCTGGGGTCGGGGGGAGAAGGGAGGGGAGGGGAAGGGGGTTGGCCGATGGCATGGTCGAAGAGGAGGGTCTTGAAGCGGGACTTGAAGGAGGCTAAGGAGCGGGTGAGGCAGAGTGACTGGGGGATGAAATTCCAGAGGTTGGGGGCAGAGTGGATGAAGGCTCTCCCGCCAACGGTGGGGCGGGTGGGTTGGGGAACATGGAGCAGGCCGCAACCGGCTGAGCGGAGGGAGCGGGCAAGTTGGTAGGAGGTTAGGAGGTCACAGAGGTAGGGTGGGGCGAGGCCATGGAGGGCTTTGTAGGTGACAAATTTCATTATATAAAAATGAACCCAGAAGCGGTAAGAAAGTATGTAAGTAATGCAGGGAAGTGAAGAGGGAGACTGAGATGGAGTTTGAAAAAGAGCAGCTTGCATATGATTGAAGGGAATAGGCCAGAGGGTAAGATAAATAAAGAACCATTAGTTGGCACAAAGCTTTATATTGGAAGCTGTGGATTATAGGAGAAGATAACAGTGAGAGATCAGGATTTCCACAGTCTTGAGAAAGCGAGAGCAGGAGGGAAACTGAGTTGAGTCTTCATCTCAACAGTGAATAAACGAGAAGCCGGAGAAATAATTTGTAGGACAGTGTTTTGGGAGTTCGAGAGGAAGCAAAAGTTATTGTTACTGAGGAAACCTAGACACGCAAGCGCTTGAGAGAAGTATTGGGGGATCTTGAAATAACTGCTGTCGGGAATATATAAACCTTTCACTGGACACAATGGTCATTGCATGTTAGTAGCCACAGAAGTTGATGTTATCTGTGGAGGGAAGGAGGTCAGGGTTGAGGAGTGTGGGCTGGATGAATTTATGTATTTATTGTCTTTTCATAACGAGAATCGATCTAATAAAACCATGCTGTATCTAGTCTGGAAGGAGCAGGCTTGATGGGTCGAAAGACCTTTTCATCATTTCTTTTGTCTTTCATATTCGCACAGTGAAATCTAGACCTGAGCTCAGGGAGAGTTAGGCTGTTAACACAAAAAAATAAGCTTTGGATCTTCATGTTCTGCTTTGTCCGGATCTACGATCTGTTAGACACTGGGTAGAAACTCCGGTACACAAATTAGATTGGAGTAGGGTGGTTTAAGCGCTCTGAGACACCATCCGGCGTTGAGGGTGCTATATAAACACGAGTTGCTGCTATTGTAGTTGTTGCTGTTGTTGTAGAGTGGTCTGGATGGTGTTGCTTACACCAAAACAGTTACGTTGCCCTATTTGCCAGCCTGAAAGTCGGAGGAATGGAACATAGCCCATCAGAAACCGTTTTAAGAACAAGACTCAGGCCGTGGGTTAACAGTTATAGGAAATGGAATCGCAAACACATCGCTGGAAAGAGCTTCCCCCTAGCATACCACCAAAGGCTAAGCTCCTGGAGCCAGATATTGACCACAAAAATTATAGCAATAATTATTCTTTTCCTCTCTCTCTCTCTCTCGCTCTCAATAGTTCTCCATCTGTGCCTCATTTCTGTTTTTTCTCCTTCTCTCTATCTCTCTCTCTCTCTCTCTCTTCCTCGGTCCTTCTGTACATGTACTGGTTGATCCTCGCCTTTCACAATATCATCGGTATATCTCATAATATTATTATTTCATACCGTTAAAGATTTCGTTAATTCCTTGCATTTGACATCTGCTTTCATGGAATAACGGGTGTCTAAAGGATATTTACTCTCTGTTTAACATTGCAAAATATGGACAAGACCTTTAAAAGTAAAGGGAATAAAAATGAGTTCAAGATATGTAACCAAGAGTATCAAAGATAACATCGAGGGTGAATTTCAGCCTTAAACACCTCTTTCTCTGAGGGTTTCGGGCGGGAGGTTGTGGACATGGCTTAGTGTGAGTAGAGAAGTTCCAGATTTGACGCCTCCTGATTAACAGACTGTGGATGGAGCTACTCAGAATGTGTCTGATTATTAACAAAGCTATTTGTCAAGAGTGTTGTCAGCGGGAGCTCGCAAAACAATGCCAGGCACTCGTTAACCCGTCCCACCCCAACGCACACACAACACACCCACACACGCAAACACAAACACAGCCTCGGTGACAGAAGAGAAGGTCACTGCATCCATATATGTGAGGATATAAACAGCAATTAGGAGACAACAATAATAACACTCCTCGCATTTGATACAGCGCCTCATCACGTCGTCGAGACGTCTCGACGCGCTTTCACAGGATACACCGTAAACTGGAGTGACTGTGTATTTTGTGGCAGCCAGTTTGCGAACACAAATGTCCCACAAACAGCCATGGAGCGAGTGACCAATTTTATTCAGGCGGTTGTAGGTCATGACACCGGGAGAGGGAAACTCCTTTCTCTTTTGTACGCACGTGCCTTGGAATTGTACACTCATATACAAAACAAATTGTGTATGTACGTGATGTGGAATCACATCTTAACCCAGAACTATAGATGCGCACATGCAATTCAGAAGTAGTATGGAAATATGTGTCTGCACGATAGAAATATACAGCGAGGTCCTGTAAACTAGGGAACAAGAGGAAAGATGTGAAAATAATTTAAATGTCCTGATCACACACACACACAAAACAGGGAAACCTCACTCAAGGCTCAATGCTGTTCGATGGTGTTAGCTGACTGCTCAAGAGTGGAAGCTTTCTGACCATGGGAGAGAAGAGGTTGGACGATAGGAAATAGAACATGCAATATATTGCACATTAGGGTGTGGAAATGCAAGTCACGGGGGCAGGAGACTGAGTATTATTACAGTAATATTTCTGTCATATGTTATCACTTGTCTTACATATAAAACACAATCTACAGGAAGCATCTCACTAGTTGTCTTGCCCCGATTAATCACGGATTAAAAGTAATCAAATGTTGCTTTATTTGATCGATATCTAAGATTATTCTCATCTGAGAACCGGCAAGAGATAATAAAAGGGAGAGCGCTGATGTTTCGTAAAAAAGAAAATGAAGCGAGCGTAAAAACAGGACTCTCAAAAGCTGGATACCAAGATATTTTCTTCCAACAAGAACAACAACTTGCATTTATATAGCCCCCCCCCCCCCCCTCGTGCAGGCTCGCGTCAAGCAGACCGCTTGAATGACAAGAATAATAATATTATAATGTTCGATACAGCGCCTCATCACGCCTTCGCGACATCTCAAAGCGCTTCACAGAATACACGGCTAAGTGACTTGACTGTATACTGTATGATAATAATAATCATAATAATAATAATAATAAATATAGATGGTGTCTTACCTGCACAGGTACCTGGTAAGCAAACGATGCAGCCCAGCAATAGGAGGAGAAGTGTCCCCTGCATGACAAGACGATTCACAACTTCTCCCAAAAAGGCAGACTAGTCTCTAATGCATCCTCCCCATCAGACCACGTCTCTCTCTTCTTTCTCTTTCTCTTTCTTTCCTTCCTCTCTTTCTATTTCGCCTGGTGCAGATAAATGCTCCCTTTAGCATCGTGCATTTAAAGAGACCAGTCAATATTCTGGAGCAATTTGAAATGCATTCGATCTTGGGAACTTCACTTATTTTTTTTGCAAAAAAATTTAAAAGAAAAAATGCTGCACAATTCCAGGAGAATAAGACCCCAAAAAAACACACACACACACACACATCAGTGCATATACAGTGTAATTGCAATTAAAAAAAAATCCTTTTCGTTGATAGGAAGACAGGAGGAAGCTTCAAACAATCGCCCATCTGCTCGTTTGTTCCATTATTCAATTTCTTTCTGCTCAATACAGTGTGTGGTTTCCACCCCCCAACCAGGAGAGAGAGAGAGAAAGAGAGAGAGAAAAGGAAAAAAAAAAATCAGAACATTTGCAAAAAATCTTCCCAGTCAACCAATGCAACCAGTCAGTGAGTCAGTCAGTCAGTCACTCAGTCCTGTCCTGTAGATTGAGGTTGTTGTTGTATTTCTTTTTGCTGGGGGTGGGGTTGTGGGTTTGGGGGGTTGAGAGCTGACAGATGCTGTTCTTTATTGATGTGTTGTGTATTGATGGCTTCTTTCTCCCTCTCCTGGTCTGTGTGTCCCTCTGTGCTCTGTGCCTGGACCAGTCAGTCAGTGTTGCTGTCAGCTTCACTCCCTTTGACTCCTGTTATTCCTTTTTGGGGAGGAAATTGTTAAAAAGGCTGGAAACTCCTCCCCACTCTTCACCCCCCACTCCCCCCAAGCATCCAATGGGAGGGAAGGAAGGAGAGGGGAGACTTCCCCCCAACCACCCCCCACCCAACCCAACCCCTCCACCGCAACCCGCCCACAGGCACCATCTCCGTCTCCCCGGACTGAGCTTCCGCTCGGAATGATGACGGGCTTTCGGGGACGGCATCGGGTTTCTTAATAATAATTAATAATAATTAATACTAATCCTTGCATTTGGGGTCCCGCAGCTCAGTGGTTAGAGGGCTCGCCTCGGCAAGCGAGAGGACCCGGGTTCGATTCCCGGCCGGGGCAAGGCGAAATGTTGGGCAAATTTCCTTACTCCAAGCGCACGCCTACTGCTCACCTACAGTAAGTAAGAACCGCGTTGTTTGGCGGATCGCTTTTCCACGGGGAAAAGGAGAAATTCCTCCACCCCTTCCAAAAAAACCAAGAGTAATTTGGTCACTCAATCCACGCCTGTTTGTGGGGACGCTGTTGGGCGCAATTGGTTGCCCTGTTTCGCCCACGAGATATACGGTGGCTTCACTTTACGGTATATTCTGTGAAGAGCTTTGAGACGTTTCAAAGACGTGATCAGGCGCTATGTCAGATGCAAGGATTATTATTATTTGATATAGCGCCTTATCGCGCTGGTCCTCTTTGACTGTGCCATCGGCCACCCTCCTACCCTCCACGCCCTCCGCGCCCCCCTGATCCCAACCACCCCATCCGCCAGAGTCCAAATCCCTGACTGTCCAGCACCATGGGGCATTCTCCCGAGATGAAAGGTGCTATACAAATGGCATTTTCTATTGTATTGAGGCGTCTCAAAGCGCTTCACAGTATATGCTGTAAAGTGGATTGACTGCGCATTTCGTGGAAGAAACGCGGCAGCCAATGGCGCACGGCAGCGTCCCACAAACAGCTGTGGATTAAGTGACCAANTTTTTTGGGGAGAGATTATTACTCCCGGTAAACGATCCATCAGTTGAGCAACAAATGGGTTCCCACACACTGCGAGGTAAACAGAAGCGTTCTTATTATTAATGTAGGAAATTGTTGCACCTCATATATTTTCATATTCTGTATGTCTTGCCGTAGAGGTTCTCCTGTTTTCCCATCAGTGGAATGAATGTAAATGTAACTAGTGAGTAAGGGTGGGGGTGGTAAGTGGTAAGTGGGGTCACAACCACCAGAAGAGAAGTACCGATTCACATCACATCCAAACAACGGTACCATCAACTGCGCAGTGCCCCTCATTACTGCACCGTATCAGACCATGATCCTACGTTCTGCTATGGGACACACCCACGACCTTCTGACCACAGGTGAGCAAGCGTGCTCTCAACTCAACTGAACCAGGGTTATAAAATTCCCATTTTTGCCCATAAATATTGGCGAAGATCTTCTTGTAACCGCGGATTGCTCAAGTGGCTAAGCAGAGCAGCGAGTGACTAAGACAAAAATAGTCCGAGCACCTTTGCTTTGCGCAGATTCGAAACAAAATGAAGAATTTTCCCAATTCCTGGGATTCAATTAGAGGGTTTAATTCTGGGTTTACTCTCGCTGCTGTTGAGTGACGCTGGCGCTGATCTGTGTCCGCGTGAGCCGCCTCTCTTGCTGGTAAGCAAATAAAATTAGCACTTTTGTTTCAGATCTCTCCACGATTCTTCAAATCCAAACGTTTCAAATTTCTATTTCGCAAATATCGTTACTAAAGGTTTAGTGTACCGTCACCTCACTTGTTGGAACAGGATAGAAAAAGCTTTACTCTGTCTCTAATCTGTTTTGTAGCTGACCTGGGAGTGCTGCCCGGACAGTGTAGAGGGAGCTTTGCTCTCTATCCAATCTGCAGCTGATTGCTGATGTTGTAGCCCTGAAATAGGAAACAATTACGTGCAACGGACGTTCCTCAAGCTCCGAAACACAACAGAAAATCCAGTGACCCACCTTGTAATGTTTCGATCATGTAATGACAATATCACAATGTAAGGGTTATTATCATTATTAATATTAACAAATGTGTTTGACAAACTCCTGTTTTTTGTCCAACGCAGATTCTACCAAACATTTCACGTTCCTTTGATTCCCTTGACCTGTGATTACCAATCAAATGCCTACTTCTCTCCGACATCAGGAGTCTGAAGCAGGAATTCTGTATTGTAATGTTCTCAGTTGTTCCCACACTGTGAGCTCATGATTCTAGGAACTGACGTTGCTTTTGGGAGAGGTCAAAAGGAGCATTAATAATAATAATAACAATCCTTGGATTTGATATAGCGCCTTATCCCATCTTCGAGACGTCACGAAGGGCTTCACAGAATTCACTGCAAAGTGAATCGACAGTGCATTTTGTGGGCAAAGGAATAATACGTTTTATGGTACATTTTATAGCGAGATGTCAACAACAAAATCTTACAAGTGAGGACACTTTTACACAAAGCAAACCTTTGCATTCGTTTCGCACATGTCACTGTATTTTAATGACCGTTTTTCTCGCCTGCTTATTTGCTTCCCACATTTTCTCCTAAAGTTGTTTGTCTCTGTTTTTCTGTCTCAAAGTCAACTTCATTACTTCAATACCCGACCTATACGTTGGTTATCACCTGCCCCTCCCATACAATCACACGCACATAGCATGTACAGGGACACACACACGGAACATGTACAGGGTGACAACACTCACACACCACACACACACACAACATACACAATGACACACAATCATGAATAAACGATACTGTTAAAGTGTAACCGCGCCATCTGCTGGCGGTGCAAAACTCTCCCCATTTTCTGGACAAAGGCAATTTGGTTAAAAGCCGTTTGGATCCTTTATAGAGGAATCATTGACTGAGACAGCACAGAAGGAGGCCATTCGGACCATCGTATCAATTAAAAGAGCTATCCAAATCAATCCCACTCCCCCGCGCTCTCCCCATAACCCTGCAAACTTGTCCCCCTCCCAATAATTATCTACTTATCTAGGGGCTAAACAAGTCCGAACCCTCATCTATCTGGGCTACGCTCAACCTCCAGATTCTACAGCCGCCAAGTTTGCCATATAATCGCTACACTTGACGTTACTTATCTGCAAAATGAAACAATGATTTACTGTGTTTATTGGATTGTGTTTGGAAGTAAATCCACATTTGTGTCAAAAATAAATCCACTTTTAATTCTATGAAGATGAATTTGAGGAAGCCAAATTCCTCTGGTCTCGTGGACGAGTCTTTTTCGCTGTTTGTTTATTTACAAAGTTAATATTCAGTCTGACCAATGCGATGTGCTGAAGTCCTGGGCCGCAGATTCCCAGAGCTCATTGACCTGACCCTTTCACTGGAATCAAACCAGCCGCTTAGTTCCAGATTGTCTAGCAAATCAATGTTGCATTTAATTTTGGAGAGTTGCTGTGAGTTCGGAACAGTTGATCAGAAATCGACGTAAGTCCCTGCATAGAAACAGGAGTTGGCTATCCGGCCACAACATTTCTTAGTACTGAACGTGGAATAGGTTTAACTCCAGAGTATAAACATTAATAATAATAATAATAATAATAATAATCCTTGCACTAGACATAGCGCCTTAACACGTCATCGAGATGTTTCAAAGCGCTTCAGATACTGTACTATAAAGTGGATTGACTGTATTTTTCTGGATGTGTAACACGTCACTACAGAACAACCAATTCTGGAGATAGCAATGACCGACTGACCTAACAAACGGTGGAGAAACCGCAGTCTAGCCTGGCTTTGGGGGCCTCTGGACTGAATGCCTCCGGGCACCAAACACTGTGGGAACTGAGCGCGTATTTTCATGTTCTATTTGGGCAAAGTTTATAAAAAAGTGACAGAGGCATCATTTAAAACACACCGAGATGACCTTTCCTACATGGCGAAACTTACAAATGTTTAACCGTGTAAAGCCAGCCCGATCGATGGCAGACAAGCCGATGTTTACCTCCAGTATGGGGCAAGTGTTAACCATTTATTGACCCCCACGTCCGATGCCCAATTGGAGTTGAGGGGCGAGGAGGTAGGCGGGTCGGGTGCCACTTCAATCGACACTTGTTGGCTTGTTCCCGCTCGAGTCTGTTTTGACAGAGTATCTCCTTGCTGGACCTTGTGACCGATTTTCCCCTCACCGCCCACCCCAGCTTACTTACCCACCTACTCTCTTGTTTTCGTGTTGAAGAGCGATGAGCAGCTTGAGAGCATTGTGTGCAGGTCTCCCTCTGGACCCTTTGCCCCCCAACAGAGGGAGGGATAGAGGAGTGCCCCACGCACCTATCAGGACCCCAAACCTCAGCCCGCACGAGGAGAAGGTATGTAAAGCTCTGCGAGACTCAGCCTTCCATGAAGGACCCTATATAAGTGCAAGTTGTTGTCGTTAAATCGAGTATTTATATGTGTGGGTGGGGCGGGGGGGGGGCGGGGGAGAATTCTGCCAAACTAAAAAAAAACCCTGTGAAAATTGTTCTTGTTCTGCGATAATCCAGTTGCTGTTCTGCTTTAAAGTTCAATGTGCCTTTTGGTTGAGTAAAAAAAGAGTCTCTTGAGGGCTTCCCTGCCACCCGTCATGAGAGCCAGCACTCCGTAATCCTACATGAAGGGCCTGCTCTAAATGAAAGTTGTTGTTGTTGTTTCCTCTGCCCTCTCGTCTTGCTGTTTTCCAAGACCATTCACCCTATTCATTGCGCGTGTGGCTTGACGGTGCATTGAATATCGCTGAGGTATGACCAAGGGTTCTGGGATTGCTACCTTACGTTAGGAGCGCTATATAAATGCAAGTTGTCGTTGTTGTGGTGTGGAGGGACCACCACGGTCCAGCCATTCCTGTCCTCATTCGATGGTCGCATACACGCGCACTTCCTAGCCAGGGTCTCGGCAACGGGATTTCTTTTCCCCTCCCTGGCTCAGGGCCATCGAGGGGAGTCCGAGCACATTGATAACCACCGAGGTCAGCTAACTCAGCAGAAACTAGGAACCAGACCTGGGTTAGCGTGTAAACTGGGGTTTGCACCAGTCATTGCCTTCACTGAGGAGGAAGAGGCTGTTTGGAACGGAAATCTTTTTGCTTTTGCTCCAAATCTGGGATTCTCAGTTGCTATGACAATATGGCAAGACGTTTACCCAAGACATGTAACTGATGCTATTTGGTTAAGGGTTTATTTCTCCCATTAATCGTCCTGACCACAGCCTGTGCTGTAAGATCTATCTCTCCGCCCCACTTGATAAAAAGTTGATGGTGACCAGGTTTGCAAACTCAAATGCAGAATATTAATAATAATAATAATAAACCTTGCATTTGATATAGCTCCTTACCACATCTTCGATACATCTCAAAGCATTTCACAGCATATACTCTCTTGAACTGTATATTTGGTGCATCGGGTCAGCAATAAGGCAGCTCCTAGCAGGCATCAACACATTGCATTTATATAGCGCCTTTCCCATCGGGAGGACGTCCCAAGGCAATGCGCTGAATGTGTGGAGAGCTGACGCCGTCCGTCAGCTCCAGGCACTGAGCCATTGGAAAACTTCCCCCAACAGTAGTTATCCCTTTGTTAAAGGAAGAGCACTGATGCATTAAACAATGTCCACCACATTCACACCACTGGGGCGTCTTTCCAACGTGAAGGGCGCTATACAAGTATAAGTTGCTGCTGTTGTTGTTAAACATACCCTTGACGGTGTGACTTTGATAAGCCTTTGCAGAGTTCCCTTCAGCACTTACACACTTACCCTAATTTGGGGAGAGGAAAGGGAGGGAGAGTCTTTCTTATGTACAAGTGTACTTAGGGCAATGTCACTCCATTGGTTTCTCAGAAATCTTGCCATTTCAGCTGCATTGGAACCACCTCAAGGCTCGAGCTAACTCGCTTCAGTCTCATTGGCAATTATTAAGCACATCAATTTCAGGAGTAATCGATCTTGGCAGAGCTCGGAGGGGAATAGCCTGGTGTGGATTTTCGGTGCATTCCTAACCGTTCACTCTTCACAATATCTTCTGACTGAAGCCTCCAGCATCGGCCTTCAAGCCAGTTACAACCTACCTTACTTACTGTGGCTCCACCTCACCCACTCTGTCTTCTCCAGGGGAAAAGTTCTACATAAATCCTCCCAGATCCTCAAAGAATATTCATCCATTCTCACATCTCCACTATTCAACCCTGACTTCCTCTTCCCTTCACAGACAACCTCCTCTTCACCGCCACCTCATAACCACAAGAGCCATTGTATTGTGTGGAGTGTTTGATCATCTCACTCTGCACTTATCCATATAAAGTCTTAATCCCAATCAATCATTTCTCGGCTTTTAGAAGAATTAGTCAATGTAGCTTTAACTACTGAGGTCTGTTCCATATTTCCACCACTTCATGAGGAATCTATTCTGCAATCTTGCTGGAAATAGGTGGCTTAGCCGAGTTTCGCTCACAATTACACAGTCAATTCACTTTACGGTATATTCTGTGAAGCGCTTTGAGACGTCTCAACAATGCAATGAGGCGCTATATCAAATGCAAGGATTATTATTATTATTATTAATTTTAAAATTGGATCCTCCGGATTTGTGCTTTAGGTCAAGTTGTTTACTTACATCCAACTTATCTCTTTCTCTCAGCATTATATTGCTATTATATATAACACATCATATAACGCCTTGTATAACTTTTCAATCATGGCCCCCCGCTCCTCCTCATTTTCTCTTCAAAGTAATTGTTAGTAAAACAAGTATGAGGAGGATTACAGTCAAATTTGCCTGCCCAATAGTCACTACACTCTCCAGTGGATCCTGTGGCTCACTTTGAGATCTCTGGAAGATGTGGTAAGACTATTATTATTACATTAATGTCTTCCAACCTTTCACCCGTCGATTACCAATGGGCTGCACAGAAACGTGTCAAACTTTATACGTGTCAAGCTGTTAAATGTCCTTTCACCTTTGGCCATTGGGTCGTTAAGTGTGGGCTGAGAGGTGTGGACACAGCAGTGGGAGGGGAGGGGATATTCCTGGAGGCCTCTGGCCTAAGTGGACTTTGGCCTGAAACGTCGAGAGAAAATGTAAACCAAAACCTCTTCGAGCCTGGGGAGGATTTGCTCCATTGCTTTCAGGGAGGATTTATCATGTACACAGTATTTGATACCTTGAAATCAGCCGCCGTAGAGGCACAAAGAGGTCTCCGTGAACTTTGATTTGTGCTGCTGAGCCTGATGAACTTTTACATTCTACGTGTTTGACAAAGACAAATGACACTTGCTCCAAACTTAGAGCGAATCTTGAAAGCTCGGGTGGTACAGTGCAGTGCAGTGCAGTGACCACCCCATCCCTCGTAAAGAGACCGCAATTTATTGGTGTCTCCACGGCACAGTTTGTTTGTCTCCAGGTTTGTTGGTGAAAAGAGTGAACGGACATTCTGATTCTCTCTCTCTCTCTCCACCCCCCCTCTCTCTCTCTCTCTCGCTCTCTCTCTGTGTCTCCCTTTCTTTTAACAAAGGGGCACTTTTAGATAACGTTATATAAACCGTGCTGAAATTGGACTGAATCGCAAGCTCCTCCAGGGTGTGACAAGGAGAGCGTCTGCCTCTCTTTTTGATCACTCATGTAAAGATATTGGATTAAAATTGCTTTCAGGTTCAGTGGCAATGGCTTTCTGACGTGCCCAGCGCAGACAGTGGGGAGACCTTCAACCGGCCGTTCCGAATGAGTGTTCAGCTCCAACTGTGAATGTGTTTTAGCTTTTCTGTCGAGCAAATAGTTGTATTTATTTTCTTGTTTGTTTCATTTGAATCTCTGAACTGGGTTCTCGGGGCTAAACACAGCCGACAGCTGAGAGAGAGAGAGAGAGAGAGAGAGAGAGAGAGAGAGATTTTCTACTCTGAGGCTGACAACAACAACAACTTGCATTTATATAGCACTCATCTACTCTGTAAGAGGAATCGAGCCTGAATCCGTGCACTCCCAACCGGACCCTGAAAAAGAAAAGAACATGATTTTAGAATGAAAATCTGTTCCACTATAGATCGATGTTCCGTATTCAGCTGCTGTAGGTTGCTGGCCAGACCAGGAAAATTCTTGCACTTGTTTATTTCAACTCGTTACGTACGATGATGTTAAAATAATCAGTAATACTACAGTGTTGGCGGGATCAGCGAAGTGGAACGACTACATAAGTTCTTGCCCTTAAAAATGGGCACCTCGCAGGGCATCTTACAGATGTATATAAGATGCTAAATGACATAAAATAAACGGAGAACAAATATTTTGAGATACCCAAGGAAGCTGGACAAGAGGATACACGTTCAGGATTAGGAAAAACTATTTTAGGACAGAGACCAGGAGGTATTTCTTGACAAAACATATGCTCACCACTAGGTAAAATGTTCCCAGGAAGTGTGGTATAAGCTAGGTCCCTGGACTCATTTCGGAAACAGTTTGATGCTGTGTTGAGAGGAATGTCGGGTTAGGATTCGGGAAGGATGAGATCAAAGTTGCTTCTTCAAACAAGCGGCACTGAAAAGGCCGGTCTCAAGACCTTTCTCTTCAACCGTGCCTTCACCTCCCCTCTCGACTCTCTACCCCTCCTCGCTCCCTCCCTTCCCTCCCCTCACCCTAACCATTTCCCCCCTGCTCGGGTCCCGACCCAACTGTCCAGCGCCTTGGGATGTCCTCCCGATGTGAAAGGCGTTCTATAAATGCAATCTTCTTGTTGTTGTTGTTGAAAAGGCAATTAAAAAACCAACGACTAACCTGATTCATCTGATGAATTCATCAACATCTGATTTTGAAGTCAACCAAACAAATAGACTTTAGCTTTGTTTTTCACCCAACGAACAATCATTTTTATTTCAAACTTCCTCCCCACTCCAAAATGGATGATTAGATTCAGGAGAAAGACATAGCCAGGGAGAGAGAGAGAGAGAGAGAGAGAGAGGCGGTGGATTTTTTTGGAACGTAGCTTATTGATTTGGACCTGTGTTAACGCTATGGTTTTAATTTAAACAGGTGGCTTTGAGAAATGCCTTGCGTTACTTCCCTCCAGAGGCTCACGCCACTCTTGCGTCCGAGTTTGTTGAGGAGCTGAGATCATACGGCCACATCTACATGTACAGGTTCTGTCCACAGATCAGCATGAGGTTAGTGCCTTAGCTCCGTGTGGCTGTGCTGTGGCAGCAGTGCTGGATCTCGCAGTGAAGGGGGACAGTCCTGTTGATTGAAGAAACTGGAACGTTCAGACCTCATTGCCGGCGTCATTGAAGGCAGCGGCCTGTTTAAGAGGGGATAGGTCCTTAGTGCAAGGTGTGTGATGTGTGTGTCCTAGGAATTGTAACGATCTTGCAGGACACTTCCCTGGCTTCATATGGTGTCAGTCATTTATAAAAATAATAATAATAATCCTCGCATTTGATGTAGCACCCTATCACGTCTTCGAGACGTCTCAAATCGCTTCACAGAATATACTTAAAATTGGATCGACTGCATGTTTTGTGGTCGAATTGATTAAGATAAGCCATTTGGTGTTTGTCCTAAAATTCCCTTTGCAACTCTAAACCTGTGTCCTCTTGTTCTACTGCCTCAACACATCCTAAGTTATTGTTGAGGGTTTCTGATTTCTAATCCCATTTAAGATTTTACCTGTGAAGTGCTCGTCATTGTACAATAATCCCTGAACAAATTTTATTTCCGCTGACTTCAGGGCATACCCGATTAATCAGTATCCTTGCAAGACCAAAGAAACCGCTGCAGTCATGCACATGATCATGAATAACCTGGACCCTCGGGTAGCTCAGGTAAGGATGAAAGCCATACACCTAATGCATAGCAACAACCTCCCACTCACACATTCTCCGTAGATAACGCATTCCTCTGTGGCTTTAGCCAGTGGCCAGCTAATAATAACCTATGCATTTGATACAGCGCCTTATCACGTCTTCGAGACGTCTCAAAGAGCTTCACAGGATATAATGTAAAGTGAATTGGCTGTATGTTAAGTGGGGGTGAAACCCGGCAGCCAATTGCGCACAGCAGTGTCCCACGAATAGTCGTGGATTGAGTGAGCAAATTATTATTAGCCACACAGACCTGTGTGATTTCTCTTTCAGTTTCCCCAGGAACTCGTGACTTACGGAGGCAATGGGCAGGTGTTCAGCAATTGGGCTCAGGTACGTTTTTACGCGAGTGGAAGGTGAGTGCGGAGAATGACACATAGACTGACTCCAACCTGCAGTTCATAGTCTGACATGACCATGTGCCAAGTGAATTGGACAAGAACATGATGGGCAGCACTATCTCTTAGATTCCAGGTGTAACCTTGACACAGCTCACTGCAAAATTTCACCTCTTCTCAGCTTGTAGACAACAACACCAACAGCAGCAACAACAAATAGCATTCATATAGTGCCATTCATGTTGGGAGGACGTCCCAAGGCGTTGGACAGTCAAGGGTTTGCATCCAAGATTTGGGCTGGAGTCCAGAGAGGGTGGAGGGTAAGGGAATTGTGGGTGGGAAGATGACAGTCGTAATTTGGAAACCAGTTTATCAATCGCCCACATACACACGGTGACTACACTTTAAAATAAATCCTGTGCGTCACTTCATGGTGATAAAAAGTTCGTTTTTACGCGAGTGGAAGTGTGATTAGAAATACTGGTTAATGTGTTGTCACAAGCCACTGCCTCTCTGCAATACAATACAAAATTATGTTTGTGCTGAGCCCTTCACGTCGGGAGGACGGCCCGAGGCGCTGGACTGTCCATTGGGTAGTGTACGTGGGCTTTGTCTGTGTTTGTGTGGAGATTTGACCCTCGTGGTGGAATTCTCATGGCCTGAATGTGATTGTTGTCCTGTTGTCAGTTCTGGCTGGTGATGCAGTACCTGTCGGAGATGACCGTGGAGCAGACACTGGTGATGTGCAGTGGACACCCACAGGGCTTGTTCCCGAGCCACGTCAACGCCCCTAGGGTTGTCATCACAAATGGCATGGTAAGAGCAGGAGCCTCAGCTGTCATTTGTTTGTGCGTTCAAGGAACCAGGTGTTGGGTTCTAGGCAATGAGCAGAATAACACCAGCTTATTCTTTATAGCCTTCCTTTAACTAAGGACACGAGAACAGAGGAATCAAAGACACTCAGCAACTCAGGCTTTGAAAATTCTTTACTCAATAAGAAACATCAATTATCACAAATAGAACAGACGGATCAATAGCACAGACAGATGTCCGTATCAACATCAGTTGGTAAATTCACAAACAGGGGGCAAAAGTCTTGCATCAGATGAAAAGTCTCTCGCTTCAGACCAGAAGCCTCTTGCTCGGGTTCGTTGATTACGATGTTAAAGTTGAATCTTTAAATGATGGACAGCTGAGCTGTGCACTTTATTTGACAATTGTTATACGTTGTTATGCTTTTCCTCCCGTTACCTTTTAAGACGGTTTCAGACGTTCTGGAACTTCTGCAGAAGAAGTTTTCCTGAAAGTGCCGGAGTTGCCGAAAGTTGATGAAACGATGGAATAGTCTAACTCTGACGGATCTTATTTCCCGAAGACAAACACATTTGCTTCACCGCTTCATATCGTCACATGAAAGATGGCTCTTGTGTGGACAGCACTTGATATCCTATGTCCTCGGCTGAACAAAGTATAGTTCGGCCATACACCTTTTAGAATCGATTTTGCCCAGGCAGGATGCAAATAAATAATCTTGCCTTCCTCACGTCCGTGAAGCAATCATCTCACATAAAAGAATAATAAAATATAATCTGCAGAATTGTTGTTGTGATATAGAAGAACATAAATTGTTATAAAACGTGAATTGGTATTGAAAACACCTTTAACACAAACACGAATTTGTGATGGGAAGAGATTTTCAGCGATTTCAGCTTTAACGCAACACGTAATTAAAACATGAATTTGTGATGGACAAACCTCTTCAACAATCTTTCAGCTACAATAACAAATCATCTTGACATTTTCTTAGCTGCATCGCCATTTTTAACCATTAATCGAAATGGTGTCTATTCGTCATAAACATTTCTAACCATTGATTAAAGGTATCCTTTCGACTGCGTGGGTTAACATATATTCACAATTTCAGTGATGAAGCTAGTTCTGTGTCTTCTCCTTTTGTGTTCAACACCAGTTACATCACTAGACCTGGTGGCTTTAGGCAAATACAACCCGTGCAATTGCCAATTGACTTACAACCCGGTTTCTACTTAATGCTTGGTCAACAGAGGCGTGTGAAGTGAGGAAATTTGCCCAAGGTTTCGCCCTGTCCGGGAATCGAACCTGGGTCCTCTCTCTCGTGAGCGCACTAAGTACTACCCTACGAGACTCCACTCCCTCGTACTTCTTCCCTTCCTCCTACAGTCTTCAGGCTTTTGAAACCCAGTGATTTGCCATCACCTAATCACTGCTTCATGGCTTACCTTATTTTTCTGCCCCTGCCTCTTTCCAGCCTTAGTTGTCCTGCAGGGCAGTCATCAGGTGGAATCCCCTCTCTCTCCTCTGCTTCCAGTTATATAGTTTGGGATAAGACATGTCCGTGCTCTTGCCAGGATGGTGGAAAGCAAACTGAATGGACCTTGGTCTTCGTTTGTCTAGCAATTCTCTGAATGGGGTGAGGTTTTGCCTCTTGTGTTGAAGTTGACTGATGGTCTTTTTACTGCTTCTGCCTTTCCAGGTTGTCCCAAACTACTCTTCCAGGGATGAATATGAGAAGATGTTTGCAATGGGCGTGACAATGTAAGAGCTCTTTGTTCTACATGACAGCAAATCAAATGAAAGGAACTTAGTTGTGGGAATAATAACATTGAGCAACAGATACTCAATCCAACACCAGCCCTTCAGTGTTGGAGAATGGGCAGCATCCTTGTTTACACCCAGTAGATGAGCCAAGGTTAATACATCTCATTCGATGTCCTAAACCTTACACTAGAAGAAAGACAGAAGGAAACTATGTCCTTAAAGTAGAGGGAGGAGGTAATGGCAGTGAAACCCGATTCTATCCTGAGTCGAGATGCAAATGTGTGTATTCTGTTGGTTTCCCTGAATTGTGATCAGGAACCAGAAGCTTGGCTGTTATCCAGCCCTCCCTAGCTCAGGGATACTGAGGTCTATTTTAGCATCACTCGACAGTATATCCTGTGAAGCGCTTTGAGACGTCTCGGAGACGTGATAAGGCGCTATATCAAATGCAAGGATTATTAGTATTATTATTATATATATCCCCTCTGCGGCCAGACTGAGACCAGCCCAGACCATCTAACCTGCAATGTGCCTCCTGGTCTCTGATGTTTCACTCTGACTCTAGGATACTCTGACCTTTGAAATAGTGTGAATTTCTTCAAATGAAGCTGTCTTGACACAAATTTACGAACCTGAATTGAAAGGATTGTATATTGCCAGGGTCTTATGACTTCAATTCATCACGTTCATTTGAAAGCTCTCTACACCTGCGAGCTTAAAAAGCCAACCCTGACCTGTCATGCCATGCCTTTAATTTAATTTACTGTACAAAGTGTTCAAAGAGAGAGCACGCACCTGGTTTGTGTTTAGAAGGTGGGAGTGCTTAAAGGGATACAGTTCTGTAAATGGTTTTCCGTTTAGTTAAAAAGTGCCTCCCTCGTCAGATTTTTGTTCACAAAAAAAAAGGAAAATAATTTTACTCAGTTCGTGCTGCACATTTGATTCGAACAAAGGAATTATTTGACTGGTCATTCCTCCGGGTCGGAGCCTTTGTGTGTGTGTTATTCTTTGGTCAGCCGCATGCTAAAGATTATTGTGTGTATTTACAGTAACAATTGATGAAATACAGGGGGATGGTGTTGCGAATTGCAGGAATATTAATAGCAGGGATGGGCATTGACTCGATACACACTAGGACCATTTTCTGTGAAGCTGAGATAAGTGGAGTGCAGGGGTATGGGTTGTAGATAGACGATGGACACACATTATCTTTGGGGTCTTGCAAGAGAGTGTCTGTCGTAGGATGTCAAGTCAGTGTGAGAGGCAGAAGTAGCTGGATTGGACTGTGATGAAGTGTTTGTTGGGCTGAATGACGTTTTCTCATTCCAACCTTTTTCACCCATAAAAATACACAGTCAATTCATTTTACAGTGTATCCTGCGAAGCGTTTTGAGACATCTCGAAGACGTGACAAGGCACTTTGTCAAATGCAAAGATTATCAATTATTATGCTTTTGTGATCTTGCTTTTTCTTACTGAAGGTTTAAAGGTGTAATGGTTTGAAGTAACCTGATACCTCACTCCCGCTTGCAGGTATGGGCAGATGACTGCTGGGAGCTACTGCTACATAGGGCCACAAGGAATAGTCCACGGAACTGTGGTAAGATGGTCTACTTCTGCTCCACATGATCTTGTTTGACTTTTGGAGGCTGTCAATTAACTTTTGAACTTTACATTAATAAATTACATTCTCCTTTCTGTTCAGCATCTCAGCCTAGTAAAAGTAGCCTATCTAGGATCTAGGATGTGAATTCCAATCCAATGCAGACTGAGGAGATAAAAGATTCCTTTCTGCTGGCCGCAAGGAGCTAGTTTGGGACAGTCTTGACCCAGTTAATTCTCTGCGAGAGCAAGTTTACAGTACAAATTGATATTCTCGGTTAGAGAAATCACAAGGATGGTAGTGGGGAAGTCTCATCCTCAACCTGATAGCTTGACATTCAATTCCATCCCCCAGTTCCACCAAGTTTTTCAATACATTTTTCTCATGATTTTTTTTGCACTTCAAGTCGTTGGGAATGAAACACTTTCCATTTGAATCCTCGGTCCTCAGCTTACCACCTGGTCTAGACGGACATAAACATTTCTGCTCTCTCACCAACAGTGGATCAAATGTGGAGCATTTCCCTTATCTGCCATCATTGTAGACTTGCTCAGTAATACAGCAAAACCCACATACGTCTGATCTGTATAAATCATATAATCGGCCCTAAAGTTTATATTCTATTCAGGCACATTACTCATACTTTGCATAACTCATGTTACATTTTACATTTTATGTAAGGTTTATTGGATTAATAATAATAAAATGTAGCATGTTTCATCAGTAAACCAGCCATCTCAGTTCAGATGGGTTAAAACTAGACCAAGCTCATATTACATTGGACCCTCAGCCAACAGCGAAAGGAGACAAGAAGACTTTCATTTCATCTTCTTGGGCTGGATTTAAACCCACATCCCAGGGGTGTAAGGATAGATATTACTTTATTTGACAGCATAATGTCAACAGGCTGAATTTGACTCCAGTAGTTTGCCTCATTTTATGGGGTCTCTTATTGGAGACACATGTAGTTGAGTTGTAGTTACATCTGTAAAGCAGTGAGATTTTGTCTTTCGCTCTGTGAAATATAATCGCTATTTAGATTATTATGATCTGGGATCCAAAAGCCAGGTCTGATTGATTGTAGACATGGTTTAACTGAGGGACTAACACATGCAGCGGAATAGTTTCCATTCCTCCTAGTTGGTTGATGTCATTAAGTTCTGATCCTCAGTGAATAACATCTCCAGCGAGTGATAGTCACAGTTCTCTGTTGAGATGATAAACAATAGACGGTTTTGAGCTCATTGCATTGCACGGTTTTGAGCTCATTGCAGAGCAACCGATAATTTTTTCTTAACAGTGAAGGAATCAATGACTGAAATAGATTACTGGGAAAGGTCGTTGAGGTCAGGACACTGGACTAGTATACAACAACAACAACAACAAAATTACATTTATAGAATGCCTTTCACGTCAGGAGGACGTCCCAAAGTGCTGTATAAAAAGCAGAGTGAAGCTGTAATGGGAGGATGGGAGGGCGGGTGTTCTGAATGGATGAGATCAGATGGGACGAAGAGCCTTCTTCGCCCAAACCGAGCTTGTGATCTTGTGAAGTAAGTCTTTCTTCTCTGGGGTACAGTTTCGCAGATGATAGTTTCCATCCAATCGCTCGCCCAAGCATCCATTCCTCTTGGGTCTAGATATCAAGTGTCAGTACGCTATTTGTGGGAGCATCATCGTCAAAATAAAACCTCACTCAAAGCCTACACAAGCAGTACTTTTGCATTGGACTGTCAGCCTGGACTATAAGCTCAAATCCAGACATGGGGAGTGTATCAACCTTCTGATCCAGGGTTCTGAGGGTGCTATTAGCTAGGCTGGTTTTATTATAATAATCTTAATTTTAAATGATTTTACAATGATTTTATATTCTTTGTCGCAGTTTTCCAAATATTCTCCTCCAGTCTCACCTCCTTCAGGCTCACCTCACCTCCCTCAGGCTGCTCTTCCTCCTACCATCTGCAAGTTCCTAACATGCAAGCTTGATATCCCTTAACCAGCGCTTTGCGGTGATGTCTTGTGGTTTGGAACTTGGCCCCTTCATCTGGGTTCCCTCATTCTATAAAAGACTGGAATTAAGGTGGTGGTTTACAGGGTTAACTCCTGCTCTCAGCCGCTGAGTGTATCATACACACGGTATAAGTGCCCACCATTCCCTTGCATTAGCCTGTCTTCTTATAAATGTAACAAGGTCTGGTTCAGGCAATTTCCGGTCAGTTCCTCTCAAAGTGAAGGTAGTTTAAGGCAAAGTGTGCTCTCCCATCTTCCTGTCAGGACGGCCCTGAACTCCAGCTATGGTTACAATTGCAAAGAAAACCCTTCAAATACCATTTCGATCGTATTGCTCTGCCCCGAACACAACAGAAACCGAAAACAATTTACACATCTTATAAAATGTAACTTCGCGATACTCTGTGGGATGGATCGGCACAAAAATGTCACAGAATAAACCCGGAGTAAATCGGGCAGATTATTTCGTTCCTCGAGACGATTCATCGGAAAAGAGTTGAAGGATGTTGTGTTGATATCAGTTGCCTTATCAGTGGTCTAGACGTTTCGAAGTGGAGTTTTTACTGTGAAGTGTGCTGACTGTATTTGTAGGCAAACGCCACAGCCAATGTGCACACAGTAACATCCCACAAGCAGCTGTAAAGTGAGTGAGCAAATAAATTTGGGGGATTGTTGGCCAGGATAATACCAGGATAAGCTACCCTCGCTTATCAAATGTCCACCTGAACAGGCTGGTCCTCAGAGGTGAGGTCTGTTGGTCCATTGCTCAGGCAGAATACAGGTATCAAACCAGTCGATTAATCTGTCAAACCAATAGTACAAATGAATACAGAGGAACCTCTTTATGACGCACTCTCTGGTGCCCAGTAGCCCAGTTGCTGTGTTATAAGCAAAACCCAGAACCGTGGCCAACTTCCAGGTCAACACGTTGTCACTGACATCACTTACTACACGATTATGCGCAGGAAGCACCACTGACATCACGTCCTTGAGATCTGTACCGTTTGCCTTGTGGACTGACCTCCGCCGGCCTCCGCTTCTCTTGCAGCTGACGGTGCTGAATGCCGGCCGGCGCTACCTGGGGCTGGATGACCTCAGCGGCAAAGTCTTTGTCACGTCGGGACTGGGTGGAATGAGCGGAGCTCAGGCCAAGGCGGCCACCATTGCCGGGTGTGTGGGGGTCATCGCTGAGGTGAGGCTGTTTGAGCGGGTGTTGCGAACAGGGATTGTATTCTATTGTATTTCTCTCCTCTCGTTCTGATCCTTTAAACCATGGCTGATCGCTGTCTGCGGGAGTGAGGGGGAAGGGCTGAGTGGGGGAGTAAGATGGGACCAAATCCAACAGCTCTACTCCGAACCCATATGAGAAGAGCCCGGAGGTCAACCAAGCGGAGGTTGACGCTGGGGCTGTTTCTCACAGGACTGACCACTTCCTTACTTTACTCACTTACTGACAGAATCATCACGCGCGAACAGTTGAGGATGTTCTGCCCCGTTTTGCACGCTCCAACAGAAGCTACTGTACGCATCTCCCGAGTGGGGAGTTCAGTGGAAAGTGTGGAGCGAGGCTCCTTTAATTCACAAATGCCCCCTGTCAGAGGTGCCTGCCGTTCTTGAACATTCGGCCCGCAATGTCTTGCGTTGCCCTGGCTGTCGAGGGTCAAAGGCCACATCTTCGGATCACCTTCTCGTCTCCAAAAAGAAGAGAAATCAAGACCATCTGTGGCTCAATTCTGTTGCGAACAAATTGGACGTTAGAAAATAGCGGAGCCCAGAGGGGGGTGGGGGTGACAGTACTTGACCCTAGGAGCTACCGATTGCCAGAGAGAAGCACTCTATTAATTTATCGTCCAACAAAAGCTGCTTACTCCTCGTTATTTATTTGTTTTAGTTACATTCTCTAACGTTACAGCCACCTGGAAACATCCTCTGGAATGTTAATCACTGGTGGCTGATCCGGGCTGGAATTTTATCATTGAGATAGCACCACTGTGGTGCCATCTCATTGCGGGATGAGATGAGGTGAGCAAATGGTTCATTATTACAGACAGCAGCCAAATCCTTCCCTGTTCCCTGGGTGGCTCAGGCTGTAAAGCTACTGAACAGTGGGGAAAATTCAACCATATGAATAGGGAAGGTCTAAGCTGAGCAGATCTTGTGGATTCCTGTAGCTCAGTGGTTAGATTCAATTCGCTTTACAATATATTTTGTGAAGCGCTTTGAGGCGTCTTGAAGATGTGATAAGGCACTATGTCAAATGCAAGTATTATTATTATTATGCAGAAATCTTCTTTGTCCTCATAGTTGCAGGTGTGGATTTTCTATCTCACACTCAAACAAAATCACGGAGGCAGCTTAGCTCCTTTGCTCTGCTGATTCGCGAAGACATTGACAATCTCATTGCAACAACAACTCGGCGACTGACCTAAACATTTGAAGATGTTGTCAGAAGATACCGCCACTTCCCCCACCCTCCTCTCCTGCCTCCGCCCCATCCCCCACTCACTCCTCATTAAGGTGACATTAGTGGTTTCCAAAATATTTGGTTCTGTCGGCGCTTTGATGTTTTATTAATATTTAAAAGAAAATGATAAAAACCTTCTGTCGGGTCCCTCAAGCCCTGTTAAATGTGTAAGGTTCGACTATGAAAGAACGTAATAAGGCATATTTCCTCTCCGTCGCCATTGATTTTCACACATACTTTGGGGAAAGTTCATCAGAATGACGCTCTTGTTACATTCCAGCCTTGGAACGTGCTCCCAAAGCAAAGAAATTGGAACATGTGGTTGGAATTTAGTGACCACAAGTCCACATGCTGATACCAGATGGTGTCAGTTACCTTTTCCCCCAAAACCAGTGGACGTCTGCCTTCAAGTGCCCGGTCTCCCTCCCTCTGAGTTTACATTAGTTTCAAATGCAGCAACGAAATACTTAACTCTTTGCGCCTGGTAATTAAAGAGCATTCCTTTGTGAAACGCTGGACCTATTTCGGTTAAGCAACTACTCCCCGAAACTATAAAACTCTCTGTCTCGATCCGTCCACCTTGCTTCCTCCTTGCCCGGGTCACACCTGAAAACCTTCCTCTTTGACCGTGCCTACGGTCACCTCCACCCCTCTCCCCGGCTCATCATCAAACTGCTCCACCATTAAGTGCTCCCCTACGAGACACTACACCACGTAAAAGGCACTATACAAACGCTAGTTGTTGTTGTTAAGAGGGTAGTCAGTTGTCTACAATGAATGCATTGCGGACACTTGATTAAACTTACTTTGGAGAGTTATCGGGTTGCACAGCACACACTAAACCTTTACTGGTAGAAGCGAAGCTTGCTGGCTGTAATATTTCACCATCGTTTCCAAGGTCGGGATATAGCTCTGCGTGTTCATAAGTTGCCTGTAACCATCAGTCGAATGGATTTCCCTTTTAATGACAGATCACTGGAGGAAATCCTTAGCGAGTGAGTTCAAGAGAACGGTAGTGATCAATAAATCTATTTGATTGAATGGGAAAAAAATGCATATATATTTATATATAATATGAATAATCCTTGATTTTGATATAGCGCCTTATCACGTTGTCAAGGCGTCTCAAAGAGCTTCACAGGATTTTACTGGGAAGTGTAACGATTGTGTATTATTAGGCGAATGCAGCTGTCAATTTGCGCACAGCAATGTCCCGCAAACCAATTGTAAGTGATTGACCAATTTATTTTTTAGAATAAAAATAACCTTTGCATTTGTTCCGGCATCTTTCACGTCACCGAGATATCTCGAAGTACTTCACAGGATATACTGTAAAGTGGAGTGTCTGTGTACTTTGTGACAAAACAAGGCAATGTCCCACAAACAGTCGCAGAGCTATTTCGACCTTTGATAACTTTGCATCTCGGCCTGTTTGGTTTCAGGTTGATGAGATTCCCCTGAAAAAACGTCATCAACAAGGCTGGCTGATGCAGATCACCAACAATCTGGACCAGTGTATAGCTCAAATCAGGTATGTCTCACATGAATGGAATTTAACGTAAGTACGCTGGAGAACAGGATAAGGTTATTGGGTCAAACAAACCGATATCGTCTCACTCTCTCAATGTGTCCCTTACCTACCTGTATGCCTCATCCTGTTCCTCAATCCCTCTCTCGGGAAATGCATTTAGACTGTCTGCTTCAGGGCGAAATTGCTCAGTTCACCTTCAGATGAGAGAAACCAGTAGCTCAGCAAGTTTACTGAGCCGTTCAAGCCAGGAGGGTCCCGAGTTCCCTGTCTGTGCTGAGTTAGCTGAGGATGTCCGGGTGGTGGGTAGCACGATATGTGTGTGTGGTTCCAATGCACTTGAGTGAACATATCTGAATGTGCCACCTCGTCTTTACATTAACCCTGCACTGTATGTACATGTGTAAAGATGGGTTGAATATAAAACTGTTTTAATGTTGAATGTGAAGAGGGAACTGATCAGACAGTTGGAATGCTTGTGAAACCCCAGCTTTCTGCTCATCTGCCGTTTCATGTTAGATATGAAAGGAATCGTATAAATTCCTTTTTGAATGAATTATTTCCAGCCATAGAAGATGTAAGCCTTTTGTCTCAGTTTCATTCCAGCTCAGAAAAGAAACTAAGGGCCTCTTGTTCTCCCTTTATCTCTTTCCTGTCTCGGTCTCTTTTTAGTCTCTTCTGTTCCTCATTATTCGTTCATCTACAAACGACACAGTCACTACACTTGACAGCATTAAAGGCCTGTGAAGCACTTTGAGTGGTTTTCATGACACAATAAGGCTCTACATTAAATGCAATGGTTATATTTTTATTGTTCCTCTCTTGTGTGTTCTCCGCTTTGTATTTCACTTTGGTTCTGTCCTTACTCACTTTGCTTCAATCTGTAGTTCTTTCTCACTGGGACCTATTTGAATTCTTTTTGTCTGTCAACTTTCACCCCTCCACTCCCTTCCCTTCCCCTTCCCTTCTACAAGACATTTCCCTTTCCTGCTGTGTGCTACCATTGTCTCTGATCAACCTGGCCATCTATCCCAAGTGGTCATTCCTTATGTGTGAGCCTTGAGGTTGAGTGTATCTGCTAATAGGGGAGTCATAGCTGAGCCCCATCCCACAATCCGCCTTCAGCAGATGTTGGATAGCGGTAAGGAGCAAGAACCCTGGCCACCTATTCCCCCTAGGAGGCCAATTGTCGTGCTGCCTGTCTCACCTGAGATCAAAGACCAGGGACATTCCTCATCTATATTGTTGCTCATTAAATAAACTCAACATGAACACTGCAGCCAATTTTGACACTTTACACCGTGAGGCTCTTTGAGACATCCTTCCAACGTGATAGACGCATATCAAATATGAGGATAATCACGATAATAATGATGATTATTATCATTATGACATTTTCAGAATCCCGGCAGTTCAGTAGACACAATGATGACATTTTACACTGCTATGATTGACCATTCCATTGCCTGTTTGTTGCACTGCAGGGAGGCCAGAAAGAAGAACATGACGCTTAGCCTGGGTTACCATGGCAATGTGGTGGACCTCTGGTAAGTGGGAAGTATACAGTCGAAACCAACGTGTTCACAGAAATGTTTGCTGTTTTCTCATGGCCCAGTGGTGGAGCTCGCTGGAGAGTCAGAAATGGGTCTCTGGCTGCCCTTTCTCCTCCTGAGCCCAGGCACATTGAATCCATTTGTAGCATCTCCTCTGCCTCCCACCACAGACCAGCTAACCTGACACAGACCAGCTAACCCACCACAGACCAGTACGTTGGGACCCAACCCAACACAGACCAGCTAGCCCGGCGCAGTCTTAGTCCGTATGACTCAATTCCACAAGGAATTAGCTGAGATGCCTGGCAATGGATCCTCCTCCGCGCAGGATTTACACATTATACACATTACACATAATATAAAGGTTTGTTATTCTTTAAGCCCCCCCTCATGTTTCTCTGCTCCTGGGCTCCCCCAGTCAACACCCTCACCTTCAATTCAGTGGCTGAGAAATCAGGTAAGGGAGCTTCATGGGTTTGTCTTGAAGTTTAGTGAAGCTTGGAAATGGATGAGAGATAAATCTCCTGTTAAAGTAATTTCTCAGCCTGTGTGGAGGGGAAGCCTCTATTGTGGGTCCAGTGGCTGAGGGGTTGACCTGCATCACATGGCTGAAGGTCATTGCGGTCTCTTACTTAGCCTCTGTTATAGCTTTAGCTTAAACTCCCCCACTCGAGTTCGGAGAGAGAAATTTATCAGACTCTCTAATGTAGATTTGTTTGGCATTAACAGGGAGAGGTTGGTGCATGAGTATGAAACCACTGGAGACCTTTTGGTGGACATGGGCTCTGATCAGACATCCTGCCATAATCCATTCAACGGAGGCTACTATCCAGCTCAGCTTACGTTTGAGCAGGCCAATGAGATGATGCACACTGACCCAGCGAGATTCCGCAGCCTAGTACAGGAGAGGTAAGGTCAATGTCACAGGCCTATTGAGCTCCAACCTTTCTATCTGGTTCGGTGCAGGTAACTCAGAGCCGTGTCAGAGAATTAACATCCAATGAATAATCACAGACGGGATCTCAGTTTCACATCTCATCTAAAGATTGGCACCTCTAACAATGTAGCAAATCCCAGCACTGCACCAGAGTGCCAGTCCGCCCAAGATTACGAGTTCAGAGCCCCGACGTGGGACTGGAACCCATAGATCTGAACTCCTCAGTTTGGGTACCTCAACATCTCGTGTGCCTCATGTTGAACGTCTCGTGTTTTTTCAAAGCCCAATTTCCTTAAAACCTTTCCTCGAAACTTAAATTCCTTATATACCATAATCGATCGGACCGGGCACCAAAGGCATGGAAGCCCTTCCTGATATTGAATGTGATGCTTCAGAGAGAATAATAAAACCTCTCTCTCCGTCTCTCTCTACACTTATTCAACTCAACATTGATTCATCAGAAGGACAGCATCTCTGAAAATACACAGCACTCACCAGTAATGTACTGCAGTATCAACCTAGGCACTCACTGAACATAACGCACATGTTTTTTCCCCCCACACCCCCAGTCTGAGACGCCAAGTGGAAGCTATCAACAAACTGTCTGAGAAGGGATTGTTTTTCTGGGACTATGGCAATGCCTTCCTGCTGGAAGCTAAAAGAGCTGGTGAGTAAATCAAATAGATTGACAGCTGTCAAGAATTCGGAAAAGGATTGAAACTTTAGTGTAAAGATAATAATAAATACATTTGATATACATCCTTATCACGTCTCCTAGACGCCTCAAAGCGCTTCAACGGTATATACTGTAAAGTGAAATGACTGTATTTTTGTGGGTGAAACCCGGCAGCAGATACAATAGCGAATCATCTCAGAGAGCTTCACGTCAGTTACTTTGAATATTTTTATGTAGACAAATGAAACAATTCGGCCGCAAAATATACAGACAATTAATTTTACAGAATATTCTGTGAAGCGCGCTGACATGTCTCAACAACAGCCAATTGCATTTGTAAAGCGGAGGGTCTTGAGGAGGGTCTTAATGACGTTATATCAGATGCAATAATTATTATTATTATTATAGTGTCTCACAAAGGGCAATTCTTTTGTTTGGCCGATTTCGGGGGCTATCCTTATTGCCCGCCTAAAGAAGGCAGGACTTCAGTTAATATGTCATCAGAAGGACAGCTCCTCCAACAGTGGAGTGCTCCTCTGCACTGCGATATACTTGGATCTCAAACCCACGACCATCCAGAGCAGGGAAGAGAGTCAAAGCCTCGTGAGCCAATTCCCGCACGAAACCGCTCTGTGTCTGGCTTAATAAACACAAACCGCTCAGCTCCTTAAACCAGATACATCGCCTCTCGCCTTTCTGGAGAATCATTAACACGCCAGCCTGCGTGCCATTCCCCCCAATGAATTACAGCAAAGACCTAACAAAGACTGCACCAGTTTATTTTATTGCAATTTTAACACCACTCCACAGGCGCCCAATCCTGCTGTAAAACATTTTCTTGATTCACGACAGCCCATTGGGAGGATTTAAGTATCAGACCCAGCTGTGCGCTGGGTTTTACTGCTGTTTTTGAGGGTCCCCACTTTTAAATCTCCTTCAGAGCCTTTCATCTGTTGTTGCATTTTACACAGTTTTATGTTTGTTACAATTGCATCTCTTAAAGGCGCAGGGCGAAACCTTAGGCAGATTTCATTACTCCTCACGCACACGCCTCTGTTTACCTAGCAGTGAGCAGGAACCTGTTTATTAGTCGATTGGTAGCTCGCTTTCCCGGGGGTAATAATCCCTCTAAAATAATAATACTAATGCGGTCACTCAATCCACGACTGTTTGTGGGACACTGCTGTGCGCAATTGGCTGCCGTGTTTCTCCCACAAAGCACACAGTCACTACACTTTAAGGAAATTTGCCCACGGTTTCGCTCTGCCTGGAATTGAACCCGGGTGTCTCGCTTGCAAGGCGAGTGCTCCAACCACTGAGCTACATATAGTGTATGTATATATATTAAATACATATCGTATATACTTATAAAATTATCACATCATTGAGGCGTCTCAAAGTGATTCACAGAATATACTGTATTATGAAGTGGATTGACTGTATTTTGTGGGAGAATCGTGGCAGCCAATTGCAGTCCCACAAACAGTCGTGGATTGAGTGACAAAAACATTCAAATACATTTTGAAGGGATTATTACCCCGGGAAGCGATCCGCCAATTGACTAACATGCGGGTTCCTACTTACTACTAGGTACAAAGAGGCGTGTGGAGCAAGGAAACTTGGCTAAGGTTTTGCCGCCCCCCATCCTAGGAATCAAACCCGGGTCCTCTCGCTTGCGAGATGATCGTGCTAACCACTACGCTGTGGGACTCCAATAGCTGGCATTTCCCACCAGACAGAATTTGCACAGTTCCACGGTGCTGGGAAGCACTGCTGGGTTTTGTTTTCAACGGTGTGCAGGTATTACCACTCGCTGCTCAGCTAAGACAGTCAGAGAGCAACAAGATCTGTCACCAATTAGCAGAGAGAGAGAGAGTGTTTCCCTGTCCACATGTGTTATTTCTTGTGGGAAATTTAATTCAAGTGCGTGCGAGCAGCAATCTTCTATTGATTATAGCGATGGTTCAGGACGGCATTTGTACACTGTTAGAGCTGCAGCTTCGTGTTCACTCGGTGTGGTTCAGTTGGGCTCTGAAGGGTGGTGGAGACTTTCAATCAAACAACCATTCAATACACTTCAATACAAGATGGACTGAAGGAGGTTTCCTCTGTCTCTAACTGTTGTTGAACCTTCCAGCTCACAAAATCTATGAGATGTGCCGGTAGTGCCTCAAACACTGATTAACCATTGAATAAAACACACTAAACGTCTCTCTTTAAATGAATTGCAGGTGCTGACGTGGAAAAGACTGGAGGTGGAAAGATAGAGTTCAAGTTCCCGTCTTATGTCCAGCACATAATGGGGTATGTCAGGCAAACCATTTGGGCTCAAATGTGTTTCTTTTTACATCAAATGGAATTGAAGCTTGCTGGACTGATACCAAGTGATTCATGTCACTGCTGTGCTATTTTACAATCTCCATTCAGCTGATTTACCAGAGGCTCCATCTCCAATTGGTAATATCATTTAACCCTCAGAGCTATTGCTCCTTGTTTCACATTGAGTTTTCCCTGCCTCAGTCCCTCTGCCCCTTCTTTGCCGCTCCTCGGATGATATCTGAAGGTGCTTTGAAGGAAGCAGAGAGCAAACTGCAGGGGAGCAACAACAACAGCAGTAACAAGGTAGAGCCAGACAAGAAACAACAATCCAAACAACTTGCACTTGTAGAACGCCCTTCACACAGGATAGTGAGAAAGGCTGAGACAGGTAAAGAGAGGGAGAGAGAGAGAGAGAGAGAGAGATTGGAGGTGAGAGGAAGGTTAGTTATTAGGCAACAGGTCAGATGACGTCAAGGTGTGCTCCGGGACACTATCCTGTGGGAGGGGTACTAGATAAATGTAAGTTGTTGTTGTGAGGTGTACTTTGCTGTGTGACACAAGAGGGGAGATAAAGTCTACTCCTTCCTGCTGTTGAATTTCTGATATTGACACAAGGTCCTCAAAGAGTGAATGACCAAAAGAAGTAAACACTGTATAAAGCAATTAATCAGTCAGTTGGATCTCTCTGCTCTGTGACCCACTCTTGTAATGTCAGCCGAGGAATTTGTTACAGGAAATGGAGAATTGCCAAGGAATTGGCTTGTTAGGTCGTTGATCAAATCTTCAAGTGTGATCGATGGTCAGAGAAGGAAATGTAAACAGTGAGAACGATGTTGATACGTGTTCATATTTTCCACAAACAATCTTTTATCTGTGTTTTTTTACAATTCCAGGAATTATATTGACTTGTCTCTGTCCCACCCGACTTCCTGCTATTTCTTTATACCTACATTTGCCTCATTTATCATTGTTTGTGTCTGTTAACCAGGACTCTTAACCAAGACTATGCAACACAAACACACTGAACCCCACAGTCTACTTCTGAGCTGTTCCCATGATAAGCTTCTGGTTACCGCTAGACAGTCAGTCCCATTTGCAACTCAAAGTTATTAAAGAATCTCTTTGAGGAATACCGAGAATTAGACCGGATACTGAGTGTGTAGGGATAAAGGAATAGGTTTCAAATGAACAAGCCTTAACTAAGACTAGAGGTTTGAAGAATAATCTTTCTGTCCTACTCCGGTGATTCGAATATAGATGAGACTAAATTGGATCCGTGGCACATAGACCCAAATGAACTAATAGCCCTTTCTATTGCTGAATCCTGATGTTGTTAAGTTGTGGGAACCAATCCTTTAGGATCTATTTTGAAGGAAATCATCTGCTGCTTATTCACTGTTCTAGTTTATCACAGTATAAAGTGGGAACTTCAATATTCAACTCTCTCTAACTGGGAAGGTGGAACTATGGCACTGAGGATTGTTAAGCACCTTGGGACTTCCTCCCAATATAAAATTCATTGTCTAAATGTAAATTTGTATTGAAAGCAATCGTATTGTTTCGAAAGCGCCCTTAGCTTTCAAAAGGGAACTAGATTTCTAAGAAGGAGTAAACTACAGCGCTATGGGGAAAATATTAATAGTAATCCTTGCATTTGATATAGTGCCTCATCACATCATCGACACATTTCAAAGCGCTTCACAGGATATACTGTAAAGTGTTCGATTGTGTATTTTGTTGGGGAAAAACATATTGTGAACTCCCTATTATATTGTACATCACCTCCATTGAGATCAGTTAATTCTACACAGACCAAGGATTGAACCAGGGCACCAAGTCTGATCACATTGAGCCCATTTACCCACTGAGTCAAGGTCCTTTAATTCTTCTTTCTTCATTCACTCTTTGGTGACAAGATGTGAAGTGATTCGCGGTAAAGAGGGAGTAAAGGATTGAAACAAGTGGACTGTTTGTCTAAAACCTTTTTTCATAAAAAAAATCAGCAGAATCCCATGGAATGCAATAAGACTCATGTCACTTGTTCTGACTTTAAGCCAGATGGCTCAAACTCAACTCAAACATCTTTTAAATCTGTCAAAGCACGCACCCCCGGCTAGATTCCTGAATCATTTTCCACGGTCCTCCTGGGGATTATTTTCTTCTCTGATGGGAAAAGGTACTGACAGGAAGCACGTACAATGGGAAAATGGGACATTCTATTGCAAACACACGACAACAATGTGCATTTAATATTGTGCCTTCCACGTTCTATCACTGATGGGAGGCAAACAACAGGGTATAATGACCTGTTTTTTTTTTTCAAGAGTATTTATACCAGCTACAAATTAAAGACAGATGGCAATGTCTGTAAAGCCCCCTTAGCTTTCAAAAGGGAGCTAGATATTTAAAGAGGAGTAAACTGCAGCGATATGGGGAAACTAATAATAAATTTCCATTTGATATAGCACCTTATTACATCATGAGACATCTCAATGCGCTTCACAGGATAAATTGTAAAATGGATTGACTGTGTATTTTGTGGGTGACTAATTTTATTTGGGGGATTGTTGGTAAGGACAGCAGAAGCTCCCTTCTCTTTTCAAATCATGCCATGGGATTTTTAATGTCCACCTGAACAGGCAGATGGGACCTTGGTTTAAAGTCTTATCCAAAGGATAGGTCCTCCAACAACGCAACACTCGATTTTTTTTAATTGGAAGCAGGACTTTATTCTTGTCACACGCAAGTAACCTAATGATATACTTCAGCATGATTTGCCTTGTAGAAGAGGTTTTGATGGTCACTCTCTCTTTGAACAGCCAGAGGTTCTTTGGTCTGCCTTGTGTGTGTATCCGAATTGACACACTGCTGTGCGCAATTGGCTACGTGTTTCACCCACAAAATGTACAAGCTATTCACTTTACAGTGTATCCTGTGAAGCACTTTGTGACAGCTTGATAAGACCCGATATCCAATACAAGGCTTATTATTATGTGTCAAGGTCCCTGGGGGATTAATGGATGTTCTTTTCTAATTTCAGGGATATTTTCTCCCTCGGATTTGGACCCTTTCGTTGGGTCTGCACCTCGGGTGACCCGAGCGACTTGGCCATGACAGACACCATTGCCACCACAGTGCTCGAGGGCATCATCAGTAAAGGAGGTGACAGAAAAGTTTTGTGTTTCCGATTGCGTCTTATAGCGTTTTATTGTGTTTCCCAGTTGAGCTGTTCTGTCTTCTTACCAACCCTGCACCTGCTCAGCCCATGAGGAGGTGCCTCTGAAGAGCTTAGAGATACTCTCTTAGGGCTTGGGATTGCTGTGCGCAGGCAGTTTACACACAGCAATGTCCCACAAACAGCCATGGAATGAGTGACCAATTTTATCAGGGGGATTGTAGGCCAGAACACCGAGAGAGAAAACTCCCTTCTCTTAACGAACAGTGCCATGAGATGTTCAACATCCACCTGAACAAGGCAGATGGGACCTCGGTTTGTGATGGAGCTAAAGATCCCTGCATCAGAATGATGGCCATAATAAGCCCCTGGAAACCCAACTGAGCGTTCTGAGACCAGCAATTTTACACTCACTGAATCCCAGGGGAAAAAGCTGCAACAAGACTCGGGTTAACATAGAGGTCAGTGTGTCTCGTTGCACAAAAATATCAACTCTCTCACTTGACCGTTTGCTGGTGAGATCCAGAGATAATTTCTCAAACGCTGCCCCCAGACTAAACGTGACTCGAGCCGAAATATTTCAGTCTCTGGCAAGTGCAGGAAATAAATGCGGTTTCACAGCCCGGTGACAAATTGTCTATGTTTTGAGTGGATGGAGGGAAGGGGATTAATAACTGAGCCTGATTATTGGATTTTCTATTGTGCTTGGCAGGAAGTTGAAGGGAGGAATGCAGATGGAGAAAAAAGCTGAGCATGATTAGAAAAAGTTGGCATTTGAATTTAACCTTTCAGTGTTTAAACGCAGCCTTTTGACATCTGAATAGTTTCGCTGAAAAATGCGGAGCAGTGCAAAGTGTTTTTCGTGCCAATCACTGGTCTTGCATTTTCTTACAGTTAACTATTAGAATTAACCCCTCTAAAGAGGGCTCGGTGTCAGGGTCTTTTAAACCTTTTCCCGACCTCATGTCTTTGTTCGAACGTGTGGTGTTGTGATGCGTTGTCTCACGGAGCTCCATCCACACCCAGTGTTTGGAGAGAGAGGCGTACGCCCGGGGGAGTAGAATCCATTTGTGATCCTTTGCTGCTGTAACTTGTGGGAATTGATGCAAACCATTCAGAACAGTGCAGCATAGAAATGTTCACCACAAAGGAGACCTTTTGGCCCATTGTGTGTGCCACATGCCTTCCCTTGGCACCTCCCTACCTCTCCGGCCTGCTTACCCCCCCCCAACCCCCAACCGGTTGTCTCCGCTCAACTGGCTCCGGCCTCCTGCATGTCCGCCGTGCCCACCATTGGTGGCCGCGCTTTCAGCCACTCCGCCCCAAACTCTGGAACACTCTTCCTCTATCCCTCTGCCTTGCCCCTTCCTTCCCCATTTTCAGGTCACCTCCCACCACCTCCGCTTCCCCCCCCCCACCGGCTCAAAGTCATGCCCCACCACCGTCAAGTGCTCTGGGACGCTATCCTGTGTGAGGGCTGTTGTTGTTGTTGTTGCCACTATGAGTTTTGGCTGATTTTTAGTCGACCCTTCTATTTGTCTCACTCTTCAGCTCTTTTCCTACACTCACCCTTTCATGTTTTATCCAGTTCAATTTTTATCGAGCCACAAAATCCACTTGTAATGAGTTTCGCGCTACATGTGTTCCTGGCACCGTAGTGACAATCTGGAGCTAATCCTTAACCGCCCAGCGCATTGAGACGTCCTACTGATGTGAAAGGCGCTATATAAATGTTACTTTATTGTTGTTGTTCTCTCTCTGCTGTGCTGGATCAATGTGCAAATCAGTAAAAAATGCAGAGTAAACTAAACTGCAATAAAGCAGGAACTTTGGTTTTATTGTCTATGGAGCCTTCAAAACCTTCTTTTCGTGTACTTTCCAGTCCGTTAACTATCCTCTTCGGAGGTTATTTGATTTTTTAACAAGCTACTAATGTCATTTTGCCATTTGTACACTTTTTTTATTGGCCACTCGCCCGCGATTAGCACACGGCACAGTTGCGAACACAGTAAAGACGTGAATTTATTTTCAAACCACACTGAAAATCCTCAAAACACACCTGAATCTTTTTTTAAAATGTCCCTTTGTTCTCCTCTGGAGCTGCACGTACAAAATGAGCAACGAGATCAGTTTCCCGAGAATAGTAATCCTTACATTTGATATAGCGCCTTATCATGACGTTGAGACGTCTCAAAGCGCTTCACAGAATATACTGTAAAATGAATTGACTGTGTATTTTGTCGGCGAGTCTCTCACTCCAAAGCCGCAACAACAAGTTACATTTGGATAGCGCCTTTCACGTCGGGAGGACGATTTGGACGATCAATCAGGGAGCGAAGTGGGTGAGGGGTAGAGGTAGGAATGTGGCAAGAAAAGATTTCGAAGACTCCATAGTCCAATAAAACCAAAATTCCTGCTATATTCCAGTTTTCTTTGTTCTGCATTTTTTACTGATGTGCGCAACTCCAGAGAGCACGCGATCGAAGACGAAGGTCTTGAGACGGGGCTCGAGAGAGAGGCGAGGGAAGGAGCGAGGTGAAGGGACTGTGGGATGGAGTTCCGGAGGGTGGGGGTAGAGAGGTTGAAGGCCCGACCGCCGATGGTGGGGTGGGCAGGTCAGGTGGGGTGGGGGGTGGGGGAGAGACGAAGAGTAGGCTCTTCCGCCAGCTGAGCGGAAAAGTCTGTATGGAGTTAGCAGGTCACAGGACCCGGCTGGGCACAAGTGGTTATAGAGATGTGAGTGAGATCATAAATCTGCAGAATGGGGCAAATGAAACCCATGTCCCACCCGGCGTGCTTTGCACAGAGCTATTTCGCCATGGGGGGGGGGGGAAATAAAACTGACGGTTTCTGCTACATTCATACTCAAAAAGCTATATTGAGGATTAGTTCCAACAAACAATTATTTTAATGGTCTCCAAACATCTGGTTTCAGTCCTCAGGTTATTTACAATCGCAGCAGGAGGCTTCGATGGAAGTTTGTCTCCTGCTAAAAATGCTATAGTTCATCCTGTGATACTGTACGACAAAGAACATTGATAATAAGAATAAGAATAATCCTTGCACTTTTGACATAACGCCTTCTCACATCTTCGAGACGTCTCAAAGCGCTTCACAGAATATACTGTAAAGTATTTTTTGTGGGCAAAATGCAGCAGCCAATTGCGCACGGCAGCGTCCCACAAACAGTCATGGATTGAGTGACCTTATTTAAGGGATTCTTACCCCTGGAAAAGTGATCTGCCAATCGACTAACAACCAGGTTTTATTAGACTATGGAGTCTTCAAAACTTTTTCTTGTCACCCTCCTATCTCCACCCCCATTCCCCAAAATTCCTATTTACTGCCAGGTAAACAGAGGTGCATGGAGTAAGCAAACTTGCCTAACATTTTGCCCTGCCAGGAATCGAACCCGGTTCCTCTCCTTGCTATAAAGTAGAGCTGCAGAGATCCCGTCGATCAGATACGTGCTAACATTCAATCAATCTATTCTATTTCCAGAGGTTAGCAGCTCAGTAAAGCAGCAGTATTCTGACAACATTCGCTGGATCACTCAGGCTGGGAAACACAACATGGTTTGTATGAGCCAATTTGCTTCTGTTCCTTTCCCAGCTATTTCTCATAACTCTTTGCTGGGAGAAGGGGAGGAGATTGTCCAGGGCCTCATCCAAGTGATTCACAGATCACTGTGGTTCTATGGGTTATCAAACCATGGTGGGACTCTCACTCTCACAGCTAAGCCTGGTCATGTTCCTTGTCCAATTATCCACAACCTTGTATCTACCAGTGTTTCTGCACAGCAATCAAAGGCCTCTCATTTGCTCAGCAATTGTCTTAAGACTGTGCAGAATTTTGGAAGCGTTTTTTCTGGCACTTTTCAAGAACTGATACGAGGCAGATTGGTCGCTACTCTGTCATCAATATTCCAGATGTCAGATGACCCACAGTCTCTTGCCACTGACTTTCACCATCAATAGCCTCTCCTGAACTTCAACTTCAGGTATCAGCTGGAACAATTTGCAATTATGCAGTGCCCTTCGTACAAGGTAGAGTCCCCGAGAGCTCAAATAAACTATTTCTGATCTTTTCTGCCAATGATTTTGAAGCTTGGTACCCCGACTGCAATTGTAATTGAAATCCCAGGCTTGGCAATGCAGCCCGACATCCCCGGGTTGATTTAACTCTTCCTTTTGCTCGTTTCCGTGTCTGTTCTCCAGGTGGTGGGATCCCAGGCTCGCATCCTGTACTCGGATCAGAAAGGACGTGTCTCAATAGCACTCGCAATAAACCGGGCGATTGGGGCAGGCAAAATCAAGGTATAATAAACTTAGCAACAGAACTGGGGCAGCTTGACAATAAATATTCCATAGCGGTGGCTCGGGACGGAATTTTAAACAAAAAACAAAGTTGTCGATTTGTTGGGGTTTGCTTGCACTCAGTGGGTGTATTTGTAGTTACGCAACAAAACAGGCACAGTCGAAGTTCACACGGTTTCTTATAAACATTCCTGCATTCCTAAAGCTACAGTTATACTACAAAGTCTGTACTGGTACACGATAAAATAGTGTTGGATCTACACAAACACTGCAGTATAACCGACGTGTATGTTTATGTTGTAACGTGTGTGTGTGTGTGCGCGCGTGTGTGTATGAGTGTCTATGAATCTGTGTATGAGTGCGTGAGTGTGTGTGTGTATGAGTGTGTGGGTGTTTATTGGCAGAGACGAATGCTTTTAGTCAAAAATTAAATTAAACGTACATTTCCCTGAAAGAAGCTGTTTTATTTCGGCCTGTTTTGGATTACGTCTTGAACATCAGGACTACCTGGAGCTTTGTTGCCGCCGATTGCTGGTAAAATGTAAGGCAAAGAATCGCAGATCATTTCTCATCGACCTAATTTTGAGGAGATTAAATCTGATTTCGATGCCACAAAATAGCCTGTCAATTCACTTAACAGTATATTCTGTGAAGCGCTTTGAGACGTCTCAAAGACCTGATAAGCCGCTATATCAAATGCAAGGGTTATTATTATTATTATTAAAGAGTTGAACAAGATGATAATGCCTGCGTCTGTCTGGTACGAATCACTTTGTCATCTTACAGGCTCCTGTGGTGATCAGCCGCGATCATCATGACGTCAGTGGAACGGACAGTCCCTTCCGAGAGACTTCCAATATTTACGATGGGTCTGCGTTTTGCGCAGGTGAGTCTACAGCTCAGAGAGTGAAACTTCAGCGTCTCTGTGAAGTGTCCCCGGTGGTTTAGTTTTTCCTCCCTGTTTTCTAACCCAACTGGTGAATCTTGCTGGAATGCAGTTTACGTGTGAGTTTAGACAGTGAATGTGGCAAGTCTCCGCTCTCTGTTGGCTGTAAGTGTGTCCTAAGTCAATAAGTTTGAGCAATCTGAACCAAGTTTCTGATGGGCAATTGCCCACTGACTGGCACAGATTTCCACAACATTGGCAAGTTGCATGCAAGAGACGGTGCTGGGTTGTGAGGCAGAAGTAAATTGAACTTAAAATAACAGCACATTTTTGTCTAATCAAACTGCAGACCATTCCTCTGCTGATGAATCATCCCTTTGTTCCACCGTTGAGTTCTGGCTCGTTCCTTTACCCTGATCGCTTTAACTGCGACCAACCGATCCATGGCTACATGCCCTCTACATGCCCCTCGATTGTGGGATAGTTAACAGGCTTCCAATGCCTTCAAATGTAAAGCAAAGCTCCTCCCTGTGTATATGGCACTGAACACTCAACCAAATCACAGACATTTGGTGCCCACCACCTGAGTATTCCAGTGAGAACGTCAGATGTCTGTGGCACTAACCAACTGGAACCCAGTGCCCGAAATCCCGCACGATCTTAGCCTTAAAACCATTGCCTTATAATTTAACATCTTGAATTCAGCCTTAACGTGAAAGGTGCTTTTCCCCAAATTTGGTTTTGTGTTGGTTCGAACGTTGGTGATGGCTGAGGCTCTCGTTCCCCTCTCAGATATGGCCGTGCAGAACTTTGTCGGTGATTCTTTCCGAGGAGCTACCTGGGTGGCTCTGCACAATGGTGGGGGTGTGGGCTGGTGAGTAGTGAGTGCTGTACTAGACTAGCTCTGCAGTGAGAGTTACTTCAGGAGTTAACCTGCGAGAGGACAAGAGGAGAGAGTTATTCCCACGTGGATAAAGTATGTTTTCTGACCACCAATGGGTAGAGAATTGTGGCGAGCCTTTCGCTGAGTTTCCTTCTCTATGATTCGTGAGTTCTTGGATCCCAAACTGTAAGAACATAAGCACGGGCTTGCCCTCGAGATCTCAGCGGGTAAAGCCACTTCCTAGAGTGAAACTGAGTCATGAAGGTCCAAGGTCCAATTCCTGATCTTCTCTGAGTAATTGGGAATTGTGGTGTCACAATGATCTCCTAACCTCTGTGTTAAGGAGGGGAAACAAAAGTCAGTCAGGGTCCTGCTCGTGCTGAAGGTCAATGTGTACAGCCTGGGTCTGCAGACCTGATGGGACTTGGTTGTGTTGATTGTCCTGGTGGCAATCAATATCAATGGCGGGACTCAGGCATGAATAGCAGCCACACGAGCAAAATCCGAGCAGACAATAGTGTCTGTGCAACAAAAACAGAAGGAGAAAGGGAGTCCATGGAAAGAAGGAGTGAGCAAGAGGGGGAAAAAAAAGGTTTGCTGATTCCTTCTTAGTGAGGAACAATGGACCTGATGTGTTGTCCGCTGGTTTCTCATTGAAAACTAATTCACCTGAGCGGAATATTGCATTTTATCCCAACATATACACGACTCGCGCTTGACATCGAGTATCCAATATCTGTCCAGACCCTCAAGGATTGGTGATGATGAGACCAGGACAAACAGTCAATGAGTCTGTAAGAGTCTCAATACTAACATGAATTAACCTCATAAAACAGGCTTTGTGACGTTGCTCTCTGTTGGTGTGCAGGGGGGAGGTGATTAACGGTGGCTTTGGCCTAGTCCTGGACGGCTCTATGAAATCTGAGGAGAGAGCTAAAATGATGCTGAATTGGGACGTTTCCAATGGGGTAAGTGTCAGGCTGCAACTGTGGTGTCATTGTCATTTCGTCCACAAAATATACAGTCGATTCACTTTGCAGTATATTTTGTCAAGAGCCTTGAGACATCTCGAAGATGTGATAAGATGCTATATCGGTGTAACTTGTTGTTGTTGTAAACAAGTACTCCTCAACACATCAGGAGAACTAAGGCTCTCCATGCTTCTCATTTCTTGGGGCCCTTTCAACGTTTACTAACACACAAAGCAACTGAGGCATAAAATGCCCTTGAAAGCCTAGTCCTGACTGGAAGTTGCGGTGAATAAAGTAATAATAATAATCCTTGCATTTGATATAGCCCCTTATCCCATCTTCGAGGTGTTTCAAAGTCCTTCATAGAATATACTGTAAAGTGGATTAACTGCATATTTTCTGGGCGAAACCTAAGGAATCTGTTTCCCAGAAGAATTACAAAGTCTTCTCTACGTACGTTGTACCTCAGGTGGCTCGACGCTCCTGGTCTGGCAATCCCAAGGCATATGAAACAATTTGCAGAACAATGAATGAACACAGCACGCTGAGAGTGACGCTGCCTTACAGAGTGGAAGACGAGAAGATCCTGGACAAAGCATTGGGAAAGTAATCGCTCGTCAAGCTCTCAATAAACACAACACTTCCAGGAACCACATAGCATAATTAATCGGTTGATGTCCAAACCTCAAAAATTCTGTGTATGAAATTAATGCAAAAATTCAGATGAATTAAACCTGCAAGAACTTGCAGCTAGTGTTTAAATGTAACTCGCTAAGATGACTGGAGAGGTGATTGCTGGCCAGAACCACTGGATTTCCAGGGCACTTATTTATTCAAGTAAATTGAGCTCCCGCTGTCTCAGTTGGTAAGAGAGGGTACTGTCCAGTTCGAAACAGATCATAGAGACTGGAAGGTTTCTCATGTTATCCCCTAGTCTATGCTGAGTTAGACCTGCAACTTCGTGTCAGCCTGGCTTCAGGGTAACTATTTCACCTCTGGCTTAGGAAAATACACATTCCCTACACTCTTCAGCATATCCAATGAGTCACTTTATGCAACGATTATTATTCCTATTCGTCGCCCCTTGCAACTAATCGGACAGTAAGAAAGAACTTGCATATTTATTCACCATACCGATTCAAAACGACTCAAAGGGAATCACGGGCAATCCTGTCAAGTGTAGTGACTGTTTTTGGTGAAGGATTGTGAGGAGAGTTGGGTGAGATGCCAAAGGGCTGCCAGCCAGCAAGACAGTGACTGGCAGCCCGACAAGAGTCACAGCAGAAAGATCATAAGGAAAAACATTTGAAAAACCTTTGCACCTTTGCAGCCAATGTACCTCACAAATCAATCCTTCGGGATTCAGTTCTGGGCAACGTTCTGTTGTGGACTACCCTCTGTGCAGCAAAACCGCAGGGAACCATCATTCGGCTGGAGTTGGGAAGCTCAAACGAAGGGGCGAGCAATGGCAACCATTTCCATCTGTCCGCACAAAAGCCAACTCCAAAGGAGTTAAGAGTGACGGGTCAAAAGCCAGTCAGGGGCCACAAGCAGAGGGCCTTTAATTGGCTCTCAACACTCCCAAGCTTCTCGTTTATTAAAAAAATCACATCAATGCATCAAGAGGCTAATCTAAATCAGGTACGAATGCTCGCATGTGTTCGCCAGATCAAGTGGGTCTGAACCAATTATTTGTTTGAAGCAAATTAAGGAACAGGTAGTGAGTGAGCCCTGCTCAGGCCCATTTTTCATATGGAATTCACGAATAGGTTTGAAACTGATCGTGCGTCCAACACACTCACATTGATAAAAATCTGGATTTCTTTAGAATGGGAATTATGTACAATACCATGTACATTTATATAACGCCTTCACCAGGATGTCGAAAGGACGTCTCACAGTGCTTCACAGAGTTGGCTGGGCACCAAAGCAGTGTGCATGTGGGGCAGGGGAAATAATTATAATCCTTGCATTTGATAGCACCTTACCATGTCTTTGGGACGTCTCAAAGCGCTTCACAGGATATACTGTAATGTGAATTGACTGTATATTCTGTGGGCGAAACGCAGCAGCAAATTGCGCACAGCAGCGTCCCACAAACAGTCATGGATTGAGTGATCAATTTTTTTTTGAAGGATATTTATTATCCCCAGAAAAACGATACACCAATCGACTAACAACCGGGTTCTACTTACTGCTAGATAAACCGAGGCGTGTGGAGTAAGGAAACTTGCCCAACATTTCGCCCTGCCAGAAATCGAACCCAGGTCTCTCGCTTGCGAGGCTCTAACCACTGAGCTACAGGACTCCAAAATGTCCAAAAATGTCTGAAAGATCAATTGAAGAGGTAAATCTTAAGGCAGAAGTGAAAAAAGAGGAGGCAATTCAGATGGACTTTGGGGGTTCTAGAGAGTGGGGGACAGAATTGCTGAAAGCTGGCATGCTGGTGGTGGGGCGGATTGGGCAGGGAGAATGAAGCAGGTTGGTGGAAGAACTGGATGGGTCGATAGGGTTATAGGAGGTCGCAGAGGTAGGGTTGGACAAGGCCATGAAGGGATTTGACGGAAAAGATCAGTACCTTTTGCAATCAGAGTGCATTGAACCCCATGATTTAATTGTCTGCCTTGACTACCTTGATGCAGAATATTAATGGGCTCTAATACTCAGCAATCCTTAACACAAGTCAGGGTGAACCCTGACAGGAGCTGTGGGTGTGACACACTGGCACAAGAAACTTCAGCAACTGAACACAGCTGACTACAGGGTCTCCCATCAGCCTCCCTCACACAAACAGCACAACGTTGCAAAAAGCAAATACTTTCTAAGCTTCTAGCATCACCTAGTGCGCTTGCTGTAAAACAGCACCAGCAGCTGGGCCCGGGAAAAGCTGGCAGATCTCCACCAGGTCAGCCAAGGGTGGTACGATACAAGTGACCTGGGCTAGGAATAGGTTAAATCAGACAGGATTTCGGCTACTGATTGGTAACTAGTTTCTCCTCGTGTCCCGGCCAACAATCTCCCAAATAAAATTGGTCATTTACACCATGAGTGTTCGTGGGACATTACGCAAAGTTGCCTGGTGCTGCATTTTACAGTAAATCATGCGCTTTGGGACGTCCTCCTGATGTGAAAGGCGCTGTAACCGAACATAAGGACGATAATTATTATCAGTGGGGCTCACCCGCAGGGGTGCAATAAAAGGTCTGTGGTTGCGGGGAAACAGAACACTACCATTGTAATGTCCAACCTTGAGCCCATTACTTGTAACAATCCCAACTGCAGCACTGCCCTGTTTACAGATTCCTACAATTCCTGGAGAGTCAGAAATTTCAAGGTAATCGGGTCTTCTGTGAAGTGTCTCCAACATCCATTCACGTACTTGCTTCAACGATCTTACTTTATTTAATTGCTTAAAGCAGCTTTAAGTCAAACAATGAACAGATTAAGCAGATGTGTTGGTTTGGGGGGAGGGCGTATTGAACTTTTCTTATTAAATTGATGGATTCCTTCCAATGGGAATATGTATTTTATTTATTTTTATCACCTGGTCGGCGCTGACTGACACTGGAGTAAATTCCACAAGCAACTGAGTCATCACGGACTGATGTCTTCCTCCCATTCTGACCCCAACTCCCAGCTCGGGTCCAACACCCCTGATTGTCCAGCGCCCTGGAACGTCTTTCCGACATGAAGAACGCTACTCACGTGTAATTTGTTGTCGTACTTTACCTGTTTTGGGCAGGGAGGAATCTCAGTCAAATCCTATCCGGTCCTCATCGGACATCTATCGGGGACCACTGGAGGGCAATCAAGCACAGAAGCTTTGGTAGATCTTGTTTCCTTCTCCCTAACTGTGTTGTACTGTAGTGACTATGGCTGAAGACACACAATAATGCCATGCATTGGCCATCCATTATACCACACAAATACACTTGCACACCCTGTGATTGAGAGTGTTCCATCCCGATAGATTTATTTGTCCTAAATACAGTTATTAAAACCAAATCTTAGAATACAATTTACATTTATATATGACCTCAACACTCAGGTCTTGATTGGACTTGAATATCTGGCACAAAAAGGGAACCAAACTCCCAGGAAACAGTTTCATCGATGAAAGAGTTTGATTTAAGAACGAGAGGAGATAGTGGAGATAGTGACATGTCACCTCCCCGGGAGTCCGTCAAGCATTTAGATTTAAAGACCTGGAATGCCCCCTTTTGGTGAAGAAGTACGAAAATCATTTTTAATCGATTAAACCAATTGGAATGAACGAAGCAATAAAAACAATCGTCGTATTTGATACAGCACCTCATCACGTCCTCGAGACGTCTCAAATCACGTCAAGTCATTTACTGCATCGTAGTTTTGTATTTGTAAGCAACGCGTCATAACCTGGACACATTTGTGGTTGGAATTAGACCGAAAGTCCCTCTTGTTCTGCTGCCCCGATACATCCCAAAATATTGTTCTGGGTTCACTTTCTTAATCCCATTTAGACGGATGAAATCAAATGGGCCGAAAGGGTCTCCTTCGTCTCGTCGTATTAATTCGCAACACATTCGCAACGCTTCGCAGAAAACTCCTGCGAAACCCTTTGAGATGCGTGGACCTGATACGATAAGGCGCCGGGTCAAATCCAAGCACTGTGACATGATTACTACTACTACCACTACTACTACTACTAATAATAATAATAAGAACCTTTGCATTTGACCCGGCGCCTCATCACGTCTCCGAGACGTCTCAAAGCGCTTCGCGGGATACACCGTAAAGTGAATCGACTGTATGTTTTGTGGGCGCAGTACGTTGGGACGTAAGCGCCGCTGGACGCCACCCAGGGCGAAGGGCCCCATATATATATATATATACACATATTTATTATTATCATCATATATGCGCGTGCAAGTTGTCGTCGTCGTTGTCCCCTGCTTCCCCCCCCCCCACCCCACCCCCCCCCCGCCCCGCCCCACCCCGCCCCGCAACCCCCCGCGCTCGGGTCCCGACCCGACCGCCCAACGCCTCGGGACGTCCTCCCGACGTGAAAGGCGCTCTCTCTCTCTCTCCCTCTCCCAAGTGGAATCTTGTTGTCGTCGTCGTCGTCGTGGTGGTGGGTGGTGGTGGTCGTCGTCGTCGTCGACACGGATTGAGCAGTGAGAGCGCACTGGTGGATCCGGTCCGGGTTTTCCCTCGTCGCCGCGCGCGCGGCGGGGACTCCGGCGCGGATCGGGACCGGGGGGGGGGGAACCTGCGGGATTGCGCGAGCGCGGCCGCGGCCCGCTCCGCGCCGGGTTTTGCGGCCGACACCCCCCCCCCCCCCTCCGGGCCGCTGCGGGGACACCAAAGATGGAAAGGCAGGGGCCGCGGCCACAACATGGCGGCGCCGCCCGCGGCCTCCCGACCCCCGCCCAGCCCGCGGCCGCAGCCTCCCGCCGCCCGCCGGGCCACCGCGCCCCCCGGGCAGGGCGGGGCGGCGCGGGGGGCCCCGGCCTCGACCCCGACTCCGACTGCTCCGCCCGGCCCGGCCTCGGCCTCTTCGCGGAGGCGCCTCAGCCGGAGCCGGAGGAGGAGGAAGTGGAGGAGGCGTCGAGAGGCTCCGGCCTCCGGGGGCCTGAGCTCCGCGGGCAGCGGCGGGAGGGCGGCGAGGAGCCCGGCGGCCAAGGCCAGAGCCAGGGCCTCGGGTACAGCGCCGGCCCGAGTGCGGGCGGCCCGAGGAAAGCCGAGGAGAGTCAGGAGTTCTTTGTGCTGTTTAACATCGTCGGGGACCCGGACGTGGACTTCTCCCTGAAGGGAACCTGCTCCTCCGACGAGGGACCCGGACCCGGAACCGCCGCCAAAGCCGCCGTCGCCTCCTCCTCCGTCTCCGCCGCCGCCGCCGACTACCCGGATCCCGGCAGCGGAGCCGCGGACAAGATCTACTACTTCGGCCCTTTTTCCGACGAGAGCGGTCTGGAGAAGCTGGAGGAGGCCGAGGAGAAGCCTCGGGCTCGATTCGGGGCCGCCCGCCGCTCGGACGGCCAGAGCGTCGGCTTGCTGTGCTGCGCGCCCGAGGCCGAGACCGAGGCCGAGCCCGAGCCTCGGGGACAGGCCCTCCCGGGGCCGGAGTATCGGCCGCCGGCGGACGCGAACTGCCAGGCCGGGGCGGAGGACGGCCTGACGGGAGGCCCCGGCAGCCCGGAGGCAGCGGCTGACCTGGCGGGTCAGGGCACGTTTGCGGGCACCATCACCATCAACAACAAGAACCTGATCGTCAGGATCGAGAACGGGGTCCTGACCTTGGCCGCCCCGGGGGGAGACGACGGGGACGACCGGGGAGACGGCTGCCACGTCAAAGGAGAAGGCAGCAACGGTGTCGCCAAAGGCGCTGGCGGTGCCCTTTCACTCTCCGGCGGCATCAACAACAACAACAACAGCAGCAGCAGCAGCAGCAGCGACGACAACAACAACAACAACAACAACATGGTCGTGGTTCACTACCACAACTCGGAGAAGCCCCCCGAATGCCACAGGGCGTGCGCGTCCGCGGCGGAGGGCGGCGGCTCGGCCGAGCTCCGAGCCAGCGAGCCCGGGCTGACGGCGGTAGACGGGGAGCCGTCGGCCTACCCGGACCCTCGCTCGGCGTCGGCCTCCGGCGGGGCGTCCCGCAAGGATTTCGAGGGCGGCCCCCTGAGCAGCGGCGCCGGAAGCAGTATCGGTATCTGCCCCGAATCGGGAACGGCGTCGTTCGGGAACTTCATCATAACAGAAAGCGGGGACGTTCTGATGAAGCTGTCGGAAAACCTCGGCATCGGGAAGAAGGGACCCGGTGAGATGTATCACTGTCCGGAACAGAGCTGCGACGAGGTGTTTGACAAGAAACACAAACTTAAAGTGCACCTCTTATCGCACACCGAGAGGCCGTTTAAATGCACCATCGAGGGTTGCGAGTGGTCGTTCACTACGTCTTACAAACTAAAAAGACACCAGCAATCCCACGTCAAACTGAGACCTTTCACCTGTGAGGTGGCGGGTTGTGGGAAGAAGTTCACCACTGTTTACAATCTGAAGGCGCACACCAAGGCGCACGTGCAGGAGAATTCCTTCGTGTGCGAGGTGTGTTCTGAACCCTTTTCCACAGCCGTCAAACTCAGTAGTCATCAGAGAACACATTTTGAACCACAGCGGCCGTATAAGTGTGATTTCCCTGGTGAGTTGGAATAAAGAAACAAAACCTGATTTGTGTGGATCGTTTATTGGTAATAATACTTATCCTTGATATAGCACGTCGTTGAGACGTCTCAAAGTGCTTCACAGATTGTATTGTAAAGTGACTGTAATTTGTGGGCTCGAGGTGTGCAATGGGACTCAAGCATGTGAGAAGCTTCAGAAATAGAGCTGAGATTATTTGCTACGATAAAAAGATGAACCAAAGATGTTCCAATTCTGAAATAAATGTCAGTAAATCTTGATGTCAGTCTTATCAATTTTTTTTGTTTTGTTTTCATCGCAGGCTGTGAGAAAACATTTATTACCATCAGCGCCTTAGGCTCCCATAACCGTTCTCATTTTAGGGAACAGGAACATTTCACCTGCTCTTTCCCTGGCTGTGACAAACGTTATGACAAAGCCTGCCGTCTAAAGATTCACATGAGAAGCCACACAGGTAGGTTTACTCAGTTTTCTTCTCAGAATGTTTTGGAATATTTTACTAAGCTGAGTTCTGGTTTGGTTTATCACAGTTTCAGATTTAACTGGGCAGCAGTCGATTTAGTTTTCCATTCACCTTGACTGGAATTGCATTTATTTAAACAGTATAAAAGTGCACCGAAGAAAGAAATTATACATTGAGAATGGAAATGATACTTTATATGTGACTATGGTGTTGTGATATTGTTTCCTATTATTTCTTAATTGTTTCTTGGTACAATTATGCTAAATATGTCTGGTGACGGCACTGTCAAATGTGTTCCATTTAACAAGATATCTATCAAAACTTTGTTTACTATTCTCAAGACATAGAGTACTTTAGGGAGTATTTTCGAAACACCGTATCACCAATCTTTTTGTGGGTTGGAGTGAAAGTTTTGTTTTTCAATGACTTGTTCAAAGTTTTTCTGTTCAAGTTAAACAGCATTGAGGTTTGAAAATATTTTTTGTTGCTCAGGTGAAAGGCCTTTTATATGTGACTTTGATGGCTGTGGCTGGTCTTTCACATGTATGTCAAAATTACTGCGCCACAAAAGGTAAGGTTTGCCAAATTTATTCTCTATTTGTAGGGTTCCAATCAGAGCACTTCACCCCCTTTGCTCAGAGACTACGAGACGCAGCCAGCTAAAACATTATTCTGAAAAAGTGCCATTTTCCTTTACATAAGAAGTTAAACCGAAGCCAAGAAATCAACAACAACTACTTGTATTTGCAGAGCGCCCTTCACGCCAGACGGTCACTCAGAGCGCTTAAATCAAGCTTATTAATTTTCCATAGTGCCCTGAATCCTCTGACGGCAGTGGAGATACTAATCATTTAGGTCAGCCTTCTCCAAATTCTTAGTTGGTACAAAGTGCCCATAATTCCTAAGTTGGCAATCACAATTGAATAGGCTGCAAGGATAGTTAGTGATAAGAAAGAATTTGCAGCAGTACAGTACTGATCTTCCAGAGTTGAAGTTAAGACCGTTTGAAGCATATAAGTTGTGCTTCATCTGTCTGGATATCCTTCATCTTGATGAGTACAAACGTACAACCCATAAAAATGTATTTTTGTGTGAATATTTTCTTTTAAGGTGCATGTGTTTTCATATATTCAACTTTTTGTTTCATTGGGATTATTTTTCCCCCCCAGAAATTGTGCCTAATGCCTCTATAACCCCCCCTATTTTGTTGCTTAGGACACACGAAGACGATAGGCGATTTGTTTGCCTGGTGGATGATTGTGGAAAATCTTTCACGAGAGCAGAACACCTGAAAGGGCACAGCATCACTCATCTGGGTACCAGACCATTTGTTTGTCCTGTAGAAGGTATACACGGTTTATTACTCAATAATTTGAGCTATTTGGAGAACAGATACTTTAGCTTGAAATGCTCCTGAATTTATTTCATCATTATGCACTTTGTAGATTTACAGAAATGATCTAATTTTTTTTGCAAACAACCCCTGCCACATTCTGGTGGTACATGATATTTCTCCGGCCTCTGTACGCTCCTTTTACTTAAACACACAACACACTTACAGATGTCTTCTTCGTATTACTGGATATTTCAAAAATTTGGATGGGAATTTGTTTTGATTAACGTACGAATGTGCAGAAAGTTTTTCGGGAAGCAAATTCCTCGAAGGTGACACTGTCTTTCTTTGTGTTCAGGTTGTGAAGCTAAATTCTCAGCACGAAGCAGTTTGTATATTCATGCCAAGAAACATTTAGAGGAGGATTACAAGAAAACACGCTGTCCCCTCACAAACTGTAACAAGGTCTTCAACTCAAAGCACAGCATAAAAACCCACATGATGAAGCAGCACAATATCAGCCCCGGTATAGTATTATAACCATTTGGTATTTAATTAATTTGGGATTATCAAGTAGGTAACAGCAGTTTCAACAATTTACATTTATTTAGTGCCATCCATCTAAAAGACCCATTGCCAGGTGTTTTACAGAATGAAATCAACTGAATGCTGTGATGGCACACACCAGCTAATTTTCCCAGCCAATTTCCTTCAAACAATCTTACCTAAAACATTCTCATCAGGCTCAGCAAACAAGGTTCAGTGCATGTCTGGGGATGCATGGACAAATCCCTGGCTTTATGCTGACGGGTTGAAACCACATGACCACATTGGCTAATGTCAGAGATTGATTCTAGCAAAAATATAATCTAGCTCAGTCATATCAGGATGAAATGTGGTAAAAATTGGATTTAGGAGAAAAAAAAACTTATGACAAGTCAAGAATGGATGTTGCATGAAGCTCAAGGTACCAATGGGGAGTCCAGGGAGAGAGGGAAGTGCTTGCACTATGTGATGACTGTAACAGTACTGGTGGGGCAACCTTTTAGCGAGTACTGTCTAATTTTCTTTTGGGCGATGACCTGAGGTCTTGACTTCAGTGTTTTTGTGTTCATAATGATGTAAATTAGTGTGGATATCTGTACTTCTGAATTGTTCAGACAAAATATAATGATCTACGTATAATTAAGAATATAAAGTATACAATTAATGAAATTAAGTATATATAAATTCTGAAGCTTTTAGAATCTGAAAAGACCACAGAATTCACGTTTGCTTTTGATTTCTTTTGACACTGAAGTTAGAAAATAGAATGATGAGATAAATCTTCGATCACTCTGCTGATATTGGTTTTTCTTTTAAATTTCAGATCTGTTCTCTCAGTTGGAAATGACTGGTTCCTTAACCCCAAGCAATGAACTGACCAGTTCAAGTCAGGGTGACCTCAGCAGCCTGGACATTGCTTCTCTGTTTAGTGGTGTACCTGTTAACCCTGTTGGTATCTCGTCAGACATGTCACTAGTGAGCTCAGGAATTCTAACAATTGATGCTGCTTCTGTAGGCTCTACACTTGGTGGAACAGTATCTGTTAATAACAGCAGCATGGGACAGACTATAGACCCTCTCATTGTCGCTGCCACAGATATGTCGCATGCCATAGACAGCACTCTGGGGCTCACTAATGGTGGCCCAGTACTGCAACACAGCACTTTAAGTTTGGATGGCGTTCAGACAGTTAATACAGAGGCATTGGGATCCTTGGCCTCCCTGTCAATAAGGACTCCAAGCAGTTGTCAGGACCTGCACAGCCTGTCGTCGGGCAGTGCTTTAACCGTCGACACGGCCACCCTTACTCCTTCGAGCAGTTTGGGGAACAGCCACGTTCCAGAGCTACTGACTCCAACGAAAGTAGACAGACACGTGCTGAACGTTTCCGATGTGATGAGCCAGCAAGAGGGTAGCAAGGTGGTGACGCAGTTTGTCTTCTCAAATTTAAACACCCCAACTGGTAGCTTCAGTGCACAGAAAGAGCTGGAATTGAACATGGTGTCTGGCTGTTCGTTTTTGGTAGGTATTGGATGATTTAGAGTTTAAACTTGTATTTTCTTGTTCCTATTTCAGGACTATAAGTAATAGAAATGCAAGTTTTAGACATGGAGGTGGGGGAATTGGATATCAGTTGGTTATTACAGTGGTCTTTTATCTGTAAATACCTGGGTTTATCAATTGATGGCATAAATGACTTTAAATTTAAATTGATGGCATAAATGACTCCTCTGCAAGTTGAAGCAATGCTATCTGAATTGAGTTTAGGCTATAGGAGAACCATTTGTAATCCGACAGCTGCTATTGTCAACTAAAGGGGCAGAAGCATTTTTGAGGTGACAAATTAGAGATGTTATTGATGCCGTAGGGATTTTCTCTTAAAAGATCTCTCTTAACTAGCCAAAGTACCAGGCCTGAGCGTGCTCAGGGTATATGCTATGTGCATAAAGTACAATAGCCCAAAGTTCACTTTTTAAAGCAAATTTCAATATGAACCATTTTTTCATATCTGACACTTGGTGTAGTTATGTTTATATGTTTGTTTTGCATTGCTAATTTACAAAATGTTACCTAGGAAAGTGGGGGATCAGCAAGGACGGACTATAGAGCTATTCAGCTTGCTAAGAAAAGGAAACAGAAAACAGGAAACAGTCTGGGTCCAGGTAAGGCTACTGAGATGCATGAATGATTGTTGTGCTTTTTAAAAGGTAATGAGACAAAATCTTCACTGTAACTTTGTAAGTTTTTTGGACTGAATTTTTCTCTGTTATTACTATCCCTTGCCTTTGTTCATGACAGCAAGTTGGTGACCTGTTTTTAGCTATCCACCAATGCCACTCTTGTCTTGTACATAAGAAAGACTAACCCAGGATGACTTGTGCTTCATTCTTTCCCAATTCCTTTTTGTGGTAAAATACAAATTGCTTGCTCTCATTGCAGTTAACAACAGTGTGTGGAGAATCACAGTAGCTCTTCTACATCTGCGAATTCATGACAGTGTGGCGACACACAAACCACGTATTGCCTTTAAGTTTCATGAAACATTTCCCTTTTCCTGTCTTGTAGGGAATTGTAGCTGTACCCAAAGGAAAAAAACTAGCAAGGTAACCTCTGCAAGTCATAGTCGCTTTGGTAATGTTATAATGCCGACTGGCGGACTGACAATCCGGGACCCAACCACTGGGACACATTATGTCCAGACCCAACTATTGCAGGTATGGCTTTTACCTCAAATGTACATCATGTAGGAATGTGCTGTTGAAAGATTAAAGTTCCTGCTTTTAAAAGCCTGCTTTCCAGAGAATTGTAAACGTAAAAGGATCGATGACCAGTTTTCCTTTCTGTAGACCTACAGAAGCTGATGGCACAGTTACCTCCTCCATATAAACGCCAGTTAAAATATTTTATTACAACTCTTTCAAGGCTGCAGAGAATCCTGATGTACTAATTCTCATAATTGCCTATTGTCGCTGATGTCCACAAATAAGGTTTTTTAATGGGGATTTGGCTTCTAATATTTTTTAAAAAATATTAGCACAGGTAGCCTTTACTTTTAAATTGCATTAGTAGACTCTAAAACTGGATAGCTTTTACGGTATTTATCTGGTTTGCCAGCACTGGTATGCATTCCACATGGCAATATTCCTGGGTGAGGACTCCACTTTACAATGGGAGAGGACTCGCGGAAGATGGGAAATTAAGCAACTTTACAAGCAGTTAAGCCTAAAATAGAAGCACTAACACAATTTACAAATGTTTCAAGAATATATTAGGAATATTGAGAATATATTATTGTTTCTCTTTTAAAAGGATGATCCGTCAGGAGATGGGGATCTTGCCTTCCAGCTTACTACACAATCATCAACATCCCATTCACAGCTCACGGCTGACCTCCCCGTCAATATCCTTCAGGTAATAAATACCATGGGAATCTCTGAGCTTTTAATAATCAATTGCACATCAAACATTGCCAGCCAGACTTCTACCATTATTGTTAAACACAAGCTCTGCTTTCCCCAGTTTCCTTTCATGGGTCTGAAGAGTTTATAAAAAATGAAAAACAGAATTCTATTTTTCAATAAACTTTACATTAATTTAAGGTGGAGAGTTCTTTCATTTAAACTGCCCTAATTTTGCTGTCAGTTTGATTGGTACTTATAATCTCCTGTTATCTTGCTATTCATTGTCTGACCAAAAGTCCAGATAAACAATTTATTAGAATTGAATCCATTTGTACCCGTCTCCTGTGAATTATTTGACAATTACATTGAATGTTACCAATAGAATCTTTATTCACTGAGGTGAGATTTGGGATATATATATTTTCATGACTTGATGCATTATCTCTTTACAGGAATCTCATCCATCAACTGAAGATGATGGTGGCAGCAGCTCCCAGTTCACTAGCAGCACTATAAACCTACAGGACTTGGAGTAATGGATCAAAAAAAAATGCACTTGAATGAACTTGTACTGTCCACAGGGCTCATCCAGAATAGGAAGTGTGAGGAGAGTTCATGCTTCAGCAATCCATTAATGGTTAGATAATCTTCAGATTGTGTTTAGCATCATCTATGTCAGTCAGAAAACGGTTTTCTTACAGGGCATGTGGCTGAAATTCAGCAACTGGGGAATGTACAGTTTGAATAATAACAAAGCCTTTGATGAGATTTTGATATTGTTTAACTTAATAAATAAGATGGCAGTTGCAGAGATTGCCGTAGCAAATGTAGAAAATATCAATTCAGAGATTAAGTATTATTCGCCATCGGGTTAAAAACGTGCTGTTTCAAATTGAAGATTGCTGGGACAATGGGAAGGGCCAATGTTTTTCCTCATGAAGATGAAGTGCATATTACTGCATACATATTGTTGCAAATTCATCATATGCATTCACTGAAACTTTCTCAGAATACATTTGATCTGAAACTTTCTCTGAATAAAGTTGTTGATTTTGTGATCAAACCAACCGCAGCTCTAACAGTAATTACCTCTATAGGCCTGGCAGCTCGTAGAACACTTGTGGCTCACAATAATGAATGCAAATTCTAACTCACTATCGGTTGTTTGAATGCCCCAGCCCATTGGCTTTAAAATAAGTGCTACAAAAAGTCAACTGAACGTCAATTGCATCTTGAGAAGATTTTTAATGAAGGCTGAGGATGAACGGCCAAAATCTGGCATCTGGTGTAAAGCCAGTTTTAGTTACAGAAGCTTAACTGCAGGTATGCAGACCTGAAGTGAAACTTCTGTAACTAAAATTGCTGCCCACATCGTGGAGAAATGCAGTCCATTGCAGCTAACGTTAACAGTCACAGCACGTTCATCATGCAGACTGTTCAATAGTTAGATTAGGGATTTTGAAAGAAGGAATCTGCATGAACTCCGTGTTCAATTTGTAGTCCTTTAAATGGAGTCAAAATGACAAGATTAGTGCAGTATTCTAACCTTATATATCTTGAGTTATTTTGACAGGCTTTCCACTGGATGGCTTCGGATCCACTTTTAGAGTAGGTAGATTGAAGGTGAAATAATCCTTTCATTTGCATTTGGTATGCTAAATAAACATGGTTACTAGCTGGTGAGTCAGGGTTCTGATAGGTTATTTGAAGACTAATTAAACACACGTATGTTTGATTGCTGCCATTTCTGCAACAAACGATGAAAGCAAAATTTTCTTCAAATGATCCAATAATAGCAAATCTCACCTGGTCCTTTCTTACGAAAGTTTAAATATTGTATATTTAAAAATGTGATTTTATATTAAACAGTATGTATATTTTATTTATTTGTTTTGTACACCTCAAAAAAGAATATGGGGGGAGGGGGGAGAAAATTGCTTTGTGAAGAGAATTTGACTTAGCAGATATTGATGGCATTTGTAAGTTTCTATTTGGAAGGTACATATTGACAATGTAATCCTTTATGCTAAATGTAAAACTGATGGAACAACTTTTTCTAAATATTGTGTACTTGCTAAAATATTAAATAACTTTGATGAGGAAGAATGGGTTGTTTAAACTTTTCACAATTTAAATGGATAAGGAAATAGAAATAATCTGTCAATGGATAATCGAGGGTTCTTTATTCTAGCTGTAAAGACCACTGGAGTTTCAACTAAATTTCTTCCCTCCTGTTTGGCTGTACATTCTGTAAATTACCACCAATATTGAAGTTTTTAACAATAACATTGAAGAAACAAATCTGGAAACTGAGTGGTCATCGCCAATAAGGATTATTATAAGTTCGACCTCACCTTGTTGGGGAAGGGCACAGGGTTATAACAACTGCAGTTTTGGTTTGCAAATGTACTTACGAACAACATTAAATGTGCCGCTCCAGTTTTGTTTTCCTACATAGTCTCAAGTGTTTGTTCTTTAATAATTTTTTTTATCAATTCTTGGACCATCTATGGTCGAGGTATCAAATGTAAATTGAGGGACTGCTAATAGCCACTCCATTACAGTGAAATGTGGAAACTAGTTTAACACCATGTTATGCAGTGGCAGTCTGTTCAGGCCTATTGATAACTTGACTTATCAGAGTATACAGTTTAATGTTTGGGATTTAACTGTTGATGTGAAGGTACTTCAAGATTGATGTGAAATTATAAGATATATGAACTGCATTGCTTAAGCGGTGTTCAGGACATGTAACATTAGTAGCGTTAGTTTCACATTAAGACTTGTTAGTTGCAGCCTATTGATATCCACAAAGGAACAAGATTAGGCAGAAACCCATTGAAGGGGAAATTGCTACACTTTGAAATAATTAGTGAAGTTAACTTGAAATCAAAATGGATTGTTCTTCCAGTTGCAAGTAAAACCAATGTTTAGTGACAACTTAAACTATGCAGACCTAGAAGGTCCCAGGGGTGATCCTTGGTCTAAAGCTTTGAGACATCTCAACGACATAATAAGGTGCTATATCAATTGCAAGGATTGGTTTTGGATCCCCTGGGTCAGGTTAGGAAACATTGACAAGTTTTCCAGCTCCTCATCCCTATGTAAAAGTGCAGTGTGATGACATGTTAAGTAAGCTCAGTATCTAGCTGGGTAAACATAGATGATAATTTGTTGTTGGGTGGACAATTCATCTGCATGAGGTGATGATTGGACTGTATTCAAGAGGTGAATGTTTGTCATTTGCCATCTACATGTTTCCACAGATTCCCAGCAGAAAGCTTCAAAGCTAATTGCTCTGATATTGCTCTTAAATTTTTGTTGTAGAGTGTAGGCTTACTAGAAATAGAGGTGATGGTAATGAATTGGACCAATAGGCTTATATGTAGCACCAACAGTTAAGAACCTGCGGTTGTGCTGCTATTACGGTGAAAAATGTTCCTTTTCATGGGTTCCCCAATGTTTTGCTTGGTGCCTGCAGAATGGAGGATGCCTTTGATTTGAAGATTAAAACCAACTCTATTGGTTAGGTGATTTTATGAAATTTTCCAGCACTTAAGATACATGTGGTTCTGAGAATTATTGCTAGTTTATTACAGTATTATTTCAATAGAATGTGCAATTGTGATTTATGTCAAAAGATTGAGATCGTCCTATGAATGATTTGTCAAAAGATTGAGATCGTCCTATGAATGATTTATCAAAAGATTCTTACCCAACCCATCAAAAAAGTGATGGTATCCTGCTAATGTTTAACGGTACAATGACAAAACAACGATCACAAAGATGTAAATGCTCAAAATTTGAGCCAAGGTCCAGAAAGTTCACAGTCTTCAGGAAGAAACATAAAGCAGTGTAGTTATCAATCATTAATATTTATTGTACAATAATAAGCTATCATGTCACAGATACTAAACTGGGTCAGTGTTCCTATTGGAAATCTATTGAAATGGTAATTCTAAGCCATTCACTTACATCACTTAAAAGCACTTTTTTATTTTAATAATTAAAACGTTCTGCTATTGTTTCTCGTCCATCTTCCCAAACTTCCATATCTAATGGCTAAATTTTGTATATCGGTGAGTCAAAGGGAACCCAAAGCTAATGGTCATTATCCATGTGATGCGACTATGTTAAGAATGTAGGTAAATTCTTGAATTGGAGGAGGGGAAAGAGAAAAGGAATGAATTTTTCTTTGCACCTTCAAAATTGAACGTTCTTGTAAACCATCGCATCCAACAATTCTAAACCTACTTCAGTGAAACAGACCACTTAACACATTAACGTGATCCATTCAATTACACTAAGTGAAATAAAACATACTTTCTTCCTTATCTTTATCTACGTCGTCTTGGTTCTTCGTCTCCTTTTGCTTAAGGATAGGAGGATGAGATCGGAACATGAGCTTCCTGCTAACCTGTGAAGACGAGCGTGGAAATTGTTTTTAGAAATTTGCTTTGGTTGAGTTAAAAAATTGATGGTTCTGTGTTCAAATCACAGGGTGCAAATGCATAATTTGTTAGAAATGATATTGCAAATATTTTATATCCAGAGGCTCTGAATACAAAAGTGAGGAAGTGATGACATTGGTTTAGTCACAGCTGGAATGTCATGCAGAGGTTTGGGGCCAAGTTCTAAAAAGGATATTAGCTCTGGGGAGGATGTAGTGTTGATCTAAGAGGAAGATACTGGAAAGGTTACAGCTGTGCAGAGGTTAGGAATTTCTGTTGGAGCAGAGAAGGTTGAGGGGTTTAAAATAAAGAAAGAGTTTGAAAGAAATATCATGGAAAAAACGATAGACGAGGATAAGAGTCCCTAACCTTTCCAGTTGTGGCTATAAATTGAGTTCATATCCAAAAATATCTGGGTGGGGGGTGAGAGAAGGGCAGACGAGGGAAGCAGGATCTCCCTGGTGCTGAATGAGCTCTGAAGAGAGATAGATCCCTGGCAGAGCCACAATAATTATTGATTGTTGACTAACCCATTTGAACCAGCGATCAGAACTTGGAGGTTTGTGTGTGTAAAAAAAAACAGGCCATTCAGCCGAACAAGTCTATAAATGAGTGTTTATACTCCACATGAGTCTCCACTACAGGTCTACTGCAGCCATGAATATTAACTTCAGCATCTTCAATATTTAACTGTTTCTCTACTAATTCATGGTTTGTTTCCTTTTTTGAACAGGGTTGGACTGAATTTTTATACCTCTCATTGCCGTATCATCTGCTTTCCTACCACACCACACCCCCTCCCCCCACACCTACACCCCCACAATTTTTTTAAAAATCTCCCACAACCTGCATTTCACTATATTCTGGCTATTTTCTGCCTTTTGTTATATCCAATCCTATTAGCTCTCAATTTGCATCTTGATCTCTTTAGGGACAGAAACTCCAAGCCCAACATTTTATTTTTGATAGACTATACCCAGAATATTGACCTATTTTTCGTTTCTTTCAGATGCTCACTGATCTGCTATGTGACCACCCCCCACCCCCCCCCCCACCACCACCCAGTTTATTTTAAGCGAGTGTGAATTAATACCTTCTTCCGGTGATCAGTCTGGGCTCTTATCAGAGCACGCTGGAGTCGTTCCTCCTGCAGCAACTTTTCTTCCCTCAATTTGTCCTCTCGTAATCTGTTACAAGCAACAAATGACCTCTTAAAATTAAAGCTCATGTATTTCAGAAATAATGCGTAGTTTTGCTTTTAATAACATCCTCTTGTGCTCAATTTCACAGCCAGAATCCCTTTGGTACAATAGCCATTCAGCATTTGTGAACATGGATCATACCTTGAAGTAATCGCTCTATGGCTCAGTTCCACACCACAAAGTGAAATGGCAGATAAGACCTTGGTTTTAACATCTCATCAGAAGATTGGTGTCGCCAACATTAGAGCAACTCTCACTACTGCGTTGAAGTGTCAACCCAAAATAAGAGAAATATTTAGAAACATCCCAATTTTTAAGGAATATAATAGTTATGCTATTAATGCCATAAAGTAAGTAAAGTAACAAAATAAATATGGCATTACAGTACAACTCTTTGTTCACACCAGAGGTATAGTCTTAAGACGTTCGAAGACGTGATAAGGTGTTATATCAAGTGCAAGGATTATTATATTAGAACATAACATAAGAATTAGGAGCAGGAGTAGGCCATTCGGCCCCTCGAGCCCATGCCCCGCCATTCGATAAGATCATGGCTGATCTTCAAACCTAACTCTAATTACCTGCCCTATCCCCATATCCCCTAATCCCTCTGTTTTTTAAAAATGTATCAGTCTCAGCCTTGAGGTATATATATAATATAATTGTGGAATTCATTACCTTGCTCTTCTTTCCTTATCTTTCCTTTTCTCAGCAGATTCTACTTTGTCCTGAGGGATCTTCTCAAGTTTGTCAAACATTTCCTCCAAGTGGTTTTCTAAGTTTGTCAACATCTGTAGTGTTGTCATGTTGGTATCATTGATGCCAATGCAGGTTTGATACACTTCCCCTACTTTCCTATTGAGAGCGTCCAGCAGCTGATCCTGTAAAAGACAAGTGTTTAATTCCAATTGAAATAAGCGTCATCCATCAGAGTTGATTCTGAGTTAAGCACTGAGTTAAAACTTCTGACGTGGTACTTGAGATGACATCAGAGAAAAGGTTGAGGAGTTGGACTTGTTCTCTTTCGAAATTAGATTTTTAAGTGGTGTGAATTCAGGATGACAAAACTATGAAACTAATGTAACCAAATTGTTTACTATAATTTAGGGTTCAAATTCCAAGGGACATCAATTTAACATTGATAGAAATAAGAAAGATTCTTATTCCAGTGATAATCGACTAAGATTCAAGTTGCTGTTTACCCTCTTTGTAAAAAAATACTTCCTGGAGTCTGTACTAAAATTGTCCTCGTTATCTCTTTGTTATCCCTTTGTTATCCCTTCGAAGTTCAGTGCGATGTCGCATCGCAGACTTTGTGTGCTCCTGTACCTGATCCTCAATGCTGGTCTGGCTAAAGGAGAATACTTTAGCCTTCAGCTGAAGCTCTGCAGCCCTCCTCTCCTCTTTAGCGATGGCCTCAGTTATGATACTGAGCTGTTGCTTGAGAAAATCGGTCTCACAATTCCTTATTAAAAGAAAAAAAATTATAATCGGATTTTTGCATTTCAAAAAAGTCAACAAGCTCACTGGGTAAATATACTGCATGGTTCAGGTTACTTATAAAGGAGGAAAATAATAGTGTCTGATCAGGCAATGATCAGGGGTTACTGCAACTGGCTTCAGACTTAAGATTGGGAAATTAACCAGTCATTCTCTCTGTAACATGTATTTGTGTGGACATAAGGTGTAGATGATATCAGGATCAACTGTGATACCTCACGGTTGAATATCCTGACAATGCTCAATGTTTAGTCTCATACATTAAGGTTAATGCCCACTTAAGTGAGGTACCAGAGGAACTGAAGGAACGAAACATTGAAAATTTCAACATATCGTTTGACAGCCGCAAACATTTGCCTACATTTTGCGTTCTGTGTTGAGAGTCGTCTGCTTGATCTCCTCCAGGGCTTCCTCAGTCTCCTGGGAGTTCAGGATGAGTGACAGGTTTTGCTCCTCGAGTTCTGTATAAATTTGCAGGAGTTGCTTGGGATCCTTAAAGTACAACTCAGGCTCCTACATAGTCATGGGAAAGATTAGACATGAACAAAGAGAACAAACTAATTGTGTTTAATGCTTTTTCGTTGTGTTTATTACAGTCAGTGTTAGCAATGCACCACAGTTTGCATCAGACACATCCATCAGAGATTCTGACAAATCGAAGCGTTAGCCAGCTGGCCTCTGAACTCTTTGGCTGACGTCTCCTGTAAGCATGGGGCGGTGGGAGGCCATATTTATATGTTGCTGTAAATTTAAGGGGTTGGCAATTTAAATTTGAGGCACTTGCCTCGCAAGCAAGAGGACCTGGGTTCAATTCCTGGCAGGGCGAAACGTTGGGCAAGTTTCCTTACTCCACACCCCTGTTTACCTAGCAGTAAGTATAAACCCAATTGTTAGTCAGGGGGCAGATCACCTTTCTGGGGGTAATAATCCCTTCAAAAAAATAATAGTAATAATCTAGTCACTCAATCCACGACTGATTGTGGGACACTGCTGTACGCAATTAGTTGCTGCGTTTCACCCACAAAACATACAATTATATATATATACCCACAAAACATACATACATATATATATTCAATATATTCTGTGATGCGCTTTGAGATGTTTAAAAGACATGATCAGGCATTATATCAAATGCAAGAATTATTATGAAGTGAAGACACACAAACCTCATCACTGTCAGTTAGTATCTCTTCAGTTGTCTTATTCTCCATGAGTGGTGATACAACAGGTGACAGCTGGGGCGGAGGTGACTGAATGAGAGCAGAACTCCTACAAGATAATCAGACTATGGTCACAAACTCATAAACGAGAGCATGGTTAAGCTTTACTACACATTTACTTCCCCCCCCCCTCTGAAATACAGACATAAGTATTTTTCTATTCCATTTAGAATAGAATATACAGTCGCTACATATTACAGTGAAGCGCTCTGAGACGTTCTTGTGTGAAAGGTGCTATTATTGTAGGTATCTCTTAATAATCCTTGTATTTTATATAGAGCCTTATCACTTCGTTGAGACGTCTCAAAGAGCTTCACAGAATATACTGTATTTTGTGGGCAAAACTTGCTGACTGCTTGTTCATCATTTTTTTTCTCTCTTCACACCCCTCTTGCCTTAGACTGGAAGGTACTGGGAGAATCTCAGCCAACCCCAATTCTGATTTTGATATCCATCCACGTACACACACAGCAGGTGAAATGATTTGCAGGGGCCCTGACTGATTCTCTTCGAATTAGGTAAATTAATTCTAGCCAATTGTAGCTTCCCCATGGCTACCTGAGTCAACTCAGGCTGGACCAGAAAACATAGACTGCCTGGTTTGTAAGACGTAGTGCTAAACTGGATCTTTATTCATCAAACCAATGGGGAAATGCATCAAATGCATTTTTTTTAATACCACCTGTGTTGCTGATCCCATTTGCGAAATAATATTTAATCCACTTGCTTTCAGTTACCCAGCACAGACACAAACCAATCCGATAAAGAATTAAATCTCTTTTTCTCAGAATTTAGAGACCGTTTTACTGGCTCGTTTTACTGGCTCGCATTGCACAGATAAAAGTAAACATGTTTCTAGATCCTGATCGGTTTCTAGACCCGGAAGATGATGCTTACATTTTTCTAGCGCTAAATTGTCGACTGGTTCCTTTGCTTGGTATTCGTACGTCTTGCACAGAAGGACGAACTGAGGGTTTGCTTTCAGTTCCTAGGCAGGAAAGAAATATTCCAAATGTGTTCAGTAAGTTTTTTGCAGAAAGTCTCACCAGAGTTTCATTCCAGCAGTTTTTAATTCAAGCTCCCTATCTATCTGTTTTTTTTTGTTGTCTAGGTCCCAGAAGGTTAATTCATTCTGTTGTTTAATACGGTATAGGGCTTTATCATTGCTAAAAAGTCTGAAAGCTCTATGTACAATGAGTTGCTTTGAATCGCCCAAAATAAATCTCTACATTTCAAAGTAACTCATACTAAGCAGCACCTAAGGCTTTGTTATGTGGTCAGGTGCTACATTAAATACAGTCATTGTATTGAAGCAATTTCTCTCTGCAAAGCTCTGTTTGTCCCTCGTACCCCCATCCCTGGTCAGGCGGTGCCCCGAAATTCTGGAACTCTCTCCCTCAAATCCCTCCACCTTGCCCCCCCCCCTTCAAATTGTTATTATATATTACTGGCTGTACTGGCAGCTTCACTTGCAATCAAAGGATCCACTATGGAATGTAGATTGACACACAGACAGACATTTCATCTTTATCTATATCCTTGTGGGAGGACTCAGCGCTTTAGAAATGTAATTTTGTTGTTGCCGCGACTTAGCTTCGTCTGTGTTCTTTATTTTGTTCTCACCGCTCGGCTACGTGCGTGCTCTGTGACGCAAGATACTATAGAGCCACGGTCAGCCGGCAAGGCCACCGGGTGTAACTGCAGCATGTGTGCGTTCTCGTGACACACGATACCACAGTGCCACTTTGACTTGGCGCCCACCAAGTGCGACTGCAACGAAAAACGCAAAGCTGAAAATAACTCATGAGCGATAGGAGATACCCGAAAACAAATATGCCCATGTCACTTCCAGGCGCAAGATCTTTCCATTGAGGTATAAATCATGTCTCTAGGTCTATAGGTTATTGAGATCCTTCTTGAAGCACCGACAGACATTGTCATTTTGTTATTATATAAGGAAGAAGATAGATAAAAGCATTCAAGCAAGAATGTCAGCATGTTCATTCAGCCCCATTCAGTTTAAACCAAGCCCCCTCCTTGCCTCCGCAACCAACACTCTCCTTACCCAGCACCAGCAGCCCCCAAACCATAGTGCCCCTTTGGAGAATTCATTCATCCCAATTTGCTAAATGTATTCATTGCCATTTGTATGATGCTACCAACGTTTTGAAATTGGTGGGGTTCTGGTCCTATCTTCACTTGGGTTATGGGTAATCATTCTTGATTGGCTACGCAACAGTTTCTTCCTCTCCTTGTCTTCCAGCCATTCCTTTGGAGACAACTTGTTTAGAAAGTCTCTGTATATCAGGAACTCCTTCAGAACCTCCTCATTCTTGGAAATTTCACTGCCGGGATAGAGAAATGAAACAAACTTGTAGCAACCTTTAATCTTGACCATAAGAGAATTGGAACCAAATCCTTTCCAGTCCTTATCAGACACCAACATTCTGAAGAAGTGGATCCCTGGATAACATTTTCCCCTCTTTACGATAGGGATATGCAGACAAACTGTCCCTCAACCTGGTGCCTTGCTGAGATTTTCTAACACAGCATATCCTAATGATCAAGTCTTGTGCATCTAGGGGTTCTTACCTTTTTATTCCCATCATCTGGGTTGTAATTCTCTTTATTTCTGCAACTTTGTCCATCTTTAATTTGGTTTCTTGCTCAGCACTGTAAATAAAACCCAACACAAAATTGAAGCAGCAGAAATGTACTAGCTCTTGTCTCTACAGTACAATAAAACACTGGGGTTTAAAATCTTGTGGATTGTAGGCATCAGGTAAGGAGTTCCCATCTTAAGATCTTGGGGGAAAAAAGGGAGATGAATCTTGATTTCAACATAGTGACAGGAAGAGGATGTGGGAAAGTATACTTGTAATAAAGGAGCAATGAGGGGGGATAAGGGAGCAATAACATTCAATATAACTGAGAGTCTGCAATGGAAGCGATGGTATAATTGAGGTTGATCTCCCCGCACAAAATCCCCCCTGGCATTTCATGTCTATGTAATCTAGAGCCTAGGTAATCATAAATCAGCTTTATGAGCTGTATTATTCCTTGTATTATTTCTGATTGCACTGTGCAGCTATGCTGCCCAATATACAATAACAGAGGTTTACAAATAATAATAAATCCTTCCATTTAATATAGCGTCTTACCAAGTCGTCGAGATGACTCAAAGTGCTTCACAGGAAAGTGAATTGACTGTATATTTTGTGGGGTGAAAAACCTAAAACTTTACGTATTAATTAGTTTTATTACATTTTCATAGCTTCTGCTGAGTTCCTGTCATTCTCTTTCAAGAACTCATCAAACATGGCGGCGTCTTCCTCCAGGTATTGCTCGGCTTTCTCCAGTTTCTTCTCTTCCGCCTGTGCAACTTCCTCCAGCTTCCTCATCTCCTCTCGTTTAACAACCAGTGAGTACTGGAAAATAGAACGGCCAAGCCAACAATTCCATTACCAAGCCCAGAGAATATTTGGCCTGATTCCAGTCTCCGATATTCCAATTATTGTTCCCTACTGCACGGTTTAATAACAGGTTTGACCACAGCAGTTTCACAAACCAAACTGGGGTAATATTTTAGGTTTAAACTTAATTTGCTAACTTGTGGTTCGCAGGAGTATTGATATCTAGTTCTGTATGTTCCAGAAACTCATTTTTCTTTTATTTTGAACCCAGACGAAGAGCCAATTAGAACGAAACGCTTTGTTTTTATGGTAAATGTAAGATAAGAGTTTTGCATTTTAGGCTCAAAAGGAGCTCAGCAGGCTCCAGCCTGCTCCAGGTGTCCTGCCCTACCGCCTTGCTCCCTGTCTTGCCTCCTTCAACACACGACTCAAGACCCTCCTTTTTGACCGTGCCTTGAGCTGCCCTCCTACCCGCTCCTCTGCCCTCGCTCATCCCAATCCTGCCCCCCACCCCCCAACGCTCGGGTCCTGATCCTGACTGTTCAGCACCTTGGGATATCCTCCCGACGTGAAAAGCGCTTTACAAATGTAATTTTGTTGTCGTTTCTGTCGTATTCCGAAAGGGTTCACCCACCCAGTCCCTACTAAAAGGCTACGTTAACAAATCCATGGCCGGGTGAAATGTTAATCTGGTGACAGCTATCTGAAATAAAGTTAAATCCCGGTGCCAAGCAGAACCCAACTCCCCCTATTCCCCCCTTCAAATGTTATCAGTAACAAGGCCCACAAATGAATAATGGGTGAGGTACAGGAGAGTGTCTGGGATCTGTGGACCTGTATTCCCCCACGAAAAAGGGAAAATGAGTCAAACACATACAGAAGAAGAAAGGAACAAAATTGTTGCCCTACCAACCTGCCCACTCCCTCCTTTCGGCAAGCACTGGCCTGCTTCATGTCCCCCTGCCCTGCCTGCCACACCATCGGCAGCTGGCCTTCAGCCTTTCTGACCCATCCTCTGAAACTCCATCTGGAGTCCCTTCACCTCGCCCCCTCCCTCGCTTCCCTCGGGGTCTGTTTCAAGACACTCTTCTTTGACCATGCCTTCGGACATCTTTCAACCTCCGCACCCCCACCCGACACATACACCGAATCCAACCCCCAGCTTGGGTGCAACCTTTTGACTGTCCAGTGCCTTTGGAACGTCCTCCCATCGTGAAAGGTGTTATATAAATGCAACTTGCAAAAATGAATTACCTGGAGCAGAAACATTTCCCTTTTCTTGTTGATATAATCGTCCAAGCTTTCTTTCTCAATATGACGATCTGAAATAAAAAAAAGAAAATTTGCGAACCGAGCCATACACACAAACTAGTTTGCAAACTGGAAAAGAGCAACTTGGTCTTACGTGGAGAAAAACAACTTGTGTTGGTATAATCTGCAGGCCAGTCTTATTCTGGCCAAGCTAATTGCTGCATCAATCCAACCTCTGCATATGATTGAAGGACCACGTCCAGTCCTAACCACAAATGGATTCTGACATAATAAAGCTTTAGTTTGTTTCATGAAATTTCCTGAGATAGAACCACTATAACTCCAAGCAGCTCTGGTTTAGGAGACTGTGGACTTTTCTATGCCTCCAACTCTTATTGATGAGCCAAAAGGGCTGACAATTAAGCTTTGCTAATGGTGGACTTGTCCCTGAAAGAGATATATTTTACATATTATTTTCAATCTTGAAATAGCAAAGGGCTGAGTGGAACCACTGGGATTCCAACACAGTATCATCTGATCCTGGTTTGAGGATTCTGTTTCTGAACTTTCAGTGATGCTCACCACATTGCTGAGATCAGATGCTCAGCACAGATCCTCTATAAGTGAGGTGGGCATTTGAAAGGTCTGATTTAACCATTGATGGGCTTTGAAGAGAAGATCTGACTCTCTTCCTGTTGAAATCACCTTTTGTGAGATTAATTTTCCAGGAAGGATCATCCTTGAGAGAGGAGAGTTTATTTAAATTGGCCTCTTCTGATGTTAGGGTTTCAGGATCACCTTCCTTTAAGAGTCTTCGTAGGTTGTTGCGTCTGGTATACACTTGAGCTGTGTATGTTGTTTTCTCGTGGATTTTCAGATTCTTTTGTCTTTCTTGCTCCTGTGGGGGAAAAAGCACACACAAAGATATTTGATACTGAACAAATCAAAGGCATTGGAGGCTAAAGGACAGATGAACTCCTGAATCCCCTAGGTGGCTCACACTCAGACTACCTTCTTTACTTACTTGTAGCCCTCAGTATAACTGCTTCTCTGAATGAATGTGGATTTACGTCAGTCTGGCTCAGTTGATAGCGCTCTCAACTCTGAGTAAGAAAGTTGTGGGTTCAAGTTCCATGTTAGGACTTTGATCTCATAGTCCAGGCACACCAGTCTCAAAAAGTTAGTTTGTAGGTGCAGCAAGCAACTAAGAAGGCGAACGGCATGTTAGCGTTCATTGCAAAAGGTTTAGAGTGCAAGAGTAGGGAAGTCTTGCTGCAACTGTATAGGGCCCCGGTGAGACCACACCTAGAGTATTGTGTGCAGTTTTGGTCTCCTTATTTAAGACATACTTGTCCTAGAGGGGCTGCAGCGTAGATTCACTCGGTTAGTTCCTGGGATGAAGGATAGGCTGAATAAACTGGGGCTGTATTCTCTAGAGTACAGAAGAAGGGGAGATCTTATTGAAACATATAAGATTCTTAAAGGGCTGATAAACTGAGGGTCTGTTTCCCCGGTGGGAGAATCTATAACCAGGGGTCACAGTCTTAAAATTAAGGGTCAGCCTTTTAGAACAGAGTTGAGGAAACATTTCTTCACTTAAAGGGTAGTGAATTTATGGAATTCACAACACCAGAAGGCTATAGATGCTCAGTCCTTGAACATCTTCAAGGCTGAGACTGATAGATTTTTAAAAAACAGAGGGATTAGGGGATATGGGGATAGGGCAGATAATTAGAGTTAGGTCTGAAGATCAGTCATGACCTTATCGAATGGCGGGGCAGGCTCGAGGGGCCAAATGGCCTACTCCTGCTCCTAATTCTTATGTTCTTATGTACACGTTGGGATTTTTTTTGCATTGCATTGTCTGATGTACCTCCCTTCGGGTCAAACATTGAAAACAGATCCTGCCCATGACTGTTCAGGTGGACATTAAACATCCCGCGGCACTGCTCCAAAAGAGAAGGGAGTTTCTCCCGCTGTCCTGGCCAACAAACCTGGCAAATAAAAGTGATCATTCACTTCCAGTCTCTTTGTACGACTTTGCTGTGTGCAAACTAACTGCCATTTTCACCTACAAATATAGTCATCAAACTTCACAGTGAATCATGTGAAGTGCTTTGAGTTGTTTCTCCCAACGTGAAAAAGATACTATATCAAATGCAAGAATGGTTATTATTCATAGATGTTGACAGAGCTGGAATTCATCCATACCCCCAGTACGAGTTAGCAGCTTCGGGCGAGGAGAGAACAGTGGCAATAAATAAATCTATGCAGGTTCTGGCTCTTTTGCTGGTGAGGTACATTGTGATGCCTTTTTTGAAATCTTTTGAGAAATGAAGAAATGCGCCACATCTATTATTTCGAGAGATATGGGCTTTTGTGAGAAAAGTCGGCCGCAATCAGGGTGTGAGCTCTACCTTTTGCTTCTGTTGTAATTCCTTCTCCCGAAGCAGAAAAATATCAGTGTCGGAAGCGAGTTTGAAAGGATTCTTGTCTAGCGACTCTGCCTCATTTTCAGATACTGTGGAAAAAAGATAGAGGTCCTTTTATTTCAAGGGAATGCTACCAGTGAAAAGCATAGCACACTCATTCCCCTACACTATTTTTATCCCCTTATAATCTGTGATGTGGAAAGGCCAGGTGACCTGGGATTTATTGCTCATCCCAATTTACCCTGAAAAGCCATGGATGGGCCTAGTTTTTAAACCACTGTTCATAGCTGTTTGCCTTCATCCCTAGTTATCTTTCTCTTCTGCATCTCTCTTAAATCATTTGCCTTCAATGCCCCTGCTTTCAATCGTGCCCTAAAGACCCACCTCTCAACAGCTTTCCCTATTCCTGTTTTTCATTCAAACCCCCCCAAAAAAATATTTTTACAAAAATAAAATAAAGAGCAAGAAGCTGAAAAAAACCCCAATGCTTTGTGCCATTTCCGGCTGCTGTAGCCCTCTGCTCCGGTTACCTTTAAACTTGACGCCTTCAATCTTTGATGATGGGTCTGGGGTCTGCTGCCTAGACTGGATCAAACTCAATATCCCTCCTTTAACAAGTGGGCAAAGGAAAATACCGCATCATTAGCATCTGTAATAACTTCAACTGACACAATGCTGCGCAATTTTACTACATATTTAAGATGCGGACAGGTAGACAACGAGACAGACAGAGATGGACAAAAAAAATACTAGGGAAACCCCCAATGGATTGCTCCTATGCAAGATGCTGGGAATTAGGCATCACATCAGCAATGGCAAAGACCCTGATGTAGGTTGGCAGGAAACATTTTGGGTTTCTGCAATCTTTTTGTGGCTGAAATTTGCTGAAAGAAATCGCAATCCGCCTGGTGTTTTGCTTCCCAAGTTTTTGTCAGATTTTTCCACCCTATTTCTGGCTCTTCGAAATATGTGACAAAAAGACAGAGGATAATGATAATCTTAATCCTCATGTTTGATAAAGTGCCTTTCATGTCAAGAGGACGTCTCAAAAGTGCTTCACGTGAAGTACAATAACAACTTGCATTTACGTAGGGCCCTGCATGCAGTGTAGTGTCTTGGAGCATACGTGTAGTGGCTGTGTTTTGCAGGGAAATAATAGATCCTGGATGTGAGAGAACTAAATTTCGCACAGGTACGATTGGAATTGCTTTTCTGATGTTGAGACTGAAGCAAGAACCCTGTATTTAGCTCAGCTGGATATCTGGCCTGTGACGGAGAACTTTACACTGTATTTCGCTGTGTGTATCCTGTGATTGCTTGAAGGTGATGCTGGGTAGAAATGAGTGTTCTGGTTCCCCTGCAGTGTCATCCTAACAAATTACAGAAACAAATGCCCCCAAAATACCTTTCAGAAACTTTCGAAAAAAGTTTGAAACGGAGGAAAATTTTGTACGGGTTCTTACTGGAGGGTGTTGTTCCAGGATGAGGAGACATTGAAGATTGCGGAGACATGGGAGAGGACATGTTACCACGAATGTGCGTAGAGCTTCAGTTTGGACTGAAATGCAGAATGAAACGGAACGTTAGAATAATGGACCGAACCCAATGGATCTGTTGTTCATCTGAGCTCCAGGGCTCCAACACTGCAGGTGAAAGGCTGTAGTTTTCATTTTTGTTACCTGTGGACAGACACGGACAGGCAGACAAGGGGACAGTCCTTCAATCCTAACGGATTCTCTGTAAGTACTATAACTCTGCCGCTCTGCGCACCACGTATTGCCACAAACGGGCCATGGCAATGGTCTTCCTGAATTTGGGAAAGAAAGGAAGATGCAGACTGAGTTTAAAGGGCCTCTCATTCCTGTATCCGCTCTGTGTGTGCATGTGTGACATTAAGTTAATGTTTACCTGCACAAAACCTATTGAGAGTACAGGTGCCAGCACATTTTCTGAGTTAATTTCTGATGTCAGGCTTGTGTCACAAAGGCTTTGGTGATTATTTAAATACACAGACACCTTCCCCTCCACCCTTCCCCATGCAGTTATCTCTTCTTAACTGGGGTGGCTGTAGTAATACTAAGCTTCGTCAGTACACCTGGGTTCAAGATAGGAAAAGAAATGAACCCAGGTGTCCCAATCCCAATGGCTCCTGTTAGAAAGTGCATAAACTGGGGTGTGTTCATTACTGTGCAACTTCCTTGGTTGGCCCAGCAAAATAAATGTTTCTTTTCTATAATTGAATATTTCTTGGTTTGCTGACATAAATCAATGCCATTTTGTTATTTCTAGGATTATATAATATTAATAATCCTTGCATTTGATATAGCACCTTATCATGTCTCAACGTGCTTCACAGAATCTACTGCAAAGTGAATCCGACTGTACGTTTTGTGGGCGAAACCTGGCAGCCAATTGCGCACAGCAATGTCCCACAAACAGTGGTGGATTGAGTGACCAAATGATTTTTCTTGAGGAATTATCCCCGGAAAAATATTTCGCCCTGCTGGGAATCAAGCCCAGGTCTTCTCGCTTGCGATCCGGACTCCACTTGTTGTACTAAGCTACAGGATTACTGTGTCGCCATCTTATTTTATTTTATCACCACGTATTATTCCCGGAGTGCCGTTTCAGAGAAGCGCAGGCAGTTCTCTCGGGTGTTCCTGATCTACCTTTCTCCCTCATCCCACTTCACCTGGAGGAAAAGACGGGCTTGTTGCTGCCTGCGGCACGTGGCCGGCTGGCGCCCGTTAAGCGTCGCTGCGTCGTCCAGCGAGAGAGCCCTGAGGTGCTCTGGATCAGGTAAAGGGTCGAAAACAACAACAACAACAACAACAACGTGCGCTTACGTAGTGCCCTTCATGCGGTGTAGTGTCTCGGAGCGCTCAGCGGTGGCGGAGCCTGATGCCGAGCCGGTGGTGAGGGTGGGGGTGGGTTTGTGCGTGTGTGTGTGTGTGTGTGCGTGTGGGGGGAGGGAGGCGCGAACGGGCAGAGGCGACCTTAGACCCGGTCGACGAGGGAAGGTCTTCGGTGCAGATGGGAGTGCACGCCGCCACTTCGAGGGAACCAGGCGTCAGCGAGGAAGGTCGCTGCGCGCGCAATTGGCCGCCGCCTTTCGCCCGCGCAACACGCACCGGCACCCCTTACGGCACCCTCCGGGGTGCACCCCGGGAAGCGCCTCGGGACCCCGCTGCAAAAAAGACGTGGTCGGGCGCTGCAGCAAATATTAAATAATATTCATTACTATTAATGATGATGATGATGAGGATGATTATAGTTAGTGTTATCGTTACCTGATTGCAGCGTCTCCTCCACTCCACTCACTCACTCACTCACTCAGTCACTCACTCAGTCACTCAGTCAGTCACTCAGTCAGTCAGTCACTCACTCACTCAGTCACTTAGTCACTCAGTCAGTCAGTCACTCACTCACTCACTCACTCAGTCAGTCAGTCAGTCAGTCAGTCAGTCGCTCGCTCGCTCGCTCGCTCGCTCGCTCGCTCAGTCAGTCAGTCAGTCAGTCGCTCAGTCAGTCAGTCAGTCGCTCAGTCGCTCAGTCAGTCGCTCAGTCAGTCAGTCAGTCGCTCAGTCAGTCAGTCAGTCAGTCGCTCAGTCAGTCAGTCAGTCGCTCAGTCAGTCAGTCAGTCGCTCGCTCGCTCACTCGGTCACTCACTCACTCGGTCACTCACTCAGTCGCTGCCTCACGAGCTCCGGGTGCCTGTGTTGACCGGTTGCCATGGAGACGGTCGACCGCGGTTGCCGTTGGCAACGAACTCGACGCCTCCGACGACAGCAGCAGCAGCAGCAGCACGTCACCAGGCCCTTTGTGACGCCAGTGGGCGGGCGGGCGGGGGGAGGGGGGGGGAATGGATGAACCCAATCAAACCGCCACCGTTCAAACTCCGTCAGAAAACTGTTTTCAAGTTATGTTGTCTGAGGTTATATCCGTTCAGTCTATATATATATGTATAGAACGTCAGAAAATGCGCGCGGCGATATCACCCGCCCCCCGACCACCCCCCCCCCCAGTGGATGGTTCCGGGTCAAAGGTCCCTGGTCTTTGACGGTTGGTCTGTCTAACGGCTCTGAGGGCAGAGAGGCGCGTGAGCAGAGGGTTCAAACCCCCCCTCTCCCCCCTCCTCTCCCCCCCGGGGTTTGGTCTCAGGCCCCGGCTCTGGGGTTGCGTTCGGCGGCGGTTTGGGTTTAAAATTGCCGTCGCCGTTCCGCCGACTCACGATGGTGAAATGGCGGCTACAGCGTTCCTAACAACGGGCCGCGGTGAGTGAGGGAATGAGGGGGGGGGGGGGATGGAGGAGGGGACGGACGGAGGGAGAGAGTGAGTGTGGGGGGAGGGAATGAAGAAGGGGAGGAGAGAGAGAGAGAGAGAGGGAAGGAAGGAGGGAGAGAGTGATGTGGGGGGAGGGAATGAAGAAGGGGAGGAGAGAGAGAGAGGGAAGGAAGAAGGGAGGGAGAGAGTGAGTGTGGGGGGAGGGAATGAAGAAGGGGAGGAGAGAGAGAGAGGGAGGGAAGGAGGGAGAGAGTGAGTGTGGGGGGAGGGAATGAAGAAGGGGAGGAGAGAGAGAGAGAGAGGGAAGGAAGAAGGGAGGGAGAGAGTGAGTGTGGGGGGAGGGAATGAAGAAGGGGAGGAGAGAGAGAGAGAGAAAGAGGGAAGGAAGGAGGGAGGGAGGAAAGAGTGATGGAGAGAATGAAGAAGGAGGAGGAGAGAAGGGAGGGGATGAAAGAATGAATGAATGAATTAAATGAAGGAATGAATGAAGGAATGAAGGAGAGAAGAGAGGGGGAGGGAACAGTGAGGGAGGGAATGAAGAAGGGGAGAAGAGAGAGAGAGGGAGAGGGGAGAGGGGGGGCTGAAGAAAGGGAGGGAATGAGGTGTGAAGACCGAGGTAGGAGGAGAGGGAATGAGGGAGGAGCGATGGAGTGGATGGGGAGGGGTGGGGGGTGGGGCGGAGGATGGCAAAGGTGTAGTTTTTAAGGTGGGTTTTGAAAGCAAAGAGGGAGGAGGGGAACGAGGCGGAGGGTTTTTTGGGGGAGAGTTCAGAAAAGTAAGTGACTTAAAGTTTGCCCCCACGATAGCAACAACAACTTGCATTCACGTAGCGCCCTTCCACGCAGGACAGTGTCCCCGGGCGCTCGGTTACCCGAAATGAGCCTCGAGTCAGTATTAAACCTACTGCGTGTCTCCCCCCCCCTCCCCCCCGCTTCGTCGTGTCTCGCTGAGCCCAGTTGTCCCCCCACCCATTTCCCCCCCCCAACTCCTGATAACTCATCACTCGCAAGAGAAAAGGGCTCAGTGACAGGCTATCCAGAGTGGCGACGAAGGCATATATGTACAAATAATGTCAGCATATAGGGACATTGACAATATGATGGAAGTGGACAAGTCAGGGGTGAGTTATCAGGAGTTTACTGTATAACCTCCTATCAGCTAGTTTCTAAACAACAATGGTAGGAAAGCCTGGGGCTTTAAATAACATCTAGAGATCTGAGGCAAAGGGAAAGGGGGGGGAAAAAAACACTTTGTAAAGAAATGTGCAAATGAAAAATCCACAATGGGTGATTTGTCTCTATTGAATAGTCCATCTCAAGATACGAGCATATTGTCACCTTGAAACCACATAAAAATATCATTTTAGCATTCCTCAACATTTTAATTGTTTCTCTCTGTTTAAAGTTTACATTGTGTGCAGAAGAAACTCAGATAAACCAAACTGAACAGCACAATAATGCCCGAGAAAACTAAACGTGGCCGAAAGCCTTACCTCACACCGTCTGAAGCAAAAAGGCGCCGTTTGGAACGTTACAGGGAGAGAAGAAAGCGCTACATTAATTTAGGTGCTGAAGTTGAAAAGTGGCGTCAGTTGAAGGAGGAATTGAATATACCCAGTGATGAGAATCTCGCTAAAATCCTTATGGATTACTACAGGTGTAATATTTTCATATTTTGAAACCTTTGTTTGCTGTACTTTAGTTCTTTCATGTAGTTTTTAAATAAAAAATTATTTAATGTCTGCATCCATTAATCAACATTTTTTAATGAAATCTTTTTCCAATTTTCGGCAGATGTGATGGTGTTTCTCTGTTAGATACAGCTTCAAAGGCAAGACAAACTACTGTCGATAAAGGTTAGTTGTAAAAATATACTTGTATTTACAAATGTAATAAATATAAAACAATGTAAAAAAAAATGTAAATGTAGCAATACATGTATAAGAAGTAATAAATGTAGCAGAAAACATTACATTAGACGACAGTGTACAAAAAGATGCAACATAATAAAGGGTTCGGATAAATGTCATATCAATCCCAGAAGATGAGTTAGTCTTGAAACATAGTCCATTTGGATTGTGGTCCCACTATGTACAGTACTGTATATCATATATATATATTTATACAGTGTCATACCATAACTTTGACATTATTTTAGTTTCTTCACGTGTCTAAACGTTTTATTTCAAATTGGCCTGAGTTAATTTTCAATTAGCTTTATCGTAGCTTATCCCTCACACCCCACCTCCTCATGCATTGCGTACTGACGAGAATATGCAAGTCGCTTCTCCCCCCCGCCCCCCGTATGTAATGCAGAGCAGTAAGAATTATGGAATGGGATCACTTGCAGCTTAACTGGATTCACCCATTTACTTTGTCAAATTTGCTGCTCCAGTTGTTTCTGGGGCTACTCGGCTATCTAGTCCCAGCCCGTAGTATAGGTAACACCAGACTCTTCCCCCATCCCTTGTACAAAAAGAACAACAAATTGCAATTGCATAGCGCCTTTCAGGTCGAGAGGACATCCCAAGCTGCGGGATAGTCAAGGGTTTGCACCAGAACTACAGGCTGCAGTAAAGAGGGATGGAGGGCAAGGAGATGGTGGTGGGAAGGTGACCAAAGGCGCAGTCTTGAGACAAGCTGAAGGAGACAAGGGAGGGGTTAGTTGGAGGGGCTCCGGGATGGAGTTCTAGAAGGTGGAGGCAGAAAGGCTAAAGGCCCAACCTCCGATGGTGGAGAGGGCAGGGGATGTGGGGCAGAGGGAGTGGAGAGGTTAATAGGGTTTTAGGATGTCACAGAGGTAGGGCTTTAAAGTTAAGGACATGCTGAACAGAATAACAAATTTCCTATTACTATAGTTACTTCTATATAGAGAGAAGAAGAGGCTTCTCCCAATTTACCCTATAGAGGTCCAATATGTCCAACAGATAATAATAAATGCTGTTGAATAGATTCATATTTTTAAAATATAGGTTAACGGTAAATTGTGTTTTATCTTGCAGGAAATGATGATAGCACATCCACATGCACATCAATAAATGAGAGCGGACAGCCACTGCGTTCCACAACGCTGAACAAATTACCTGAAAAGAAGATTCCACAAATAGATTCCCCAGCTGGGTAAGTTTTTTCTGTGAAACCAGATTGGATTATTAATGCAATAAGATAGTTTTCCCTTAATGTAGCCATTTTAGAATATTGAGTGTATATGGACTGGTAATTGGTAGTGAGTGATTGTGATTGGGAATATTTACTCGGTAATTACAGTATACCTTATTCTCAAGCGCTCCGGGACGCTGCCCGGGTGAAAGGCACTATAAAGGCAAGTTGCTGAAGTTGTTGTTATTCTGCAAAAGGAATAGAGAGTGAATTGAAATCATGAACAAACAAACAAATTACATTTGTATAGCACCTCTCATGTCGGGAGGACGTCCCAAGGCATTGGACAAGCAAATGTGAAAACTTCAATCAAGGGCCTCAGAGCCCAGTTTTCTGGTATGAAATATCCTGGGATGACCATCAGTGAATAAAGTGGCACGATTTTGTTGTGTAGTACTGCTCCGTTGATTGATATCACATCAGGAATTGAACCCAGAATCTTGCTCTTTCTAATAGGGTCTGTTCCCTTTTCACACAGTCATCAGGGGACACAGTGTTCATTTCCTAATTGTAATACATTCAGTTGAATACAAACAAGATATGTCATGGTGGATGTAACTGGCCGACTTCAATTCAATTTGTGCTACATGATTTACCTGTTACAGATTATCTATTGAACATTATGATACAGAAACAGATTCCACTGAAGATAGTGTGGAGTCTGCTGAAGAATTTGTAGAAATGACTAGTTGTCTTGGACCAAACAAGTAGGTATATTTTCCCATAATAATATTCTTTGTTCAACACTGACCAGATACGGAGAGGACTGTGTTATCTGTACATTTTTTTATGCTGGCTACTTTTATTTAAGGAACTGCAATCAAGTGGAAGGTTTTCATAACTAAAGGAAATGCTGAATTTGTTTTTGAGTAACTTTGATGTAATAGATTACTAATAAATCCTGCTTTAAACATGAGAAACATTAGAAAGTCACTCCACTAAAACTGATCTTAAAACTAGGGTTCTCCAACCAATTGTTAGTGTATTCCAGTCAATCCACCCATCTCATGTCCTATCTCCTTAATCCCTAGATATTCTTACATACTGTACTTTCCATTTGAACAATTGATTCCTCCCTCTACAAGTTTTGTAATTTATCCAGATTTGTATTATCTATAAATCCATTCTCTCACCTGACTGACACAATAAACTCTGACAAAATATTTGATCTTGATCCCAAACAAATTAGCCATTTGGCCACCAGCAATGCTAAGAGTAAAGATTTTTTTGAATCAGCCGCATGAGTCACGAGTTGGAACACTTACTCTTGGCCATTACCAGTGAGATTTATTTTTCGAACAACTTTAAAAATGTTGCTACTCCGTGTGAAGGGCGTATCTAATTGCAAGTTGTTGTTGTAGTTGTTGTACTGCAGGTTTTCACCCTCCTGTTTGGATTGGAGCCACGTTTTAAAAGAAAAACCAGAGCAGTGATAAAGGACACTGATTTTTGTTATCCTCGTGGCTTGTATTCTGAGGTTTACTCCCCCTGATGATTGAAAATTTGTATCCAGGTTTTATCCAGAAATTTCAAGTTGATATACACTCAAAAATCCCTCTGCTCCAATCTCAAAACAAATAGCAAGTTTAGTGTATTGCACTTTCCAACTGACAAAGTCCTGCGAGAGACAGGTTTTATGGCATTCCCTTTTTAGTGATAATGTGGCTAAAAGTCACAGCAGACTGGATAGGAATGTCTGCACAAAACGTTTACTTCCCAGCCATCTCTTGCCCAGCAGTTTGAAAGTATAAAACACAAAAAAGAAAGGAACAAATAAGAAATTATGGTATAAAACACAAAAAGAAGGGGACAAATAAGAGATTATGGTATAAAACACACACAAAAAGGAACAAATAAGAGATTATAGTAAAGGCATCATCGTTTATAACATTTACAATTTAGTTACTCTTTGTGGAAGTTCCTTCCACTTATAATTTAGATTTGAATATACAGTTATAAATCTAACTTGTCATGGCTGTACAGTTTTGTAGGGACTGGGCTAAAGAACAGTGCAGTTGAGGAAGAAGTTTTAAACTTTGAGGAAGATCACCCAGATGAAAATCTTTGTGGAGTAGAGGAACCTGTGCCAATCTCCAGTAATGCACGGTTAGACAAGAATATACACGCGATGAGGACGGGCATTGTGTTTGACGCTTGCCTTATGTCCTTGGCCAGAAAAGCATTCAAGCAATGCGAGTGGCGCAACTGCAACAGCGAATTGGATCTGGAACTGAAAGTGGTGGCAACGGCAATGAAGATCATAACTCGGTGTCGCAGTGGCCACAAGTCTGTCTGGTGGTCACAGCCGTTGCTGAAAGAAATCCCTGCCGGTAACTTTCAATTGGCATCGAGTATAGTTTTATCAGGAAATAACTACCGTAAAATCGCGCTCATGTTGAAGTTCATGAACATGGTTCCCATCGGACATCATTCATTCCTCCAAATCCAGAGGTTATATGTTTTACCATCAGTTAGCGACTATTGGAAGAAAATGCAGATGGATATTTATAAAGAGATCACAGATCCTATCGTAGTTTTGGCCGAGGGTTTCAACAATAACTCTGCTTTTCCTGAAAAATATTTTACCTACACAATGATGGACAATTTCACCCAGAAAGTTCTTGAAGTTCAAGTCATCAATGTCAAAGCAAAAAAGATGAACAATTCGAGAAATATTGAGAGTTTATGGTTTCAAAATGCTCTTGAATCTTTGACACGGAATAACATATGTGTTTCTGAGGCGGTTACTGAACCCAATGCAGAGATTTTGTCATTAATGAGTAAGTATTAGAGATCTTGTGTCCTAGTTGTGAAAGAATTGCTAATTATAATACATTGATGTATCTGATTTCTACAAAATCGAGGCTACTGTGTCTAGTATGCATTGTGCATCATTGATGCTGTCAAAAGCTGTCAGCAGTAAAGTGACTCATGGAGTCCTGTAGCTCGGTGGTTAGAGCACTCGTCTCGCAAGCAAGAGACCTGGATTCGATACCCGGCATGGCAAAACTAGGGCAAGTTTCCTTACTCCACACGCCTATTTTTACCTAACAGTAAGTAGGAACCCAGTTGCTAATAATAATTTCTTCTTCAAAAGAAAATCCACGACTGTTTGAGGGACACTGCTGTCGTGTTTTGCCCACAAAAAATATACAATCAGTTCACTTTACAGTGTATTCCGTGAGCGTTTTGAGATGTCTCGAAGGCACTATATCAAATACAAGGATTATTATTATTATCAAAAGCAGAAAGCATGATTCAAAGCCCGTTCCGAACTGTGTTGGTCAGGAGCCCAGGCGCCAAGTGACAGTTTTTAACATTATTAAAGATTTAATTCTTTAATAATGTTAAAAATCCTTTCCTTAAATACCCTTTGGACCACCCACAGCTTTTAAGGGACCATTTTTGAACGCAGGCCAAATTAATTTGAATCGTAGTGGTGTGAATTATCACTTCAGTGTGTCTTCAGAAGGGAATTCTCCAGCAGGAATTGCTGTACCTCAAACCCTATTTATAATAATAATGATCTTTGCATTTGTAATAGCACCTTATCACATCATCAAAATGTTTCAAAGCGCTTTATAGAATTTACTGTATAAAGTGTGATTATTTGTAGCCGAATATTGCAGCCAATCGTCATGTCATCCACAACTTGTACTTACATAGCGTCCTTCAAGCGGGGCAGCATCTCGGAGCACTTAAACAGCCCACAAACAGCTATGATTTATGCTGAATTTCTCACAATGATTCAGAGCCAAAAAGCACCATATAAACCAGGCAAGAGTAATTAATTTTACCTGCGATTGAAATTTGAGGTACATCTCTGTCTTATTTGTACAGTACTTGCTATTGATATTGTTACATTTTCTTTACAGAACTGAAATTCCCACACATTCTTCACCAAATGGACATCTGGCACGGCATTGAAGCTATTAATAAGAAATTAGAAAAGGTAATCCCAACCCAAACAGCTGCTTCATTTAACAATTGATGCCTTCCTTAGAAATATGTGAAAGAGGGGAAAATCATTGGATAGGGATATCCCTCCCTCAGGCCACTCTTGTGGTCAGTTTTAGAATACAAATGACTGGAGGCCTTAGGATGTAGATCCAGAGACAAGGAAGGCAGTTAGCACAGAGAGCCCCAACAGATGTTTCTTTTTAACAAAAAGTACAAAAAATTAAAATGATTTTTGATAATCTATATTTAGAAGAAATTGTTTTTCATTTGAATCATCAGCAAACCATTAACAATTGTCTTAATTTTCCAAAAGTCTCTTGAAATGTTACAAAACGTCAGACTTATAGGAATGGATAAAGAGCATTCATGACTTACAGGTGTTGATAAAGAGCATTGCTCAATGTTGAGCAGTGATAGTTTGCAGGAAGTTGAATTGGCTACAAATTGCAATCAAGGAATACTGTAAAAGAAGAAAACTGGACGCAAGGAGTATTCAAACTGGAACATTTTGCTGTAACATGAATTTAGTGACCCGCTGCTGACTCCAGTTCAGTGCAGCTCACAGCACAGGAATGTTATTTTTGCTGCCATAACCCCAAAATGTAAAACTCTGGATTTGGTTTGAAATACAGTACTCACTTCTGGCCACAGTTCTAGAAATTCCATAGTAAATGTGCATTCCCTGCAAATATAGTGTAATCGCATTTACTGAAAAAAAGTTTATGTTTCTCAGTTATGGAATAGAATGCCACCCAGTGCCTCAAATCAAAAGAGAATTGGATTGATTCTGATTGAATAATGAGTGGATTATGTACCTGGGTTGGATCAAGTACTTAGACCTGTAGCAGAGCGAACTGGATAGGCTGAATCATCTCCTCGTTCTTGCTTTTCATGTGTCCTAACACCAATTCCCATTCTACTTTGCAGCTAATAACTAACAAGGTTAACCAAAATCTGCAGCCATGGATAGTGGATATTCTAAACCATTTCAAGTACTGTTGTGAGCATAGCAACGATGATGCCAATATCTTGATGGTGAGTGAGACTTGTGCCCTGTTGACAGATATGGGAGGAAGGGGATGTAGTAAAATCCAGGTTTAGATTGTAATCATCTTTTGGACAGGATTTCTACAATGCGCAATTTTGACTGATTTTGTTGAATTGTGAAATTGAGTGATTTACAGAAACCCCATCATTGAATTGCTCTAATAGTAGTGAGTTATATTCCACAATATGACATTGTAAAAATTCAGGTATTAGTTGAAAATGGTCCAAAGCTGATAAATTTTAAATGCTTCAACATGTTAAGTTCAATTCCAGGCAGGGCGAAACCTTGGGCAAGTTTCCTTACTCCACACGCCTAATAATAATCCCTCCAAAACTAAAAACAATAATTAAATTGGTCATTTTCAATCTACGACTGTTTGTGGGACATTGCTGTGCGCAATTGGCTGCCGCGTTCGCCCACAAATATACAGTCAATTCAGTTTACAGTGTGTTCTGTGAAGCGCTTTGGGACGTCCTCCCGACGTGAAAAGCGCTATATCAAATGCAAGGATTATTATTATTATTATTAAGGCGCTGTATCGAATGCAAAGATTATTATACTTGCAAGATTCTAATATCGACTTATTTTAAAAGGCTTTTTGTTTTGACAAATCAAATGTTTGAACCACAAACTCTATTGCGGTAAAACTAACTCTGAATGAATTGGTCAAAGTCTCGTTGGCGCAGTTTTCTGCACCACGTTGTGAACGTGCACGAGTGGCAGCTTGGCGATGGAGTCACTGGAACATCATGCGAACACAAATCTCTTACAACTGAAGGTAGTGCTGCCAAGAAGTGGATCAAAGCGGGTTCAGCAGCACACACGGCCCTAAGGGAGGTGATTTATGACAAGTGGCTCGTCTCCCACCTGAATTACTTCATCCGCGCGAGGTTTGCTTTTATTATATTTTTATTGATTCAAGTAACCATTGTTATATCATTCTGTACCGCATTTGCTCTTTTGTATAAAGACAATGTTTCAATAATTTGCAGGGTAGCAAATGAACTGGAATCCTTTAATGATCATATTCAGATGTATATTGGAAAGAACTTCAAATATGAGTAAGTAAGTAAGTAAGTAAGAATCAGCCAAAAGCTTATTTCTTTGATATTATTCATCAACAGGCCAGTTACATTCTGGCATTCAGTTTGGCAACAAGGAGAGTTATAGAAAAGAACATTCTGCAGAATTGCCTCAAAATCCTTTAGTTATCAGTATCTGTTGGTTGTCCCCTTTATTGTTTCTAATCCTTTAAATAACCCACAACCCAGTGTCACTGGAATGGAAACAAATCAAGGCAGTGCTATACAAACAGCTTCTCCCTGATTGCTTCTAACCAGCAGCTCTAAAGCATGAAAAGCAGTAACAAGAAGTAATTGAGACAGGAGCGGTAAGTATACAGATAACTGCTTTTGTAACCTTTAGGATTATATGATAATTCAGTGGAAGATATTTTCCTTTTGCTAGAAATAGATCTAAGAAAAACCTTCATCAGAAAGCTATGGAAGTTATTGCTATGGTTAATTAACACTCTGTATCTCTGTACATATAATGCTGAAGACTCTCATTATTTATCTTAAAGATGAATCATTTTTAACTCGTGGTATTAAAGGTTGAGGGTCAGTGTCAGATTGCTGCCTCTATTTTAGTTGGGGTATTTTTCAGTTTGTTGTTTCTCCCTGCAGATACGATGGATACAAGATACGGAATTTGCTTGCAGTAATTGATTATAATTCACACGTTAACCGTGAATACCAACGAAACGCTGATGGTGAAATAATGTGAGTAAATCAGGAAAGGGAATACACTGCGTAGGCTGTGCAACAAATATATGCAATCAAACAAAGTAAACAGTTGAGAGTTTTATGAATATATTTAACAGGGCTCAGATCTGGGTTTAACTTTTTTGTGGAGTGAATTTTATGCTCGGGGGGGGGGGGAGAATGAAATACTATGTTTCCATATTGTGTCAACATCAAGTGCTCCCAGTTGAGGTGTAGTACAGGTTAAATGCAGATAAGCTTCTCTGAGTCCTCCACCTTTAAGGACTGATTTAAAGTTTTCCTTTTTTCTCAGCTACTGCCGAATGTATTCAAAACGCACAAAGCACTACAGAGCTATACCCACAAAAGTCCAGAAGCACTACCGCTACATCCAGCAGCTGATGAAAGACCTGTTCACCCGGCCCTTACGTGATACCACAAGTAAACCAGAGGCAACAACAGTCACTTCCAAGCAATACCATAAAAATGTAAAATCAAAACCATCACCAGCTTCAATCACAACTAACATTTATCAGCTATGTAAATTGTCAAACCGGCAGATAATGTGAGGGTCCTCAAGGTAGTAGTGCATTTTATGCAGGACTGTTATATCTGTTTGAATTATTTTCATGGTTTTTTTGCCTTCAAATTGGAAGAAGGAAGAATCTCAAGGTAAGGACCACTTTTAGAAAAAGGAAACCACGTTATCAGTACTTTTCATAGAATTAAGCGGTAGGAAAGAAATCAAATCAACATCCTTTAGTTCTGTCTATTTAATTTTCCTCAGGTTCTGCTATTCATATGAACTGGGTTGTTGACTAACCTAATTGCTAAAGGGATAGAATTCCGATAAGTGGAGGTAGTACTACAATAGAATACAAAATTACATTTGTAAAGTGCCTTTCACGTCGGGAGAACGTGCCAAGGTGCTGAATAAGGTTCTACCTCCCTGATCCATCACCCGAGCAGGGTGGGGGGGTGGTGGATCAGGGAGGTAGAAGGCTGGCCGAAGGCATGGTCGAAGAGGGGCGTCTTGAGGTGTGCCTTGAAGGAGGCAAGGGAGGGAGCAAGGCGAAGGAATGTGGGATGGAGTACCAGAGGGTGGGGCCAAGGAGGCTAAAGGCCCGACCACCGATGGTGGGGGACATGGAGCAGGCTGAAGTCTGCTGAACGGTGGGAGCCGAAGGTTGATGAGGGGTTAACAGGTCGGAGAGGTAGGAGGGAGCAAGGCCATAGAGGGCCTTGAAAGTGAGGACAAGGATTTTGAACTCGTTCTTCTGAGGGATGGGGAGCCAGTGGAGCTGCGCAAGGTGTGATTGGATCATGGAGCCTGGTGTGCAGAGAACATGAGTGGGAGAGTGCTGGATGATATGCAGCTTGTGGAGGGAAGAGTTGGGAAGGCCGACAAGCAGGGCATTGGCATAGTGGAGCCTGGTGGTGATCAAGGCGTGTTTGAGGGTTTTGGCGGCCTGAGGTGTGAGTCTGTGGCGGAATTGGCGTAGTGGCACTGTTGCAAAGGTGGAGAAAGGCAAAGTGGGTCATGGCACGGATATGGTGGTGAAAGGACAGTTGAGGGTGGAACAAGACCTAAGTTCCTGACTACTTGGAGTGTGTATCCATGGATGCTGATGCTGCCAGTGCCTGAGTTGCAGAGGCGCTGAAGCGAGCCAATTAGTAGAGCCTCGGTCTTACTGACGTTTAACTGTAGAAAGTTGGCTGTCATCCAGGACTTCATGTTAGACAGACGGTCTTGTCAGGACATCAGCGGTCCTGATGTCAAGGGTGGAGGCGGATAGATAGAGTTGGATGTCATCTGTGTACATGTGGAAGCTGCCCCCATGTCTGTGGGTAATGTCACCAAGAGGGAGCATGTACAGGTTGAAGAGGAGAGGACCGAGGACAGAGCCCTGAGGAACGCTGCACGAATTGGTGCAGGGGCTGGAGGAGAAGCCATTTGTGCAGACAAAGTGGAGCTAGTGTGAGAGATAAGATTTGAACCATTCAAGGACAGAACCCTGAAGGATGAGGTTCAGAGGAGAGGCGGTGGAGGAGGATAGAGTGGTCCACTCAGCAGATAGTTCAAAGAGGAAGAGGAGACAGAGGGAGCCCTGGTCACAGATGGACAGAATGGAATTTCTCACCGGGGAAAACCACACCACAGCACGGAAACCCGATTGGATGGGTTCGTAAGGGAGTTGCTGAATCTAGAAGACAACACCGAGCAGCCTGCAGGGAAAAGGCAGGAGGGGAAGGAGATATTAATAGACTATACTACACCTGGTTCCAGGGATTCAAACCAGGCGAGCGGAAGTGACGTCTCGCGGGGGTTTAGGCGGGAGATTGTTAAATGGCAGCTCCGCCTGAACCCATTAATGGTACCACTCAATCACCGAGACTTCGGCGCTATCCTGCCGCTGATTATCAAAAGTCTGGGCAGAGTGCCTCTACATAGTTTTATTCTGTAGCTGGGACTAGAAGTGTAACAGCTGTGAATATTTATTTATTATTTATTCTAATCTATTTGTAACTATAATAAAGGTTTTATATTTTTATATACATGTTTTAATTCTAATACTCATTGTTCAGGTCAGTTTTACGTGAGCAGAAAAATGTGTACTCGATTTGAAACTGTGTTACATAGCTTGGCGTTTTTTTTAAATGATCTATTTACGCCCAACAGTTCTGAAGGTTTACTGGCAAAGAAATCAGTGTTAGGTGTGGTAGATTAAACATGTTTTTGGTGCAATAATTACTTACCTTTCAGTTATTGCAGCATTCTGTTATTGATTTTGACAAAATACTTGGAAAAAATGTTGTAAATAGACAGTGGGTAGATGACTCGATGTTTCCAGCAGTAGTACTGAAACATGATCTCGGAGCATTTGACTACAAGCTCCTCTGTACTTGTGGCCTTTGACAGACGTGCTGCTTCCTGTATTTTCTGGGGCTTCGTTGCGGCTGCATTTCACCCACAAAATATACAATCAATTCACTTTACAGTATATCCAGTGAAGCACTTTGAGACGTCTCGAAGATGTCATAAGGCGCTATATCAAATGCAAGGATTATTATTATTTGTTCACAGCCCACCCAGCTATGAGATGTGGTCAGAGCTGGGGTAAAGGTTTGTTCCTTCTTCTGTGCTATTTTAAGGAGGCTAGCTTATTGCAGGAGCAATACAGCAAGCGAAACTGCTCCATTAAATGTTAGGACCTTTGTTTAATATGTCTTAATGGTTGTCCTGTAGTTCTTCCTCTTCCTTGGGAAGGCCTGGTTCTGCTTCGTAACTGGCTACGATGGAGGGATTGACATAAGGAGCTGCCTAGGCTCTAACCTTAAAGACTGTAATGAGATTTATGTTTATTTTAAATATTTTATTCACCTATCTTTGGTTTGGTGTTCCTACACTGTGATATGAACCATCCCTAGCCATGACAGCCCACAGTCCTGAGTTGGGGGACCTCTGCAACTACTCAAAAGTGTCTGTAAAACCATCCTGAAAGCAGCATAAAATAGCTCTTGGGATAGTAAACAATTGGTAATCTCAGACGGAGGGAGCATGGGATGGCTGTTGTCAGAAACACAAAATGTGACATGACTGTAGTAAAGCTCCGTCTCTTGCGGAAACATATCAAACCATTCAACAATAAATTTCTGCACAAAACTAACGTCCTGGTAATGTTGACATCCTCTTTAAACAAAAATATTTCAGAAAAAGAAATTCAAATGGACAAAACATAATGGATGTTAATATCAGATCGTAATTCTGTGCCACTGTCTGATTTTTTTTTTAGAAGTGAAAGCTTTTTCCTGTGGATAGAGAGAAGTGTTGAAGATGCTGTTGTAAACTCCCCGGATCCACTAACTTAATGATGAGTGTCCTGTAAGCAAGATGTGGTTTATTTTAAAAATTACATTAATTTTTTATTTCAATAAACTTGTGTAGATCAGTGACGCACGCAACATGATTCCCAACGCTGAAATTAATTTGCAGTTAAATGTTTACTGTACTTGTGATCCCCATAATAAAGCCGGCTCTTATTTTCAAGGAATTGGATATGTGTGTGCAGTACTTCAATTGGGTCACAGGATGTCGCTACACATTCAGTACAAATTTCTAGAAGTGCAGTTACACAATAAAACTTTTTGAATGTTTCTCCCCTGCTCGTCCCTTTAGTCTGGCATAAATCTCCCTATTGTTGGTGTGTGTAGGTGTAGACAGTGAGTGTCATTAAGCTGTATAACCATTCAGCCTTCTTCCACATCCAAGCTTGCCTTTCCGTGAGGAGTTCCATGACAGTGACTAGAGGCCGGGGTAATTATTCTGTTTTACACTTCCCCCTTCCTAGCCCAGGGATTCGGAGGTAAGTTTCAATGCACCCACTTGGCCTGCCTGCCTGAGATCAGCTAGCTCAGCACGGACCACAAATGGAACTGAACTGATTTACTAAGAATTACAGAGATTCTGCATGTCGCTCAACCCAAACTAGACCATGTACCTCCTCCCTCCCGCCCTGGCTTGAGGCTGTCAGGCTCTGCCACTGTTAAGTGCTCCAAGATGCTACCCTGTGTGAAGGGCGCTATATAAATACAAGTTGTTATAGTTCCACAGCTTGCAGTTGCCCTCGAGTATGTCACCGAGTGGCCATTGTAAATGCGTGAACACAAAGAGCGAGTGTCTACCATTGAGGGTCATCACAGCTGATCTTCACCCTGTCCTCTCCAACATCCATACACCAGGCACTTTTCAGTAGCATTCAACGGAGATGGCTCAGAATGCTTTTGGCACAGGCCAGAAGGTTGAACCTGGTTAGCTCAGTTTCACACTGGGCTGCAACTATATTGAGTGAAGCAGGTGGTGCGGAAGGAGAGTCGTTCTTATTAAAAAAAATCATTACCCTTTCTCTTTAATCGCAAATCCTTTGCAGAGAATTTGGCACAAGAACTTGCATTCCCGGAGTATTTGCGCAAGTGTATACATGTTTGGGAATTATTGTTCTTTTGTAGTCCGATTGCTGCAACGCCCTTGCTGCAATACTAAGTCCGATGTTTTTAAAGAGCGGATCAACCCTGCACAAAAAGAGGGCAACACAATAGCACTGAGCCTTAGTGGATTTACTGCCAATGCCAGAGGAGAAATGACCGTAGATACAAAGCTAAAGTAAAGATAAGAAAGGTTGAGATGGAGAGAGGATCATCTACCACAGGGATTTCATCATCACCTTTTTTCCCACAATGAACGAACCTTCTTTCCTACACAGATCTGGGTTCGATTCCCGGCAGGGCGAAACCTTGGGCAAGTTTCCTTACTCCACACGCCTGATAATAATCCCTCCAAAACCAAAAACAATAATAAATTTTCAATCTACGACTGTTTGTGGGACACCGCTGTGCGCAATTGGCTGCCGCGTTCGCCCACAAATATACAGTCAATGCACTTTACAGTATATTCTGTGAAGCGCTTTGAGACGTCTAGAAGACGTGAAAAGCACTATATCAAATTATTATTAGTCAATTCATTTTAATATCCTGTAAAGTGTGAAAAGCGCTATATCAAATGCAAGGATTATTATTATAGTATTACATCAGCAGTATTTGTACTGAGCTTTGCACGATACAATACCCGCGACATGTTTATACAGTGTGCAACAAGTGGCAGATATCTCCGGAGTTATTTATAGCACGTGAATAGTGTTAACCCAGTTAAAGTGGCACCAAAACTCTTGTAGATAATCAGCATCCTTATTGCAGCCGTAAACATTCCAGGCATGTCATAACCCATCAGAGAGGCATATTCTCCTTTCACAAGCTCGCCTAGACTGAAAGCATCACAGACTGCATTTTATTCTCTCCCTTTTAAACCTTTTATCTGGGTGGTGGTTGGGATGATAGATCGGATGAGATCCCTTGGGCTAAGGAGGGAATTATCACTCAGGATCCTTGTTCTTGATGGTGCACGTTTGAATATTGGGTAAGTTCAGGTTTTGTTAAGATGGTCCCACCCCACAG